TCATCAATAGTTGTCCAAAGCCGCTTAGGATCATTTAAGTTATTATTCAATTTATTTAGGTAATGTTTTCGTTTGGTTTGCCTTACAAGCTCTATAAATTTATTTTTATATTGGTTGTAGCAGTCGGTATTCTCTGTAGTTGGCGTTAATTTCATTACATTATATAGTCTTTCTTTTTCTATTGCCGATGTTATTAATCCTTTGGTAATCCAGGCATTTCTGCTTTTCTCTTTGTGACTAATTATTACTTTATTGGTACTAATATCTATTAGTTTTTTTATTTTCTCTATAAACAGTCCCGTTGCTTTGTCTATATTATTTATAGAGTATAATTGTTCCCAGGATTCTTGTTTGACATTTGATATTAGTTTTGAATTGTCGACAAAAAATTTGTAATTTTCCTGGTTGTTATTAACGGTAGGGATGTTAGAATGTTTTTCATTTGAAGATATCAGTAAAATAGTGGAGAAATGGTCAGTAATATCGCTTTCTAGGATTATTGGTATACAAGTAATTTTGTTGGATAGGTCTTTCACAAAGCAGTGATCTATACATGTGCCACTGATGGACCTTGTAGGTAGGTTTATATAGGACAGAAATCCGTTACTTGATAGGATATTCAAGTATTCATTTGTGATGGGATCATCGTCCAAAATATTTATATTGACATCTCCCAAGAAAATATGTTGCTTTAAATGAACTTTATTTTGATTTTGAAAAAAAAATTCGATATTCTTCAAAAACTCGTGGAGTTCTGAACATGGCGGACGATAAATTGCAGATACCTCAATTTTGTTATGGTTAATTTGGATCATTATGTTTAAAATTTTGATTCCATCGGTGAAAGTGAATGTATCATGATTATATTGCAGTTTATTTCTTACAAAAACTATCACCTCATCGTTTTGGTTATAAGTGCCAAAGTTATACAGCGTGTCATATCCCTGCTGATTGAAGCAAGAAATATCAACCACTTGCCACGTTTCAGTTAAAACTATTAGATCAAAATTGTACCATATTTGGTCGAATGGTATTTTTAAGTAATCATGTTGTGTTTTATACTCCTTATGTTCATATTAAAAATTCGAAATTTTGCATCAGAATTTTGTGTACATAAATTAAGTTCATCGACGTTTTGTGCTATATTTGTTGCAATACTTGGAATTTGCAAATCATTAATGTATTTATTTACTGACATTTTTAGGTCCCCTTTAGAGATAGGAGTAGTAAAAGATGAACTTGAATTTTAAAAAGTATCCTTAAGTTTTGTTGTTCCTGATAATATTTGTACGATGGACAGTTTTTGTCGGTAGGTGAGTGGTTAATATTATAATTTTTTTTATATCTTTCATTTCCATATCTACAGTTGCAGCATTCTATTGATACATGCTTACAATTTTCTCCTTCGTGACCGTTGCCACAGTTGGCACATATCTTCTCATTCCTGCAATTCTTTTCTGTATGATTAAAACGGTAGCATTTTCTACACTGGGAAATGTCGTTATTTTGATATACTGTCAAACATTGCCATCCCAGAAGTATTCTTCTATTATTGTCTTCGAAGATTTTTTTGAATAGCTTTCCAGAAGTTTCCGCGTAGATAGTGTAATTGTTTCTTGATGGATAATATTTTATAAACTTTACTTGTATGTCTCCACTCTGAATCATATAATTCTGATGTATAAGATCTTCTTCAATTTGCTTTTCATTCGGTTTCTCACTACTTTTATAATTTATTATTTTAATTTTTGGATTTAACATTTTTGGCTCAGTAACTTGGTATTTTTCATTCAATTTATTTTGAAGTTCATCTTTCAGTTTATTATGATTTGATTCATCAATTTTTATATCAATTCCGCCATTTTTTGAGTTTCTCACACTTTCTATTTGAATGTTCAGAGATGAAAGATTTATTCTCTTACTCAATTCTCTTCTCGTATTATCGCAAGATTGTTTTTCTTTTGGAATAACTGTGATGCATTTTACTGATTGCCTTTTAGTAATAGGTATCGTTTGTTTTAAGATTTGTGCGTATGAATTTTCTTTTACTAACTGGTTTTTCTCAACTTCGTCGAGTCTCATATTTAATGCTGATGCTATGGCATCCTTCTCAGTAATACTTGCGGTTACTGACAGTTGCTGCTCTTTTAGTTTTAAATTTTCGTTATTGAGCTGACGAATTATTTCCTCCTTTTCTGCTAGTGTTTTCTTCAGGGATCGATTCTCTTCTAATATCTTTTTTACGTTTGTCGAATCAGGTCGATTTTCTTCATCTGTGATGCAGTTTTTTTCATTCTCGGGCTTTTCTTGTTGTTCTTCTTCTTTCTTCTTCTTTTTGCGGGTCATGACACTCTGTATAGTAATTTCTTATGTAGTATGAATCAGGAAGAACAAACTGTCAACTTGTCAATTTTACGTCACTCCGAGGTTATATAAATATGGCCGAAAACGACTGAAAACTGTAAAATCCGCTGCACCAATGTATCCAGACCCGTACTTTATCCTTATAAATGGAAACTCTTCGCCAAAAGGTTATTTCATGGACTGTGTACCAACCAAATTGTTGACAAGGTAGGACGAGATCGTTTGCTTGTTTACTACTACTACCACTATATACTATAATGTTAAGGAAATAGACAAAAAGATATGAAATCAATATTATATTTGAAAAAAAATGTTAAGTGAATATTGTACTTACATAAATCATGTACATGTATATTCTGTTTCTGTTCAAAAACGGCTTAGGATAAAAAACTGTTCAAGGAATAAGTAAAGTAACAACTCCATTGTAAATCATAATGGTCATGGAATTGTTCCCTTACAAGACTATGGAAATACTCTCATCACTAGGAACTACTCTTGTCAAATCAAAAGTGAATCAGGGACTCGAAAAAAACAGCTGTATACAAATGTGCGGCTAGTAAAACATGGAGATTCATCAGCAAGACAATCACAGAATAACTTTGAGGTGTTAACATCAATATACAGTGCTTTTCATTACTACCTCCTCCCCCCTTATTATTTTTTAACCGAGTGAATACTTGAAAGTGATAGTTGAAAATTTCAAGATGGCAGCTAGGCGCCATTTTATTAAAATGGATTGGGGAGGTCGTGAGATGCTTCCTTTTGAATATCATTATGAATCCTTTATAATCCTAGAATGTAAAAACACCATCTTCGACAATGGCAAACCTCGCATTCAATCAAATTTACATTATACTGTGTTAAATTATCTTCTCTTAGATTGGTCTACCCATTAAGCTATGAAACATTCCATTCATAAAAATTGTTATAATTTGTCAAAAATTTTTGAACGGAATGTCTCATTTTTATTGCACATTCAGATATACCCTTCCAAAATAGAATATTGATATAACCTATTATAACGTTTTGATGATTATTTGTGGAGCTATAGGCGATTAAATATACAAAAACGCTCAACTTTGACGCCTTTCCTAGTACGCTATTACTGAAAGATAGTTTATATTCTGCGGTTATAAATGAGGTACCACACAACGACATCTTGAAATTTTCAACTGCCACTTTGTTATACATGGAAAAATACGCGAATAGTTCAGGTTATTGGAAATACCAATGATGACTCGGCGGGGACTTAAAATACCATCAATTCAACGTTAGGGCGCAGAATCTAATGTCTCCCTTACGCTTACATCTGTCTAGGCATTTGACATCATATAAAAAAAGCAGATCCCTTCGATGCATGATAATATCCTGACCATAATCGTTAATATTTATTACCTCATCATATGAATATGAATATGAATATGAATATGAATATGAATATATATTACGTGCCAATTAACAAAACATTTGTTTTTACACTTGTCATAAAAATTACTGATGACGTATACAATACATATAAAATTATAATTGGTAAAAATAAAATAAAATATAATATAAAGCTGTAGTAGGCCAGATCACACACATAGGGGGGTCGCGATAAACTCATTCAAGGAATAAAAAGGATGTTTAACTAATTCTTGCCAAAGTGTATTTTTAAAATGTTTTAAAGTAAGATTCTTAGTAGTGTTTTTTAGCTTGTTATATACCCTAACATCAAGTGAGTTTTTATCTGAGATCTTTAGCCTTTTAGCCTGTGAGCGCTAGGTTGAAATAGATTATAATGCCTGGTGTTATATCCATGAACATCCGAGTGCATTGAGAATTTATGCTTGTTCTTATGAATCTCAACAAGGCTCTGATAGGTGTACATTGAATAAATTGTAAGCATATTCAAGTTTTTAGTCTGCGTAGTAAGAATATGTTTGTGGCTAATTTGCTACATAGGGTTTCAATGTGGTTTGTCCATTTTAGTAAGCTATCAATTGTTATGCCATGCAATTTTACACATTTCTTTTCTGCAAGAGAAGAGTTACTAGTTACTACTAGCCTGTTAGTTTTGTCTGAGTTTAGGCATAAGCTATTCTGTTTAAACCAGTTGTTTGCCTTTTCTTCAAGCTGTTTAGATAAGCTTTGTAATATATGAAGGTTTTTGTGACTCTTTATAAGGGTGGTGTCATCTGCGTACAATACACAAATATCTGGTAATAAGTACGAGTAGTAATAGGGACACCATAATTTACACCTTTAATTTCTGAATGTTTATTACTACTAACGAGCTGAGATCTTCCAGTCAGATATGATAGGCGGAGGTGACGGAGGTGTTGGTGACAACTTCAACGCTAAAATATAGTATTCATACATCAATTTCATTGCCCCGAACGTCAGCTAACTTACTTGATCCGCAGGGCTATTACTCAAAGAACATGTACGATGTCATGAAGATCGGTAGAATTTTGCACTAGATACGAGGGATGTCTTTTAAGTTTTGCATATAGAAACATAGTATGCCGCCCGGATCGAACGTCAGTACTGAATCTTAACCTCACTCTTTAGTAAACTTAAATTCAAAGTTTCACAACAATACGTGCAGTGTTCTCATTACAGTGAATTTTCAGTGTCACCAAGTCATTATAAAAATGGAACTCAACCGAGAACATTTTCGCGCCATAATTTATTACAACTTTCAGAGACAATTATCGCAACAAGAATGCCTTGCTGGGTGGGTGCACCAAAAACGGCAGTCACCCAGGAAAACGTCGATGCTGTGCGCAAACTCATCATTGAAGATAGACATGTGACATATCGCAAGATTGAGGCGTCCTTGAAGATCTCAAAGACCTCAATTAAAAAAATTTTACATGAAGAATTATGAGTAAGAAAATTAGTTTCTCGTTGGATACCCCACCTGTTGACTGAAGAGCAGAAAGCAGTCAGGGTTAATTGGTGTCAAAAAACACTTGACCGTTTCAATTCCGGAAACTCAAAAAATGTGTACAGCGTTGTTAGTGGTGATGAATCGTGGATTTACTGTTATGAACCAGAAAATAAACGACAGTCGGCTGTTTGGGTGTTCCAAGGTGAAGAAAAGCCAATAAAAGTCATCCGTTCTCGAAGTGTTTCGAAAAAGATGGTCGCGACAAGATATTGCAACAATTCCTCTTAATGAGCAAAGAACTGTTACTGCGGATTGGTATACCACCATTTGTTTGCCAAAAGTCATCACCAAGCTTCGAAAAATCAACCCCGAAAAAAGAATCATCCTCCACCAAGACAATGCAAGCTCGCACACAGCCCAAAAAAACAAGGCAGTATTTAACGGGAGAAAACGTGGAATTATTGGACCATCCTCCATATAGTCCCGATCTAAGTCCTAACGATTTCTTTACTTTCTCGAAAATTAATAACAGACCGCCTGGTCAAAGGTTCCAGTCACCAGAAGAAACAGTTGACGCATTCAAAAATGCCGTTTTGGATCTGCCAGCAAACAAGTGGAATAAGTGCTTCGAAAATTGGTTCGAGCGCATGCAGATGTGTATTAATCTTCGTGGAGAATACTTCGAAAAACAATAAAGTCATTTAAAACTACCTACCGTGTTGTTTTATTTCCATATGCAAAACTTAAAAGACATCCCTCGTAGCTAGTGTGCCGCTAGATCATTCCGTACAATGCAATCAGATGCTTACTCTCAACTTTTCTGAATTTCTTTGAAGAATCGTTCTAATGAGGAGAATATCTCATCTTCTGTCTATTCAGTGAAGGAAACAACGAATACATACAATACAAAACACCTTTCAGATGAAATCCTAGAATAGAATCGGATACATGTTTATTCTCAGAGGATTCCTTCGTGATCAAATCACCGTTGGCTTAAAAGATTTAGAGGTAATACCGAACCGAAAACTAGATGTGGGACTGCTCACCTAGAAAATGATAAATCAAATATCCATTTAACTTGTCTTTGCGGTGTGATGTTGACGTGAGATGATATATCTTTCTTCACGCGGCTTTATTGGAAACAGGGCAAAATATATCCATGGTGAAGTCAAAACTGCAATATCCATTCATTATCGTCTTTACTTCCCACGCCTACTGGTGAGGAAGTACTGTAATCACGAAAATCCATGTCACTCATTTCCGTCGGTCTGTCTGTCGGTGTTTGTGTCTGTCCTGTAATACTTGGCCCATCTATAACTTGGAAAGTAATGCTCGGATTTGGATGAAATTTTCACACAAGGTCACTACTATGCCAATAACGAAAAAGCTTTGTAGTTTTTGGGAATCGCTGAAACTGTGTTTGATCTTTCAGAGGCTCCTGATATTTTCAGAAAAAATATTATATGGATTAAAAATTGGGAGTTAGGGGTTGCAGGAAGTGGGAGAGGTATATCCTTATTTTTAGACGTTAGTATATTTATACGCCTCCAAGCCTAGTTACTCTACGTACCTAATAGACATATTTCACTCATCGTAGATGTCTCTTGAAACTTAGAAATATCTACAACAGTCGCGTGTCAATACATGCGACGTTGGTTAGGTTGCAGGCTGGCACTTGGCACCATGTCAATATTTAGTTATACAGAGTGTTTTCAAAGTTGAGTCATTTATTTTAACTGCATATAGGACTCATGAAAAGGAGTTGATATACCAAAAATCGCCTATATAAAAGTTGCATAATAAAAGAGATAGTAAAACATCAAACATTTTAATATACGATGTGATATTCTCGACCACTGCTGTGTAAAATCGTTTTTTGTTTACTACTCTTATCGTTTATCTAAATTTGGCAAACTTTTGTCTTATTTTTTGGTTTTCAGTACGAGTCTTTGCTTCGATCAGTTGTATCAGTATTTTAATAGTGCGTATACTTTCATTTGTTTGATTATTTTGTGCCAAAAAATGACCCATGTTTACGGAAACAATGAACTAATGGACATAACACTAACATACGGAGAGTGCCGACAAAATGTAGCCGCAGCATCCAGCTTGTAGGCGGAAAGGTTTCCTTGAAGAAATCATCTGGCCCCACGGATGCTTGTAAATTTAGTTATTAGAAATCGTGACACAGGGTATTTAAAAGAACAAAGAGTAGGTCACGCTGGAAGACCTGCTCGATCCGAAATTTTACAAATTACACTTACATACATTTTAGATATAGTCGAAAAATGGAGTGCACACTTTCCACAACAATCATGTTTGGGCAGTAGAAAATGCTGTAAAAAGAACTCATTTTCAACATAGATTTTCATTAAATGTGGAACGGCATGCTTATTGCACTCTACTTTTTTCCACCTCGACGGATCGGTGATATTTTTTTAGATTTTTACACATCTGCCACAATTATTAGAAGATGCTTCTCTAAATGGGAGACCGAATATGTGGTTCCTACATGATTGTGCTCCACCACATTTTAGACAAGAACTTCATGAACATCTGAATAATGAGTTTCCGAATAGATGGATAGGACGAAATGGACCCATTTCTTGGCCTGCTCGCTCCCCGGAATTAACGCCTTGCGATTCTTTTCTGTGGGGCTACTTGAAAGTGTTGGTGTATCATGATGAAGCAGTAAATACTCCGGAAGAACTTCAACAGCGCACGGAAAATGCTTGTGGTTTAATTCGTGGACATCAGGATTTTATTTTCGAAGCTTGTAAAGAGTCGTGGATTCGCCGAACAAGATTTTGCGTTAATCGAACAATTGAGGACAATTTTGAGCAGTTTTTGTAAAAACGGTATATCCATTTAACTTGATAATGATTTTTTTAAATAATTCTTAAAAATGTAAACTAACTTTCTCATTATGCAACTTTTAAGTATGTGATTTTTGGTGCTATATCAACTCCGTTTGACGAATTCTACAAGCTGTTAAAATAAATGACTCAACTTTGAAAGCACCCTGTATTGGTATGGCATTGTGACGTGACCACCAGAGCCGTGAAAAGAACTATTCGCTTTATTTTGTATAGTGATCGTCACTCTCCTCGCGGAACTTCTAATTATCTTCAAAACTACCAAGAGCGCTCATGTCGTTGCTAACGCTGTAATAGCGTGATTGACTAATCAGAGCTTTGTCAATTAAAGTTCTATTAACATGACGATCATTAATCGCTGATGCTCTGGGCTCTGGCCAGCCTGCAACTGTTATTAATATGTATTTACACATACTCACCCGTGTGCTGCCATACCCTCAGGCTTATAAGGGCTTCAAACTATAATATTAATTTCAAGAGAATAGCGGGAAGTTTCTGGCTACAGGTTAACGGTGGATAGTCGTAAGTCATAAATTTAGTGTATAATGCTAATAATACGGACCAAAACTGCACACCATTAAGATAGCGCTTGAACACGCCTTATATGGATGGTCTCAAGTTTTTTTTAGTTTTCGGGATCCGGGCAGAACATAACATTTATATTTAATAGATAGCTTTTAACGCGTAATTGGTCAATAGCATTTTTTTGTTTTTATCCATGCTTTTTCTTATTAACCGATTAAATTATCATCTCAGAGTACCTACTACAAATACAAAAATGATTTTAATCTTTTCCTATTCTTTTTCGAATGTTAAACTAGTGGCACCATCTCAAAATTCCCAGTCGAACTAGCTCAAATGATGCCTAATTCAACGTCATGTAGGGAGTTCTTTCGGAAGGACAAGGTTTAAAAGAAAGTTAAGAAATACAGGCGTCACCCGACGCCATAAGTTGTGGCCACAGGAAATCTGGTTGCCTTCTATTATTTGTATGTTCAGCATGAATTTTGTTTATAACATCTAGGATTTCTAAAATTCATATGTATAATATTTTTACTGTTTTCATTATGTGTACCTACTTCCTACTTGTCTGGGTTTTATCATCATATTTATATTTATATTTTTAAAACATGAGCGCCCACATATTCAGATGGGGGCAGGGTATGCTTATAGGCTTACAGTCCCAGTCAACCAGTTTAAAGCAGGGCTGCTGGCTGTTTAAAGCCTAAATCCGTGAGAGAAGAAATTATTTATATGTAGGGCTTCTTCATACACCACAATGTATGTTCCGAAAGTTTTTGAAATGTTCCTCCTACCAATAGAAATTTGATAAAACCTGGGTCACCCTAGTCACGTAAGATGTTGCCCTTATCACACTGCCTGGGATACTAACAATTTGGAGCAAATTAGGATGCATAGACCCGTATGACCAAAAATGGCGGTATGAAATCCTCAATGTAGCATCCTACATCTAGTTCACCTTTCGGTTTCGCGCTCTATGATTTTACGTAAGAAAGACGTTTGACTCATCTTTTAGCTTTCTTTTTTGTTCCATGTCCAATGTTGGATATGTTGATATTCTCTGAAATTGATATTTTAAAAAAGGCATCCATCAAGCGGTTATGAGTGTCTTCCATGACGAAATCGAAATCGAAGATTTCGAATACGACGAAGAAGAAGGCATTTATCACTATCCATGTCCATGTGGAGATCGCTTTCAAATCTCGACGGTATATTTTCTGTGAATTGAGGTTATGTATGGTAATTTGACTGGCATATTTTTAGGAGGATCTTCTTGCTGGAGAAGAAATAGCAACTTGCCCTAGCTGTTCGTTAATTGTTAAGGTTATTTATGAATTGGTAAGTGCGTTAGCCGATACAGAATATATGAACTTGAAATCTATGTATTCTATCTTCGCTTGCCACATGCTCTATTGATAGTGATCATGAGCCATAACCATGCCATAACAATAGGCTATGATGAATATGTGTGAGGCGAATTCCCGCACCCGTATTGCTTAACTTAAAAAGTGAAATTTGAAATGATTTTTATTGAGGTGTATGTTTTCTTGAAAAATGTCACCTTGGAGCTAGCTGCCATTTACTTCATGTTTGCTTGTAGTAGCTGTACGTGTTGCTTAAACGTCATGACACTTGAGCTATATAGTTTGATGTGATGTAACCTCTGCTTCTGAAATGGGAGCCACTCATAACTTGTGTCATTCCTACCTAGGTGGTGTGCACAGCAAGTTGGTGCGGAATCAACGAATTTGAATAATTTTGAAGGAGCCAAACCTATATCTTTATATCGCATTGTCTGTCGCCAAAATTCCGTAGTTTTAATGCATGCATTTGACTCAATTGACTGCCAAATTATATTAAATAATTAATTCTTTGAGAAGTACAATGTCTTGAAATCGTCCAATACCACAACTATCTGACAAACACTTGTACTTTTGAAAAATAACACTATAAATACGAATCTAATGATCTGTCAAAAAATTGACATATCAAGTGCACTTTGATCCTTTCTACAGATAAGAATTAGGAGAGAAACAAATATTTGACTGGCTTCTTCTTGCTAGTCTAAATTCATTGTGCAGAATAGGCTAGTAGTTACCAGGAGTCCATTTCAATGAGATCATATTGATTTTTTTACATAATACCCAACCTTGCTGGGATTCGACCTAATAATGGAGGTGGTTGCAGGGCGAGAGCTACCTATGCATCTTCACTAAACTTTAAAGTTCTTTTGTAGGATGCATTTATTGAAAAACAATCTGAAGTTCAATCACTGTCAGACAATTTGAAGAAACTTGAACTAGCCCATTGAAGACAAATTGTTATTCAAAAAACACTTATGGCTGGAAGAGGTAGGGGCAGAGGAGGTAGGGGAGGAGCTACTAGAACCTTCAACAGGGAGCAGTTAAGTCAAATGGGTATCACATCTAATGAGACATTACCAGGACCAGTTACACAACCTCCACCACTATATCCCCTTATGGATAGGAAACCTGTGCCTTTAACAGTAAGGTTGATTTATAGTCTTCATTGGAAGAACCCATGTTAATTATGATTTCTTATAACTCATTTGTTCAATATTGAATAGATTTCACAATATATGTATATGCATATATTGTAAAATTCCCTACCAATAATTGACCATAACATTTCTTTTACCTGCTCTACTTTTTTGTTTACATCTTAACAAATGGGATATGAATGGCACTTTAATTCACATGTTTTTTTGAGGGTCCTTATGGTATATAGAATTTGACCAAAAAATTGATTTAAATTTGTATTTATAACACAGGGTAATTCAAATATGAACAAATTAAGAATTAATGAAGCTTAACCACTAATTTCAATAATTACACATTTTCATTCTTATAGCAATCTCCAGAAATGGATTACCTGTTGATACTGAGACAAGATTTTATAGATAGAATGCAAATATCTGGCTCCTACTTAAAAATGCCTGAAAGCAAAAGTAATCAAGCTGAACAAACAATAGACAAGTTGGTAGCTCAATTACCTAGGGTCAAAGAGAAGTTTGTTTGGAAATTGTTTCCATCAGAATTAAGGCCAAAGGCAATGGCTAAAAGGGTGAGGAAAAAGGTACAAGAGGATGTCAATGTGGAAAAACGGTAAGTTACTTGGCTGTTTTACTTCATTATTTATATAAAAACTGTATCTGTATCATGGTCACACACTTGATTGAGTAAAAAAAATGTTTATATTATTCAGTACACTTAAAGTTTATGGAAGTGGTTATGAATTATTATTTGGACACTATTAGTTCATTTGAGGTTACAGATTTCAAAGCTGAGGTTAGTCAAACTGAAAGACATTGCAAATATATTTTCTAGGTTAACCTAAAAAAGTGGCATCAAGTAGGTTAACTATGCACTTCCCACACAATGCTGTCAACAGTTCATAAAGTATTATGTTTAGATCTTTGAGCTAGCTACAAACATGAATATCAAAAAAAATTAGTGGGTCAAGCTAGCAAAACAGGCCAATATACAATTAGTACATACTCCATAGTTTCCATCAATTTGACAATGCTATCGCTAGTTTCTTCCCTGCCCTAAGCATCGATCACCTGGCAATGCTGCTGGACCACACCAGTCAAACACGTCATGAGTGTCGGCTACGATACTACAACATCCCTGCCGGCGATGCTGTCAGACGCAAGGCAGAATTCGGCGTAACGAAGTCGCCGTCGCAACGCATCGTCCGTAATCTTCGAACTTCAACCCTACATAACTTTTTCTGTATCAGGAGCCTGTTTTCGTGTTTTTGCCCCTAGCTCCTCCGTCTCTCTACCGATTTTCAAAAACTACAATACTGTTTTGTGTTTGGGATAGTAGTAACCGGCAGTACTTTCCAAGGTGTAGGCGGTCCAAATATTAGCGGACGGACCGACATACAGACAGGCCGACGGAAATGAGTGACATGGTTTTGCATGGTGTATCTCATATAACATCAAAAAAATATACTCAGTGACATTAGAAGTTGTACACAAAGAAAAAATAATTTCTTTAATTTGATTTTTTGGCAATGACTTAGTCTTACATCAAAAATGAAATGATAACATTTTCATAAGGAAAGTCCAAAATAGTTCATACACTTGCAGGGTAACTGAAACATTGCCTTGCTGTTAAGATATTAAATGTGCTTTTTACTTAATTCTTGTGGTTATGCATTTGGCTGTTGTTACGTTTAAATGACATCACAGTCAGGGACCTTATGAGATCAAATAAATCACGTTTGGATTAAGCATCCTAAAAGGTCAGCGCATGAATGTGTTAAGTCCCTATGGTTTAATGGTTTATGCAGTTTGACCTTATGACCTTGACAAAACCTTGAGTGATCCTACCATGGTAGAGCCCGTTGGTACTTCAGATAAAACGTCAGCATAATTTTATCATTTTCATATCATTAGGAAAACTTTTGCTTTTAAGTAGTGATCAATTAATATCCCTAAAATAATCTTTTTTGAGCATCGTGCTTAATCATTTGATTGGGAATCAAAATGCATAACATGCTGGAATAGTGGCTATTTCATTGAAAACTAGATTTTTGAAAACTCTGTAGTGACCGTTGAAACAAGCAGACACTTTGCCATTGCAAATTGGATTTTAAAGACTAAAAGTTATATTCCATTTATAGTTTGGAGGTATTAGAAAAAATAGAAGAAAAATCTGATGATGTAGAAGAAAAACCGAAAAATGACGACGAAGATGATGAAATGGAGCAAATTGACGAGATAGAAGAGGACGAAGAGATGGACGAGGGAACCGATTATGCAAATAACTATTTTGATAATGGAGAAAACTATGAGGATGAAGATGATGCCTTGGAAGATGGTCCCATTTACTGAAAGTATTACTGTGATTTGTACATATTCTATTGCGTTTGTATGCTGAGAAAAACTTCTTTTTTAGTGTATACAAATTTTATTTTGGTTGTATGTATATAACTTGATTGGACATGTAAAACAATGGTTCCAAATATACTGAATAAAAAAAATTAAGGCACAAGTGTTTTGCTATACCTGAACAAAAAATAATATAAAAACATGGATAATTCAATCTGAAAAATATATTTATGGAGGTGTAATTGCATTTTTTTGAATGATATTTGGTTTAAGTGTGAGAATCCATAAAATTCTCCTTCAACCTAAAGTACTCAAAACATGATACAAAATATACATATAATGATTGTATCATAAACTTGTTGATGCCCAAGTCAGGTAATTTTTAGACATACTACACGATTTTATGCGACGTTAGATTTCTGTAGTCTATTTTTTATCAACAGTATGGCGAAAAACTGCGGTTCCATATCGTTCTTCATTACAATCTGCTACTTAATTGTTATTTACCTCGGCAATTCTTTTGGTATTGTAGGTAGATCTAATCCTGATTGAAGCAGTGAAAAAAGAGGAGCCGGCTAATAAAGTGTAAAACCATACATACGTACATATAGGCGAGAGGTAGCCCACAGAATGAGAATGCTTAATAACTTATCATGATTTTACTTAAAAGACTAGAGTGGACTAACTATAGGCTAATTACTGTTCCGATCTTCTGCTTGGATTACAAAACTGATAAGTGCGATTATTGAATAAGAAAATACGGCACTCTCTTCTCTGTAATATAAACTTATATTACCCAAAATTATGTGAAAACCGCCATCTATTGGATTGTTTAGACCTAGAAATCATTCACGTTTGAAGGATTATGGTCCCTTAATTGTTCTCATCTTATTCGGCATGTAGAAGGCTGACAATAGCGTTTATAGGATTGAGTTCGCAAAATGTGAATTCTCGAAATTTAGGGTACACCTGCCGCATTTGTCTTTTTTGCACAACTATTTAGGATATATGATAACAGGTATTTTGTAATACCATCATATCTAGAAGTTTTCCATAGCTATGAACACCTTATCTGACCTCTAATTGTATGGGACACTTATTAAATATGCTATAGTATTTATGACAGCAAACTAAATTACAGTTTAGCCGATTGCTGTACCTACATTACCTGTACTAATTTTTCACTAACAGCTTTTTTCAACGTGACATCATTTGGGAACATATCCTGTAAAACAGATTGAGAAATAGTAGTGGAAAAAATATCGACTTTATAAAAATGGCAACAACAAAAACCGTGCACAATCGGATAAGGACATTTTCTGTTTGGAAATGACCCTTCTATCACCATCATTCGTTTGATCCATGACTTTTGCGACACCCTGTATATCAACGATTTCTCACTTTATTATGGCTCCCGTTTTTTCGATGTTTCAGTTAGGACTAGATCTACTATAGATAGCAGCATTAAACGTAATTTCTTATTTACCCTTATAAATATATTTTTCATTACATGCAATCAATACAATAATATGTATACCAATAAAATGTCTTTTTACATTAAATTCGATCAATCAGAGCTGCGAATTGATTTGAATAAATGTCTTTTGATCGTTCAAAAAATAATAGAGAATATTGCTCAGGGCTGGCTCTACCATATGGGCGATCGCAAATGCCCGGGCGCGAGGCGGCCCTGTTTATCAATAAGAGCAAGATAGGACAAATATATTTTCTGAAACAAGAAACAACTTGCAAAGTAGACTTTAATTGGATTCCAAACGTATTTAAACTGTGTTGTAATCACCCTAAGGAAATTTCAATGTTTTTATTATTATCTAGCAATAAACAGCAAATAATATAATAATAATGTGTTTTTATCTTGTTTTAGATTTCCTATAGCTTTACATACAAAAATATTTAAGAATCTCGATCAAACAGAAATGTAATTTACACATTGATCCAAAAATATGACCTTTACCACAGCTTTAAAATAAGTAAGAGCTTTAGTTAAACATTTTCAGCATATTTTGAGATCGTGAACAGATACGAAGGGATAGCAAGATTCTGAAGATTATATAGTTTAAGATCTGTTATAAAATAAGCTTTCCTAAAAATGTACTGGTGTGAATTGTCTTCAACATCTACATACTTTTTGCACAAATTCCTTGAAGCACATTATAATAAATCTGTACTAAGCCAACCTACTTCCATTATTTTTGAAACATGTCATAACAGCTCTGATCATCCCTATAGTATGGATGGACTTTTAATAAATAGTAAACAATATGTGGAACAAATCAACTGGTTTTAATCAAAATATTGCTAAGCAATTAACCAGTTAAAGTTAGGCCAAAGCTCAATATTCATTAATTTTGGTATCTTGAACGATTTAATTAGCGCTCAAAATTTCAAAACTTTTGAAATTGACAGAAAGCTAGTTTTTTGTAACAGAAATGAGGATAGTTAAAGCTCGAAACCACCTAAAATAAAAATAGCATATTTAATCCTGTCAAAACAAAACAATTCCATATAATAATTACATTATTTAATATTACTTGTTTTGTATCGAGACCATTGACGAAGACTAGTAGTATAGATTGTCATTAAATTATATAATTTTCTAATGACACATTTTAAATCGCAGGATAGATGTTGGAAGATCTTGCAGAATATGCCCAAAAAATAAGTACGTGTATGTATCATTTCAACAAAAAATCACTGGACTAGTGTCACAATATAAAATTTCATAGGTAAGGTAGGTATTATTTAAAAACTTGAGAACAAGTAAAGATGGGCGCAGGCCGGATTCGTACCAGCATTTCCGCCATTCCGTGGCGCCAACTTAACCAGTACGTCTACAGCACCAGCGGCCAACCAACTTTAAGGATCGACTGTTCAAATTCAATCCTACCTCCGCCACTCTTCGTTTGCACTTTTAAGCTGCTTGATGCCGCTTCTCAAGTGAAATAAACCGGATTGGTAAGTTTCTGGTTGCACCACGCCGCCTCGCGGGTACTTGCCAAGGTACCATTGTGCGAGGACAGTAACAGGTTGGAGATACCTTACCGATCCGTTTTGTTGCACTTTAACGCGGCCAGATGCAGCATCAAATAGCTTGAAAAAACAAAGAAACAGTTGTGTGGGTAGGATTGAATTTGCCTCTAACAGTCGATTCTGAAAGTAGGCTGGCAGTGGTGCTGTATATTAATTCGTTTGGTCGGCTCTACCGAATAGAGGGGATGCGGGTTCTAATCCAGCCAGCTCCAAATTTTCTTTTGTCTCAAGTTGTTTCTGTTGCGGATGCGGTCATCCAAAAAAATCGTATACATGTAGGTATTAAGTGACCCCCGTTTTCCAACATTTTATTTACCTAGCAGCTATTTATATTTCAAAATATTAAAGTAGTATGTTTTCACAAAGATAATAGAAAGGTTTTAAAGACAATTTCACATAATTGATTTTTTTACTAATTGTTATTATTAAATGGAAGACAAATGTTAATGCCTCATAGAGCAACGATTGTTCTTCAATAACTCACTGTTAGCAGATACCATTTTGACTATTTTAAGGGTCACATCAATGCGTCTTTTATCAAATTACAAACGACAAAAATAAAATCTCGCACATCTATCCCATTCTACTAATAATTTGATGCAAAGCAAATATTCTAATATATTTAAAATTAGATAAGATTAAAATGTGTCTAATTACAAGCGTTCGTTTTTTCAGGTATTAGCTAGTTTTTTATTATGGATGCATACGCATGATAAATAATATCAATAAACTGATTTTCAAATAGCAGGATTCCAGGGAAGTAATATTTCATATGTGAAGAATGTGGAATACCTTCATATTTGAAGATCACCTTCTGTTATTACTCCTAAATATATCTTTACGTTTCATGTAATGCAAACATATAAAAAATGTGAAAATCTAAACACTAAATATCACAAAATAAAAGTGTTGAGAATAATAAAAAAATCACACAGCATAGCATCTCAAAGCAACTTACTTATAAATGAGGCTTTGAATGTACAATATAAGTCAGTTTCAAAATGCAACTAGAATAAACTTAGGTTCATTGAATATATTAAATATATATATATATATATATAGTGTTCTTAATAGGTGTTTGCAACACGTATAGTTCTGGCAAAGGGCAGTTACATAAGAGAATAATATTAGAGAAAAGATGACTCCAAAAACATGGCGTCCACAAAACAGCTGATGGCATCCAAGCACGTGCTTATTTAGTCGGAGATAAATGCGATGTTGCCAGACGGATAATCCTTTTTGGATCACATTTTTTTTCAAGTTACTTTTGTTTGGACATTTATTCATGGTGAAGATACTTTCCCTCCGTTTGCAGCCTACGAAACATATTTTTTAGTCAATAAAGTTATAAATCGCACTTTTTGCGAAATAAGTTGTCCTCAAAACCTGCTGTAAGCTATCACATAGCTATTCCACGTTTGAGGCCTTACGCGGAATATCACACAATTTAGTTTAGTAATAAAAGAGGAACAAACGGCTTGAAACTCAAAAGTTTTATGACCTCAAATTACTTATTTGTTCAATCGTCGGTGTACTCGATATAATTGCCAGTTACCTAGACAGCCTGGCCTTAAGACGATATGTCTAATACTTATTTCATAATTTTTTGACGTAACTACCAAAAGAAATGATCTGAATTACATTCCGCTCTGTATATATGTATGAGCGAATCGCCAAACCAAGGACGGGTCCGCACATAGGCACTGTTTTTATTTTTAAACCAATATTAGTCTAAAAGCCGCCCGCAGGGGTTACATTGATTACTGATATTGAATATTAAAAACTAGTCAAATCTTACGTATTTTGATGCTAAAGCAAAAAATTTGCCGAGTTTCCTGTTTAGTATCAAACTACGGAAAATGTGACTAGTTTTTATCGTATCACATCAGTACGCGATTGATGTAACAAACAATTTGCGATAGGGTTCCCTACTATAATGCAGAAGACTCCCAAGGTCAATGAGGCCGCCGGCGAATTATAACGACATTCTTCGAAGTCTCTTCTCTTGGTATAACTACTCTTTGGTTCTGGTGAAATCACGCAGATTTTCTTAGTACCAGAGTTTCAATATGACAACCCCAAATAGGTATTGTAAATTTTTGAATCTAACAATGAGTATTTTTCTTTGGTTTCTTTTACTTTTCTGTTACTGTTCAACCAAATGTTAGCTTTATTTATTAAAAAAGAATAACCCAAGTTTCAACAGTCATATGAAAACAGTACAATTAAAATGATTCTGAAATCCATAGAAACTGCCGCACTATATTGCATTTTGAACCAACTTTTCTAGTATATTTTCCTATAAATTAAACTAACAGTGTACCAAATGAGTACAATCACTATATATGCTATAAATTACAATATGCTTCTATAGCTTTTACCACAGTTGTTTCCATATAAAGGCAGCTATTGTTACTGGTTGGTGCACACATGTGAAATTGACCTGATATCATAAAGAAATGATTGCGAAATTATAAGGCATACAATTTGTTCAATTCAATATGTCTGGCCACATTATTATTAAGCCTAGATATGTATCATAACACTTTATCTACTCTCATACTCTCTAAACGCTATCTACCATGATGAAATGTTGCAGCATTAGCATGATGGTAAGAGTAGCGAACGACTGAGAGGTTTCAGTGAGTATGCCGCATCTCTAAAAGATCTCACACTTCGGGCAAGAAAATCTGACAGAAATACTGTCAATAATGCGGTTTATGTCAAGATTGGTTAATATTTACGTTAGGGTTGCCTATCAGCTGCCTGCCGTAAGTACGTTTGATATAAGTACAAAGGTAGGATTTTGACAGGATTTTGACTGGCAACTCAACCAAAGAATGCCTCCATCAAGTTCACCTAACCATGGAAATGTCTTTGCGAAAGTTAGACATCACGTAGTCCGTACCCTGTAAAGCTTGACCCCTAAGACGTCTTGATAGTAATGTGACAAACATTTTCAGCAAGTATTTTTAGTGAGATTTCAGTCAAAGATGTATCAGAATCCTCAACATTTGAACTGAATTAAATGCATTTGCGATAGGCTGCCAATATGTGAATCTTACTTTCTCTATTTTGATATACACTGAATTTGATCCATGTATCTATGAGAATCGATAGTGTTATGGGATCTGAGACTAAAATGCGATTTTTTTGTAATCTCCATCTAAGTTGGCAAGAACATCGCAGTTTTTCAATTTTCACATGAAGAATGACAGGTATTCATCAAAATTTCACAATCATTTTAAGATAACTCCTCAGGCTTTTGTAGTCTCATTTTTTAAGTGGTTGTTTGTCACCTTTCTTGTGATGGTATCTGGTTAATACGTGCTTGTTAATCCAATTTCATGTTTTTCCCTTATTTACTCAAAAATATCAATGCTACTGGATTCATTTTTATATCCACATTAATGACGTTTCTACGATATTTGGTATCAAAAAGGTTAGCAAAAAAGAAGTGGGTTAAGTTAAAGCATACCTCAGATAAATTTGAATACCTAGTCTTAAACTCGAAACATCAATAGGGTTCAATTGATTTCTCAACAAGTTCTAAAATACTAATAGAAGCATGTATCAGAACAGATCATCACAAAAAGTTTTACCAACTATCACAGAAAAAAAGATTCCAAAAACCTGATGGAAGACGATCTAACGATCCGCAGTACTTAATTGACGTTTCATTCTCTATGACTATTTCCATGATATATTGCGGGTGTAAAAATCCGTAGGAACGACATTTATTTCTAATGTTGTTGTAATCAACTACAAAGTCGTTGATATATTCATTATAAAAATATTTCACATCAAAAGTGATCGATATTAATTTGTAGTTGAAGAAATGGTAGGCTTATCTGTGTTTCTTAAATATAAAGGCGTGTCGCCAACTTGTATTGCTATCAATTATATTGATGCGTTACAGAAGGCATTAGGAGCGCTGATTGCTCCTATATTAAATGTAAGATTGCTACAAACAGTACAGATATTACGTTTTGCTACACATTCCTTCCATACCATCATTAGTACAACCGCTTGAAACTCGATGTTATTGATGGAAGTGGAAGACATTTTTAGGAACGAATTTCTGCTAATTGAGATACGAGCCTATTACACAATAAAAAAAGGCGTCGAGTAGACTGACGCTGTACTTCCCACGCAACGTTGTCGTCAGTTCATTTTCGGCACAGGTTAGACCTTCTGAGAGAAAAGTCAGCCCATTAACAGTTACGGAATCGAGTGACATGATTTTATGATGTACATGTCATATAATCTCCAAAAAACAAAATAGCTCTTTTTCGCGATTACAGTACAGTATACGAAAACCAAAAGTTCGCCAATGTTGGTCTAACAAAGTTAAAAATCGCTTTAAAATAAAATAATCTCAAAATAGTCTTTGGGGTCTTTTAGAGCAAGGTTTTGTCTTTAATATAGCTACTTGGAGACCTCAAGAATGAAATTATTAAACGAGTTTTTAAGCACTGAATATACCCATTTTTAGGGTTTTTCAGACAATAAATGTTCTATAACTCGATAATGGTCAGCTTTAGAGAAAAGTTAATGGAAACCTTTTTTCAACCGAACGATTCAAAAAACCTAAACAGAAATTGTCCGGACAAAAAAATTGTTTAAACAAATTTGATCTGGGTTACCGTGCGAGAATGTTCAATCCTATAAAACGCGGTTAAAAATTATAATTTTTAGAGTCGTCAGATATCTAAATTAAAGTTAAAACCTTGCTCTACCTAGAAGAGTATTTTGAGACATGTTTATTTTAAAGCGATTTCAACCTTGGTTTTCAGGCCAAAATTGGCGAACTTATAGTTTTCTCCAGTAGGCGTGGGGAGTAAAAACGTCAAAATTATCAAGTGATAACTGAGGGACAAAAGTACGCTATGCCTAATAAACTACTAAATTCATAATTCCTGAAAGTCTGCAAGGCGGTTGTGAAAAATAATGTATACACTTTAAGATTCAACGACTTGCAACTTTTTGTTCAAGATTCTAAGAACTGCCCAATCACCCAAACATATTAAATAGTAAATCAGACTTAATTTATATCTTGTAAATTTGGTGTGTGGCGCCAGTACCATTAAATTAAAATTTCTGATTTTACATTTGATTTCATTGGCGACAGTGTTGATTAGACACAAACATACCATAAATTTTCCCAAAATCTAATGTTCACTCTATTCGTCTTTTAGACTTTTGCTTATTAATTAACACTGGTCGAAAATTTTAAAATCACGCAATAGAAGTTGGATCAAACTAAAATTCCACGAGTCTGCTATGCCAAAGGGGTTTGAAAAATTGCCTGTTCTTCAATATTGTTTAAAAAATATAGTTATGGAGTATCAGTATGGTTTTGTAGAGGGAAGATCTACACAAAACTGTTTTTATGCATGTTTTACACACGAATTTCAATAAAACTGTTGACCCTACAGATCAAGAAATTTTATTGAATAAACTCGCTAATTATGGATGAATGTGTCATTTTTGTCTTCCTACATCAAATGTCATACTCTTCAGGATCTCAAGTTGGCCCCAGACTATTCCATGTTTTTGTTAGAGATATTGCCCGCCTTTTCAAATCAAATTATTTACTTGATGCTGTTGATTTAAAACTCTTTAGGTGTGTTAGATCCGACAGAACTGTGATATGCTTCATGAAGATATAAATATTTTGGTACAATGGTATCAGTTGAGTAATTTGAAAATGAATTATAATAAATGTTCGTATATCGTTTTTACTCGCCTTAAGAACTGCTTTATGTAAACTTACATAATCAAAGATAATACACTACCTGGTGTGAATGTAATCAAAGACCTAGGCATCTACTGTTTATTAATTTAAATTACCATTTTGCCTCATTAGTAAAACAGTAATTGGAAGATGTTTGTCTGGAGCCCATCATCAAGAGATTCACAAAAAAGCCATACAAGACAAGTTTTTATGGTATCTACAATATAGATGAGGTTAATTGGTTTGTTTTCTGCTTGAAGATAAAAGAATGGACATGTGCTTTATTTTTGAATTATTAAATACCATAATTGATTCCCCCGAGTTGTGAGAAAAAATTTTTTGAGTTAATACCTGAAGTTTGAGACATAACATGTTGTGACTTTCCATGTGACAATGACAGAGGTAGCAAAAAAAAGTGTCAACATTTTACAAAGCCTCATACTCTCCAGGAAAAAAATATGCCCGATTTGAGATATGACCGGCGAAGTCAGGTTGTAGAATTTTGGTTTTGACCCTTATACATACATAAACATCATCATAAATACTGGACCTAAAGCACATTTGGGCAATCGTAGAAGTGAAAGTGCAGTGTTCAGATATCAATCACTAGAATCTCTCAAAACAAATAAGTTACTAAAAAATTAACTATGATTCACATTCGGCTGCGGCTGCCTATTATACCCCGTGCTGGGATGAAATACCTTATAATAAAGCAGCATAAAGAATATCCCGAAAATGAAAGGAATCACATTCAAAAAAATAATTGGAAGATAGTATACCATCTGTTTCAAAGTCTCGTCCGCAGTGACGATCCAAACCACGTTAGCTATGGTGTTTTCGGCGAAGAGGATGCTATAGAAGATGAGGTATTTCGTGAAGGTCGGACCTTCTACGAGTACCACGTGCGTGAACACGTAGACAGCACCGAAAATGGAGTAGAACAAGAAATTATAGAGGGCATTGTGGTCACAGAAATTGTTCTTGCTGCTGGTTAGCGAAAGCCACATGGTCATCACAAACCAATGGCCGATCAGCACCAGGATTGTCTCGGCAGGGAAGATCGTAGCTATCACACTGATGCACAAGATGCGCGAAACTGAAAACAAGAAAAACGGTGTAATTTGGGTTAGTCACTCGATCTAAGTACTGGTATACAGGGTGTTCCTTAATGATATGCGAATATTTAAGGGTGTGAATCTACATGAAAAACTAATGTTAGTTTGCTTTATAAACTATGGTTCAAAAATGTTTCCTTACAAAAACTTGGGGTTTGAAGTTTTAGGAAAAAAATGGAAATTAATTAATATTTTCAGAACCGCTTCAGATATTACACTGACATTTAGTACGTAGTGAAAGTTAATAAAGCTGCATGTTTTTCAATACAAAAATAATATTTAGCTTTAACAGTGGCGTGCGAACGGGTATTTACTTCGATATTTTTTAAGGAAAAAACGGTACGCCAATGGTTTTTGCCAAATAAAAATTACTTTTGAATGCCCCATTCAATTTAAAACAAATGATCTCTCCTGAATTGTTTTCCTTCGATGCGCCATTTTTGAGTAAAAAAATAAAAACCGTTTGCAAAATTATTATTCATTTAATTGGAAAAATTAAACACATTAAGGGTAATGAACAACAACAGCTGACAACATGAACATAACACTAAAACCAACGAAATGATTACAAAAATTGTTGAAAGGCTTCACTTAGTATGCATGCTTCCGCCCTCCTTCTCATGGAATTGCGCACTCGTTGAAATATCCCTGGAGTGTTTTTTATTCTATCGCAAGCTTCAACTATTCTTTCTCTTAATTCCTCTACAGTGTTAATGGGACTTGTATACACTAGTTTCTTAAGATAGCCCAACAAAAAGAAATCTGAACTGTTGAGGTCTGGGGACCTTGGTGGCCATTCTTGGGGCCCACCGCGGCCAATCCAACGATTTGGATAAACAGTTTGTAAATAATTACGAACCGCTACACTGAAATGGCTAGTTCACATCATGCATGTACCACATATTGTTTCTTATTACTAACGAAACATCATCAAGCAGCAAAGGCAACTGTTGTTGAAGAAAATTGAGGTAAGTCTGTCTGTCAAGTCGTCCCGGCAAGAAGAATGGACCAATAAAGTAGTTGCCAATAATTCCTGCCCATAGGTTAACCGAAAATTGGTGTTGGAAATGGGTTTCGGTTACGACATAGGGATTTTCTTCTGCCCACAAATGATTATTGTGGAAATTCTACTGGCATTTCGAGAAAAACTAGCTTCGTCCGTGAACAGAATGATTGATTCAAATTGCGGATTTTGTGTAATTTTTTGAGGATACCACTGACAAAAGGTCACACGCCTTTGGAAAATCAATGGGAAGTAACGCCTGTACTCTTAAAATATGGTAAGGATATACCAAAAAATCCACTAAAATTCTCCAAACAATTTGATGGCAAATATTTAAGTGTCTAGCGATCTTCCTCGTACTCATTTCAGGATGTTCTTCGACTTCGTGCAGCACTGCTTCCTCAATTTCAGGTGTTCTCACACTTAGATGTTCGGACAGAACCAGTTTCAATAAGACGACTGTCAAACATCTCTTAAATAAAGGGGTAAACGTAAAATTTCTGTGGTTGCCAGGACACGTTGGTATACAGAGGAATGAAGCTGCTGATATGGCAGCGAAAGCAGCAGCAGCGCAACAAAACATCGACATCCCTGAAATAAAAATGTCTGATCATAAAAACTACCTCATAAACCGTATACAGCGACACTGGCAAATTACATGGGGTAACACTGATACCCACTTAAGACAGATAAAACCTAGTGTAGGATCATGGCCACATCCTATCAGACTGCCACGAGAGGAATGGGTGCGCATACATCGCTTACGCTTTGGCCACACGCGTCTTACACATGCACATCTTTTGCTCGGAACAGATCCGCCCTTGTGCACTGGATGTAACTCTTCACTCACTGTACGCCACATTATCTGCACATGTCCGATATTGTCCCAATATCGAGTGATCTATGGACCATTTGATAACCTGACAGAGAGTCTCACACAACCAGAAAAACTGAAAAACGTCATATCATTCTTAAAAGTATCTGGTTTCTATTGGAAGATCTGACCTAATGAACTTTTTGGAAATGAACCATTTTAATTTTTGTGTATCTTATTCTCAACTGAGATTAAATGAATGTTATGTAACGATGATTTTGCATCATACCTATCTTAGCTTAGTATTGTCATCTTGAACTAAAAGAAATATGTACCAATAGAATTTGGATAAATCGAAATACTTACGTGAACGCAAACAAGATCGTGAAATGCAGATAATGACCACAAAAAAAAAATTAATATTAATGAATACAGGGTGTCCGCAAAGTTGGGGTTTTCCTTTTCAGAAACAACTACCCTTGAAATAACAAAGGTAATGTGTAGTGAAACGAGGGCGACCAAGTAAAAAAAAAATAAAGGAAAAAGTACTCACTCTCCAGTTGACGAGAAGGGCTAAGTACGTCTCTGCCTGAAATCAAAAGTTATTCACCCCATTAAGCGTGAACGTAGATTCGTCTGTCACCAATATGCACTTCAAAAAGTCCGGATTATTGTCATGTTGATACAACAACCACTCACAAAACCGCACATTTGCTGGAAAATCGTCAGGTTGAAGGGCTTGTACACGTTGGACGTTTGCCACACTTTAGTTTTTGATACTTGCACTTCTCTAGCCACGTCTCTAGTGCTTGTTGAGGGATTTTCGTCTACGCGATTCAGTAGTTTTTCCTCAGCTTGCACCATTCGTGGTTGTCTAGGCCTCCCACTGTGCCCACCTCGAAATTCCTCCAAATGGCCCGTATCCCTGACTCTCTGATACACAAATCTGTGGGGCCTTGGATGATGTCGTCTATGGAAACGATCTGCATACACTCGCGACGATTCTGTATCATTTTGAAGACATTCGCCATAAATTAACAACATATCAACGAGTTCATTATTGGTGTATGAGTGTGCCATTATTATTATTTTTTTTTTGAAACGCTATCGATTATACGGGTTCGTTACCTCTATACGCGTGACCCTTTACCGTCGGTTGAAGGTTGCAGACTGACCTGACACACTGACCCCGACACCTGACCCAGTTCTGTCGTCGGGTTCAGCTAGTAGCCGGTACCAGTCTGAGATATCGCGGGTCGCGGCTACAGGACGATATTCAGATATTTTTGATGTTGCAGAGCCCTTTATCTCGGTTCCCTTAAGACATTGGTGTATATGGTACTAAGAAAAATTGCTTATGTTTTCAAGATCTACACGTCGTGTAGAGGAAAACCCCAACTTTGCGGACACCCTGTATATGCCTGACAAATTTAGTCGTGTAACATTTCCCAGAGATTATCATTTGTTGCTAATAGAATCTAAAAATAAATGACAATAGTATATCCTTTTCGATTAATATCTGGAATTTGCATACTTAATTTTTTAAAAAAGCGACACTTACCACTTAGACATGTAAGAGATTATATATTTTATACTTTAGATTTATATATTATATTTATATATTATTGAATGCGGCTAATAACCATAGAAGTTGACGTCGTCAAAAAAAAAAAAAAAAATACGACGATGAATATTAGAAAAGGTTTGACTATCTGGCAAAGCACGATCGGGATATCTCTGGTGATAAATCCGTCTGGCTTGCTCACCATTACCGTCGGCAAGGCCATATACGTAATGCATTTCTGCCATTTCTGCATTTGAATAATTCACCATTATTAACAAGATTGTAAAAACTAAATAATGAAAATATGTCACAGCGAACAGATTTGAATAACAGAGACTTGTCAAATGTCAAAAGCCACTGATATATTCCAGAGCAACTAGATATTTATTGCTAAATTGCATTCTTCAATTATTACATTAATTTTCTCAGACAATAGAACGGTTTTTATTTTTTTACTCGAAAATAGCGCATCGAAGGAAAGCAACTCAAGAGAGATCATTTGTTTTAAATTGAACCGAGAATTCAAAAATAATTTTTATTTGGCAAAAAAACATTGGCGTTCCATTTTTTTCTTAAAGTCAATACCCGAACGCACGCCACTGTTAAAGCTAAAAATTATTTTTGCATTGAAAAATATGCAACTTTATCAACTTTCACTACGTAGTAAATATCAGTGAAATATCTGAAGAGATTCTGAAAATATTAATTAATTTCCATTTTTTTTCCTAAAACTTCAACACCCCGAGTTTTTGTAAGGAAACATTTTTGGACCATAGTTTGTAAAGCAAACTAACATTAATTTTTCATTTAGATTCAAATCCCTAAATATTCGCATCATGTATATGTTTATACACGGTGTCCCAAAAAAAGTTAATATTTGTTTAGTGTCCTGCTCTTAGGAATCTATTTATGCGTTTCTCGGCATGACACTATTACTCGAGAAAATAAACCCAGTTATATGGCGGTTTAGCACGTAATTTGTTATCAGTTTCGTTAGTTTGTTATCTGGCGTGTTTGAAATGCGTGTCTGTGACGAATTTAATAAAACAAACATTGAAATATAGTGTAATATGCAGTGGTGGGTTGTTCAAGCAATAACAACAAGAAAAGCAAACACGTTTCGAATTGGCGTACATTTACCCTTAACACTTAAATATCTCCTGTTAAGAGGCTTCAAGACATTAATCTCAGTAAAACCCATTTTAAACTTCTATTCATGTTATCTAACTACTTGAATTAGTATTGTTTATAATCAATACATTAAAGGACAAGCAAATTTGGGTAATTGATATTTAATTACTTTGTTTGAAATACGTTATTGAAATTCTTATCCAAAGTCCACAATTGATCAGTGAAACGAACGCTTCGTAATATTTTGTTTGTACTAAATAAATAGTGATACCAATTTGAAGGTAATGTCCAACTACGCTTCAACAGCAGTTACTCGTCAATTTTACACACGCTTCTTTCGTAATAAGTTGAACTGAAAAATATATATAAAAAAATGATGCAAGAATTGATATTACTAACAGTAGCTGAAGTAAGCCGGACCAAATCACTCCACCGAGTACCCGGAACCTTGCATTTTGAAAATAATAGCACTCGGAGCATCTCTAATCGCTATACTTTCGTCCAAAAAATAAATTCATCCAATAGAATGAATTGCATACTTAAAAGATGAAATCAAAAAATACAGTTAGTTGTAAAACTGTTCATTTTATATGTTGGTATAACATAACTGCTGATGTTTCTAAAGGCATGTCAAATCTCCAGTTACTACTAAAGACTGGCATTGACACTCATCTCATACTGATTGAACGTTTTGCTTATACAGTCTTCGATTGTCATGCACGATGTATTTGTTTTATTCCGTCTTTTTTCAATCTACGTTCTTTGTTATTATTCCATTTTGGTGATAGTTAATTGCAATTACCATGTGCTATTTTAACGAGTTATGATGTCAGAGCAGGTACCTTGATCAGTCATAGATTGCCTACTAGTCCTTTTTGCAGCAACTTTTTTTTTATTTTAGTACATTTGAGCAATTCTTATGGTTTTTGTACTGATAGCTGCAAATAAATCCTATTACTATTATTATGTAGTATGCATGGTACCAAATAGTCCGTTTTCGTTGTCCCGTTCCGTCAATTGCTTGGTTCAAGTAAAAATAATTAGCTTACAAGTAAAACATACAAGTAGCATGAGTACCTATGCCAGCCTTACAATTGTTCTTAAGACGATAACTCGCCGTAGTTCGTTTGTTTAGGCAATCCGCAGAAAACTTAAGATAATTTCAAAATTTTATAATTACCTGTAACTAAAAAATGCCACATAAACTGTACAATAGTCCCAGCCCAAGAAATGTTGTGTTTTGTCTTCAAGGCCACCCGTAACAATCGTTGGTAGGAGGCCATAGACCAGGCCATACTAACAAAGGAACTCCCGATACTTAGCAATTGATGAACGACTGAAAAGAAAACAAGAAAAATTACTACTTCAATCTTCCACTAGGTGGACTAATTCAGCTCAATCATCATTGATTGTCAACCTATCAAGTTTGATCAGGTCCACTCAGTTTGATAGTGGGCAACTAGGTATTCAAGATATTTATAAAATAAATTGAAAACATCATGATTGTGATGTAAAATCAAATATTTTGCGTAATCAAGTTATCGTGATTTGTCAGAGGGGTGCGTTTGACCTTAGCTCTTGTGTCATAGTGTTTGTAACTCTGTCAGGTCTGATAACCCAGAAACCAGATAATGCTAAGGAAGAAGAGGAGAGAAGGAAGAGGGAGAACAATCTTTTCAGGAATCACTCAACAAATGTTGATATGGTTCAAAAAATTAGGTGTTTTGTTAAAATGTTCCAATTTTGATTATTCTAAATTCACGAATTAATTTTGATTACAGTGCGAGCCGCGGCCTTTTGCGTTCGCGCAATTGCTCGACGGTGGAGACCACCGACTCGCGGAACACGGGGTTGTTGTGCGATTCTGCTTGGCTATAGTGCAGCTGCGCCTGTTGAATAATTCAGTCCCTTAGGTCAGGCATATGAGGTCTCTGATACTCTTGATACTTCCCCCACTGTACTTTGCAGCATATTGTGGACTAGGTCACTGGGTCATCAATGTAATCAATGTAGTATCGTCAGCACAGTTGCTGGGGCTTGGGATGTCATGTATGTACAGTGAGTACAGGATTGAATGGACAGTGTTATCGACAGAATGTTGCCAGTTTGACTCCGCGTTTTATAAGCCAAAAAGGGAAGCTCTATTGTGCTTAAGCATGAGGCCCGCATGCCACACCTTGTCAAATGCTTTTGAAAAGATGCCAGGATGAAACCTCTGGTTACTTGTTCCACCAGCCTAGTCGCCTGTAACTCTGTACTATGCTCAAACTGAAAGCCAAATTGCACGTTAGAAATCACATGGTGATCTGATGAGAAATTCTCAAGGTGACATACAATTTTAGTAAGCTTATATGGAGTTGACAGCAGACTAGTTGGAGGATAGGATTATCGGGAAATATCGAACTCCAGCGGTGTTTCACGCGCATTGGTAATGGGTGCTTAATGATTGCCACAAGATAAGGACTTCCAGGAAAGTAGCTTCAACGCTGTATTAGTAGTTTGATCCGCCCAAAGTGCTTTATGCACCTTGAGGTCTTTAATATGACACTGAAGCTCTGCTGGTGTGCAATGCGGAATCTCAGGAGATTCCTATGATGTGCTATGCAGAGGTTCAGTTGAATAAGCTTCTGAAGAAGAGCTTGATGAAAATCACCAACGATAGCGCGACTGCTACTGACGCGATTGGCCGTAAGATATCTCATGACAGAATGTTATACAGGGTGACTTCGAAGTTGAGTCATTTATTTTAACAGTGAGTAGATCTGATCAAAAGAAATGTTTTTTTCCTTTACCATTTTTCTGGTAAAATTAAAGTAACAAAGTTATAGCCCTTTGGAAGTTAGTACCGCCCTGTCTCAATCATAATATTATGTGCTCGTGTTTGACAACAACGGATATAATCCGCCTTATCGGTTCATCGCATCGGAAACAAAAAAGCGAAAGAATTTGGAACGACGTTTTTACAATTATTTTATTCCGTTGTATACAGTCAGTGTCAGTCGGTAACGCGTGAGTGAATAGTGGTGTCTGTTGCGTGGCTCAAACGAAATAAAAAATGGCACATGTTTATGCGGATCGGTTTCCCAATCGAGTGCAACCAACCCCTCGTGCCTTTGTTAATGTAATACAACGGGCTCGTGAATCAGGTGACTTAAGACCTCACAGGCGACGGCAAGCCGGTGCTCCAAGACCTCACGATCAAATACAGGTCCGCACTGAAATACTTGTCGGGAGGATACTTTATAAAACAAGGTAATCATTTTTTTAATTTTTTTTTTATTTTTACACACATATTTTGGTTTATCTTCCTTCTACAATCATTATCTGAAAATTAATGACTCAACTTCAAAGTCACCCTGTATAAGCATTATACGTTCTTAAAAGAATTGCCCCAGAAACATTTTGATCTTCCATTCGTCAGGTCTCGCCACTTGTGGTATGATTACAGAATCCAAATGGTACAACCTAAGCTTATTGTGAAGGGCTAGAACTTACGTGTAAAGGTACTCCCATCAATCTCTTTCCCCCGACTATGGAAAATAATGGAGAGCTGCAGCGTCTGCTGTGGCGCGGCTTCTAAGAAGCACTCCAGCACCCTCAGCAGAGCCACATCCGAGTCTTCCTTCACCATCAGATCATAATATTTTCTTTGGTTTTCTACATCTTTGTTTTTCTCTGCTTTCTTTGATTTTATCGCATACTGAAGGGCATCAAAGTACCTTAGTACTGGGGCAAGTTGGAAAAGTAGTACCACTATGCAGCAAATACGGCGTTTCGTTAAGCGTTTTGTTAATGTAGTACCTCTGAAAATATTCAACATGTATCCTGTTCATTATAGGCTTGTTATAATTGGAATTGATCTACAGGGTGTTTCTTAATTAAATGTCAATATTTGAGGAAGCGATTTTTGATTCCATTTTAAGAAAAAAAAACTTCATATGAACGTATGTCCTAAATTTCTAGACTTTTAAGGTGCAGGGTGGTAAAAGTTTTTAATATATGCCACTCTAGTGACTTTTCTAATGATACAAAAAAAATCATTTATGCGTAAATTTGATCACATGATTTTTTTTAGCCTTCCGCTAGATTTTCACCTCAAAAAATTAAAGTTATTTATCTGCATGGTTATATAGTTATATTAACAATATTGTTACTATCATACAAATAAACGATTTTTTTTTTTTAATGAAACGACCATCAGATTGCCAAAACTTTGTGATCAAATTTGCTTAGAAATAATTGGGGAATTCAAGGATAATTTTTAGTTTAAGAGAAATGAGTAGTTTACAATAAATGTCATCTAAAATAGGCAGGAAAAATTCTGTACGAATGCCACCAGTACAGATTAAAAGAAATGTTGTACATTAAAAAATGCCATTTGATACATAATACATGTGTCCAAATTTAACAATTTAATTAATTATTTATTTTTATAAACCTTACCACCCTGTATCTCTAGACTTAAGATATTTAGAACATACCTTTATACAAAGTTTTCTTCTTAAAATGAACTCACAAATTGCCCCCTTGAATTTTGGCATTCAGGCAGTCATAAATTGATGTTCTAAATGCAAGAGGATTGTAATGAAAAATAACTTCTAACAATCTCCCTACACTATATATAATTAATTTATTAGTCATTCATGCCACACTATGAACAAGACAGCAGTCATACTGGTGAGTTCTCACAATAATATTGAGATATAAATATACGCATGACAGGTTCAACGGGCAAGCCTAATGTGTGGCACCTCATGGAGAAAAGCAAAGTTCTGATTTATTGGTGGAAAAGAGCTGCTACAATTGAAGAAGCATGTTTATGTTGAGCCATATCACAAGCCAAAGCTTGCCAAAACCATTGGCTTCTTAGCAATTAAAATTTAATGTGAGCCTGGTCACCTCATACTAGACAAGGTACACAACTGTGTCTTAGAAACACTAAACTACACTACAACTACATTGGCATTGTTGAATGGAAAGTGTTTATAATGTTCACAAGGCTAGCTTTTAAAATAAAAAGTAAGGTTCCAAAAAAGATGTTCAACAAATGGCAGTATATATCAGAAAGGTTCCCTATCCCACTTTTAAATAGGTAGAGATCATTTTTATTTTACGTTTTTGAACAGATCTAGTTGTTGCTGATAAGCTACTTGTCTCTTCTTTCTATGTTAAAAGCAGGTATGGATCTCTACAAAAATGTATCCAGGACTAGGAACAAAATAAAAATAATATGAAAATATATATATGAAAGTCCCTGATGGTGATAACACTGTACCATTTTAATGTGAGCAAGTTCTAAGTTTAATAACCCTTTAAATCAATATGTCTCATATTTGTGTGGAGTACATTAACAGCATAATGTGATTATGGAAAACTCTTAAAATATTTACTGTATAATAAAGTCCCAAATCCAATTTAAGTCATAACTTACCTGTTAGTATTTTCATGGTCTAGCACATACATCCGAATACTGAAAGCAGTATTTATCATTGCTGGTATTATAATAAAGGCCACAGTGGCACAAAAATACCCCAATTGTGCACTAGCATAATATCTGTATGCTATGTTACAATCAAAGAACACATCCACTATGTGACTGATAATGGATATCACAAACCCTGCTATGTCCCAGTTTGTGACTCTGTCCTTTGAAGGGATCCTATCCACATCATCCCTTTCAGTATCACACACTTTATTTTGGTAAAGGATCGTCATTTGGAAGGTCATTCGCACCTCCCAAGATTCAACTTTGATCTCAACGATATTTTAATTACATTACTAATAGCCTAGTATTGTTTTTCTTTTGTGAATGTGGCCTTTGTGATGTCGAGGGCTTTGTTTCACTGTTCGCAATCTTCATCTGGTCAATGTGCTAAAATTACATTTATAATTTAAGTGAGGTCAGTTACACTTTACACTGCTGATACCGTGTAGAAATTATGTAGCAGATGATTGTTACAAAAATGTTACAAAATAAGTTCATAACCCTATAAAAATTGAACTTGTCAAAACGTTGTCAAACTTCTGCCACGGATCCTATCCTACTCGGTACGTAACGAGTTGACCGTTTGTAAAAGAGAAATATAATCCCTTTTATATGCGTCATGATATACTCGAACTCTATAACGGACAGAAATACTCGTCTGCCATGTTATGGTATGTGTCTAACGCGACCATTCACCACAACCTGGATATTCCTTAATTCCTTTCTTGTCTCAATTCATCAGACAAATTGCAAGTAAAAATTACGAACATGCAACTTTACATTCAAATCATTTAATAAGAGATGTGGTGGCATCTGTATAAACACAAGGGACCTACTTTACATATATTGCTCTTTTCATATAAGTTTCATAATCACATAATCTAACTTTGGTATTTTTTGTTAAAGGGATTCGTTGTTCTGCCAGTTAAATCCTCAGTAATTTTTGGGCAAAAGACCCGCGACCTACTCTGATGAGTAGAAGAAGTCTAAGTCAAGTCAAGGGCAGAGGAAGACGGCAGATCAGAACAAAAAATTTAGCTTGTCACATAGGCTTGAGGCATACGACTCTTTTCTCTGAGCTCGCTCATTTCGTTCATCTCTCTTTAGTGTGTCGTTCGTTCGGAGTCGTTCATTTGAACGACACGATTACCGACCGCCCTCGAAGCTGTCGAGAGTATTGTGTTGCCTATAGTAACGACTCACTGAGTCAGAGAATTATACATCAGACTATGAAAATTAAATGAACGCTTGGGTTGCCGATGTTATTGTACATATTTATTTAAGTATTAATATTTTTGGTTGAAATTGAATATAGCGAATGTATACTGATTTCCGAAAAAAGAAGGGATAATGTCGTCCGGTTTTGATGAATTACCGAATTCTGAATCAAAATACAATGTTTGCTCTCAAATCCCATCATTTCAACGTATATTTTAATGAGATATTTCAAAACAAAACAATTGAGTTCCCTAGATAGTGTGTGTACTGTTACCACGTTCCACGTTGTCAGTTCGCAGTTCATTTGCTGTATAGTGCATACTGCAGAGGTTGACAGTGGCGCTGTGACTGGCGCTGCAACGGCTGCAGCCTGCAGCACGCTGCAGTGGTACTGCGGGTGAAATGACACATTTTAGTCAAAAATATCGAAAATTAGCTGTAAATGGCAATACGACCAATTTAGAGGTCCTAAAACAAAGTTCAAGTCATATAGAATAGAGCGATCGGGCGATCCCTTTTATTTAAATAAAACTAATATTGTGGATTTTTGTGTTTCGAAGGCATTCTCCAAGAGAATAATGAAAATTTTGGAAAATATCATTTTTGACTCAAATGTGTGCCGAACGAATTGTCAGAACACAATTTGACGTCAATTTTGGACAATGTTACTACGGAATAGTCACATATGACAGGGAGTATTGTTTTCGAATGACATGACTAGCGAGAAAATGGAAAAGTTGCCAAAACTTCAAAATTTACATTTTTGCTAAACCTTCAAAGTTTGAGCACTTTTCCAGACTGAACCGTACGACTTGGGACCCTGAAATTTCGCAAAGCTTCATAGCTCTTTAGCCCAGTCTCAGATATGGCCTGTCATGCCAGATCATGGAATTATAGTTTTGACTCATATTTATATATTAGTCATATTCCACACACTTCATACATTTGACCTTAAAACTTGGAATTATAGAGAAATATCTTCAACACAATAGATCGCAACGTTGCCAAACGAGTGGGGACTATGGACCAATTGATTGAGCCTATTGACTGACTTGATCCACTCAATTTTTTCATTATTCATGTTCGTAGCTAACTTTTATTCTCAGAGGGATTAACTTCTGCCGAACATATCACTGACTGATGATACTTGGAGCTATTTTTTCTTTGTGGATCGAAACATGTTCCTCGCTTTACAACCCCATTATTCTTTTTTGAATATCCATTTCCTGTGGTAAACTGTTTTCCTTTGAAGAAACTAAAAAGCAATACTTTCGAATCAAGACATGATTACAGTTGCGCTGACCTCAGTGTGTGCAATGAGTGACAAAAAATGAATTGCATTTTTTTCTTTGCTTCTTCTACATATAACAAAATAAGCTTTAATCTTAGCGCTCTAAGGATTTTCATGTTTTTATGCTCTAAAAAACATATAGAAAGGTTTGTATCTATTTATCGTAAGCCTAAGCAATTCTCGACAATGTAACAAAAATATATTAGTAATTTTGTTTTTTGGAATATTCCATGGATACACAACATTTTTCTAATTGCTAATTTCAAAGTTTGAAGGTATTACAGATATCTAATAGTGAAAACAGGAGATGAAAAATGATTTTTCCATTTTCAACCAGATTACAGGATGTTTTGATACAAAAATTTTGCTGATTTCTTTCAAATTTCGACAAAAACCGTTTTGAGAAGCCCGAAATTTTTTCCTTGCGCTGTTCCGTTGCTCCTAAAGTTTTTCGGCTAGAACACCTGAAAACTAGAATCTTAATGCTTTTTTCAAAGTCTAATTACGACCATTTCTCATTGAAAAACAACCAGTCAAAAGTTACTGAAAAATTTGTTTTTTTTTCTTGCTTCCTTAATTTTTTTGAGTAGTGTACGTTCTTAGTGTTTTCAGTTTTTTGTGAACTAGGAGTGCTAAAACCATGAACGGACAGTAAGGGCTATTTTAGAAGACATAATGCATAAACGATCGTATATTAAGTTATATCTATTTTGGAAGTAAGAAATCTGAAAGCCCTTTGACAAATCCTTTTTTGATAAATCCGTGGTGGGAAGTTTTCAAATGAGCATTATGCAGCTGTCATGGAAAGAAACATCGATGACGACGGCGACGTGCTGAGTACGCTCGCGGAAGATGATGATCCTATCAAATCGATAATAATTACCTAATTGCTCTATGAATATGCCAGTTTCAATTTTTCAAATGCGGTTTGTTTATAAATTTGGTTGACCAAGACGCCACGCGACGCCTGATATGGATACTGATTCACATAGTCCCCATACCCTTAGTTCATCAACAGTGTTGCCACAGCGTTGTGACCAAATTACTTGCAAATGCCAGACAGTTTTACAAGTTCAAAGTGTTTTTATTCGTTGAGTAATGACAAGTATCGAAACCTTCTGCAAGTTCAATTCTATTGCTGAATGAATTTTTTTTGAACCTATGCTATGAATTCCCATACCGAGCAGACCCGGCTTCTATGCGACAGAACGTTATGACTCTAAGCACTTTTATAAATTCCCAGTTTTATATATGGTTTTGTATAGGATAAAATACTTTTTTGCCTATGCATACACTCATCTCATCAAGTGGAAAAAATTTTTTATTATATAAATATATTTAATGATTATTTGATCTAAAATTACATCATCATTAATAGGATAGGTACAATTTTCATTTTATCAACTATTCATTAGGGGAAAGTGGTTTTTTAGTGACTGCATTCGCACTCGGGCGAGGGAAACCCATAGAAAACCTCAACCGTCACTGCTAAGATCAATTGTATCAGGTAAAGAAAAATCAAGTCGTTCCGTAATTCTGGGTTCATTTGCACCATCGCCAGCATGGCACAGTTATTAACCTAAAAAAAAGTAGCATTGAAGTAACGGTTCATATGAGGGCTATTTTTTAAGTAATAACCGTTTTGTAATCAGAGAAATTTTATTTATGAATGCAAATTGTATCATCCTGTGAAAAAAATCGAAAAAACAATGCAAAGTAACAAAAAACATTCGTACAGTTGGAAAAATCCTCGTCTTCAACTCGGATTTTCGTTGCCACTAGCACTCGTGCTTCTGGTAGAATATTTCTTAGCAGCGTGTTTTTTCGATTTTTTTTGACAATTTGATGATAACCCCCATACTTCTCTGGCCAATCGAAACCGCATGTGTGTTGAAAAAAAATCTTTATTTAGTCTAGTCCGAAATAATTGTAAGGTCTGGTGTTACTGGTGCAAATTGATCAAGGGGGTATTTAAAACGCATAAAATGGATACGGAAAACGTTTTATTTGACAACAAAGAATGAGGAAAGGTGTTTTTTGGGATTCAATCGAAAGTGTTGACATGAACGAAAAAACTTTCCATATAAGATTCTTACGTATTTATGAGATCTACAAAATGAAACTACACGTGAAATTATCCGACTAATAGAAAAAATGTTAGGGCCGAAAAACGAGGCAAAATTCAGGTTTTGGCACTTGTTGGTAATGCGACGATAATTTCACGCAACTACTTGAAATTCTTCAAATCCGTAGGATTCATACTTCTAAATAACAACAACAAAATTAGATTATATGGGTCAGGTAGTTTTTTGAGAATTCCTAGTTGTTTATCCCAAAACACCTGTTCTCCGGCCAGCATTACTAGTTTATTGAGCAATATACATCCTGTGGTTTTCATATCGACTATTTCCCTCATCTTCATTTCTACCAGTTACAAATGTGCAATTTTGGATTACAAATGATTTCTAGATGGAAAAATAAGTAAGACAGCACCTGTCAGCAGTTTTTTCGAGCTTGCCCGCGGCAAAACATGACAGCTGTTGTCACCAAAAATTACAATACCTTTGATATTCACGGTGCAATTGGTTCTTACTTTAAAAACGCCCCTCGTAATTCACTGACTTCTTTGATAAAGGTGTTAGAAAAATAAAATTTGGTGAAAGCTTTCTTCTGTGGCGCCGCTGCTTTCTGCAATAGGTTTCAAAAGTTATACGAAAAATAGACGGAGATATTTTAGAGGGTGTTTCCTTGTTAAAAATATTTATAAAAATTAATAAACCAATTCTGTCCAGTGACATGCAATGAAACGGTTTATATTTTTTTTCTCGAAAACGTGATATACGAAAAAAATACAAGAGGCAAGGAAGTTGTATTTTTAGATGCTTAATCAAGCAACTAGTATTACAGTTACAAAAAAATCAGTGGCGTATATTTGTTTGCCAATAATATTCGCTAAGGTGCCCCCGAAACGTCACTGGACTTAATAATTTCTATCTATTTAGGGCTAAATGAGTCTCTTAATACAACAAATAACACTGTCAAATTTCAATAAAATCGAGTAAATACTTTTTGAGGTATTAATACAAAAATCATTAAAATTTTTCATATTTTTTAAAAAGGAATCACCCTCTGAAATATCTCTCTCTATTTTTCGAATACCCTGTATTTCCTGATAAGATTGACTTATCGGGTAAGAGGTCAGTGAAACATAAAGAATAAATAAGTTCAAGATTATGTAAGAAATACCCCTCTTCCTCATTTCAATTATCAATTCAATTTATGTTCGTTCTGCATGTATCAGCCTGCAATCATCTTCAAGGGCGTGAAGAAATATAACTTTTGGCATCATTATGTTACTTTCCCAAATATGTCCCACAATTTCTTCAAACGTATGGAAATCGTGAACGTTTTTAGAAGTGTTTGCTTGGAATCTGGCTGCAAATAGTTCGTAAAAATTCATCAATATATTGTCAGTAGACCGTACTACTATTATCCACACATATCTATCTGCAAAGAGAGTTCACGTAAGTACATTTAAATAACACCTCTGCTTATTTTGAAACATCAAGAAGGTTGAATCTGTATTTCATGGAAAATAGCATAAATTTAAGTACAGGTTTGAGTGGAAAGCGTTTGGCCTTTTTAGGGTAAGTTTCGAAAATATATCTCTTGGGAACGTTTCCAAGATCCTCATGAGTTTTATATATGCTTCAGGGATTCGTGAAGTTCAAAACCGACCTTCTTGATGCCGTACTCTCCAATGCTTATTCTGAAAAAAATTTCGTTTGATTGCTGTCTTCATATATTGATGTATAAATCGGGGGCTTTAATCATTCTTAACATGCTTTAATTGTTCCTCTTCACTCAACTATTGTATGCCCATGAAACAATCATCCAGCTATCCAGGCAGAACATTTTTTAGGACAGCTGCCATTATCACGCTCGGGAGTGTCTATAAATTTTACCATTTCTGAAATTTGGAGTGTCCCCCTCCAAAGCTCGATAAAAATATTTGGGCTATGAATCTGAAAGAAAACCTGAAAATTTTAGGACAGTAATTCTGTAAAATACGTAAATATAAGAAATGCGCAATCACATCTTAGCTAAAAATAGATATGTCCGTAAAATATGCACCTAAAAAAAGTAAATACCAAATGAGAGTTAAAATTAAAATTATAATGACTACGTCATTATCATCAATATTTATCATAGTTCATCACACTTTCTGAAATACGGAATGTTCTCACTCTCTCTTAAAAGCTGAAACAAACTAAGAATAAAACGATTTTAAAGCATAAAAAATACCTAAGAATAAGAACCATTGTAGTTGTAAATATATTTTCTCAATAAATAAAGGGGTTTCATCCAGCTGTTGATAGTAAAATAGAAACAGTGAGTACCAAATATTCGTAAGTATTACCAGAACTACTACTACTACTGCTACTGCTAATACAACTACTACTACTACTACTACTACCTTCCTATCTAGTTACTTATCATCTACGGGCACACTTATGAAACCTGAACTTTTCACATATCTCATCCCTCAGAAACACTGGACCATTTTATGTCAGCCATGTGTTTTCCAAGACTCTCCGAAAATGATTAACCACATGTATCGCGTAACATTTCTTCACAAAAAAGTAATAATTGTATTCCCTCGTTGTGGCATCATATCGCAGATGCCCAACCAAAAAGGGGCACCATGTCTAAGGGAAGGAAATCCCAAATACACTTTCATTTCAGCAAGTTATTACCATTCCCACTATCACAGTTTGGGCAGAAGAAGCGTCTCCGCATGCGAACGGCTATAAAGCTTGCTTCTATCTAAAAAACAAGTCATGCTGGTATTACTTTCGTAGTTTAATTGATTCCATTGTATTGTACTCATGTTTTCGAATATCTGGTTAAACAAATGAATATACATAAAATAGTTCGCTTTAATATATTGACTCCTGTTATAAAACCTGGTTTGCATGCACATGGAAAATATCGCTTGCACGTCTCGCAGTACGAGAAAAAATTTTGATAAATTGTCAAAATATATTACTCAGAAGCCCTATTGATGGAAACACATTTACCTCGAATGTACCCCCGCATGCGCAAGGGCATCTGCACCCCTCGATGTGCCCCTGCGTAAATGAGCAAGAGCATGTTGTCTGTATCCCTCGCTGTGCCCCCACGTCGCAGAGTGCCCAAACAAAATTCGTTAACATTTCTGTAGCTACTCGCTACTACCGACCACTTATTTGGAGTTTCTGAAGCGTACGTTTTATATGATTCTTCCGATTCTCTCTACTTTCTAAGTTTCCAACCGTGTGATAGCGTTTTGTTATTATTTTTCCTGACTTTTCTACCGAACTGACGACTTTTCTTAGAGACTCCTAACTATCTAAATGGGGCACCCTGTCTGGGTGCAGCAGGTTTTATAACCTCGCAGCTCTCGGTCGTAGTCCCCCTGTAAGCCCGACATCAATAAGAAAACCCTAAATGCACTTACATTTTAGCAAACTGCTCTAGTCCCTGGACCAAGTATAAACAAAATGAGTATACGAGTACTACGTTGTTAAATCTATCACTCTGACTCTTTGGGAAGGAAATTCGAGTACGTTTTCGCATGCTATGAAAGCTTATAGCCATAAAGGACGAAAAAGAAGCAAAAAGTAGCGTTTTTTTTTTTAACTTAACACCCTATATAAATAAAATAGTTCGACATAATTATATTAGCACATTTTATTAAAACTGGTTCACACTCACATGGAAAATACCCCTTGTATATCCGTGGAGGTCGTAGTTACTAACGATGAGCGACTGCCAATAAATTATCAAAATATGAAAATGAAAAATTGCCGTAAGACAATAAATAATCACTTTATTTTCCTCTATCCTTGTCCTTATGGAGCATTTTGGCAAAAGAAAAATGAATTTTTCCGAATATTTCAGAAACCACTATTTAGCGACAATCTTAGAGAAAGCTATATTTTTATTGTTTAACGGTATAAATCATAAAGACAGGTAGTTCCATAAGGAAAAAACTTTTGGGTTTTTGTAGCATAGTTTTATTTACATACGAGGGATGTATTTTAAGTTTTGCATATAGAAATAAAACAACACGGTAGGTATTTTTAAATGACTTTATTGTTTTTCGAAGTATTCTCCACGAAGATTAATACACATCTGGCTGCTTTCTGCTCTTCAGTCAACAGGTGGGGTATCCAACGAGAAACTAATTTTCTTACTCCTAATTCTTCATGTAAAATTTTTTGAATTGAGGTCTTTGAGATCTTCAAGGACGCCTCAATCTCGCCATATGTCACATGTCTATCTTCAATGATGAGTTTGCGCACAGCATCGACGTTTTCCTGGGTGACTGCCGTTTTTGGTGCACCCACCCTGGGATCGTCGCTAAGACTCACCCGTCCACGTTTGAATTCTCTAAACCAACGGGAAATTGTCGACTAATGTGGCGCTTCGTTGCCGAAAACAGACAGTAACTCAGTAAGGCATTCTTGTTGCGAAATTGTCTCTGAAAGTTGTAATAAATGATGGCGCGAAAATGTTCTCGGTCGAGTTCCATTTTTCTAATGACTTGTAGTGAGAACACTGCACGTATTGTTGTGAAAGTTTACTATAGAGTGAGGTTAAGATTCAGTACTTACGTTCGATCCGCGCGGCCTACTATGTTTCTATATGCAAAACTTAAAAGACATCCCTCGTACTCTCTTTTACTACTGTTTATTAATCATCCTAATATCGCATAAGGTCTACTAAGGCAGATCTTCCGTGAGAGAACCGTTACAATCGTGTGACAACACAAATATAGGCTGTCCCAGAAATAACACACCAGAGTGGCATGGAAGGTAGATTGGCTTCAGATCAATCAGGTAAAATCAACATGACCTTAGTGAAAGTTTTCTAGTTTTCGAAATATTGACACTGTTTTTTCATCACTATCTTTTGCTCCTTTTTTGCCTTTTATGGCTATAAAGAAATTCTAACTCACAATTTATTCCTGCGCTACCATTAATAGTAGTTTGAGATAACCAAGTATTCATTTCATTGAAAACTAGGACGGTATATATTCTAAAAAAATAAATGGTTACATTTTGTTTCAATGTGTAATGCTCTTTTAAAAATAGTATAACATTTGTAGGTTCTTTCTACTAACAATTGAATAACCCCTAGTTTTATCACTGAATTCGTAATACTTGCGAAATATGCAAATAAAAGATAAGTGCAGCCGTCTTTTTTTACCAAATCACTAGGGAATGAAACGACCTAAACATATCATTGTAATTTAGAACAGCTACTTGTGTTTAGTGCTACGCACGTGTAATAAGAAAGACTTGAAAGTGGGAATATCTTTAAAAATAGAAAACGTTTATATCATCTTGATTTTATCTGATTGATCTTAAGCCAATCTAGCACCCATGTCACTCTGACGTGTTATTTCTGGGACACCCTGTATAATACGATTGAAGTGTTTATCGGCCTACACTTGCGACACGTTACGTTTTCAAAATTCTTATTCACCCTGTACATTCGAAACTAAAACGAAAGGGCATAGAATTAGTTCTTGATCTTTTAATGAACATACGTCAAAAAAGAAAGTTCCACTTAGAGAATTAAAGAGTGAAGTACATATAATATTGCCAGAATATTTGAAAATAAAGATCTGGGATTTTGGGCTTACTGCCAATGATAAACAAAGTCCTATAGGACTTTGACAAAGAACTCTCTTTCTTTAGTTCGCACTTTTGCTACTACGTAGTAGATGCAAGCCCAGATACAACATGAATATAGTGCAATGGATGGCAAATCTTCTAAATTCCTCCTCTTAAAAATATCGGTTGTATAGAGGTATTTATTTCTTACAAAAAATTGTAAACAACTTTATATACGAGAGATAGAATATGAACACGTAATACAATCGGTATTTATGTGCATTAATCTCTTTTTCTTGCAAGTTTTTGTACATGATAGTGTGCTACTTATTATGTATTTACAGTTACTATAGACGAGGCGAAAAAATTCGTATGATAAATTTTCCATCTCGATTTTTGAATGAATCATGAGGTTGCCCGGAGTAACTCGCTGCAAAGTGTAAACAATTGCAAACTACAAAAAAAACATCTTTATGGCCCGTAAAAAGTGATTTTAGATGCTTTGGATCATTGTGAATAAAAATAGTTTCACTCTAAAAGGGTCGTTTTCGATTATGATCGATTGAATATCTAAAAAACCCTAAAAATGTTTTCTCATGTTACTCAATTAAACTTCAAACCTTCTCCGACTTGGCGTATTTTTGAAATGCTGTTATTTCATTGTTAATAATAATAACGTGCATTGGAATACGCATTAGCACCTCGCGTTGCTAACAATTAAGTAATAATACTTTAAGATATACTAATCTTGAAATACTCCTCGGAGTTTTGAAGGAAAAGGTGCGAGTGAAATGAGTGGAACAGATACCACAATTTTGCGGTGATAACTATGACATATAACAGCTGATTCGTGACGTCACGGATCTTATAACCAAACTGATAACTACACTCGCTTGAACGGATTGGTAAATACCAACCCAAAATGGTAAATACCATTTCCATTTGGTTATCCGCTTGAATTTGATTATAAAACATAACCTCAACCGGTAGTATTTTGATGGGAAAACTTTGAATACTGATGCTAAAAAGAATAATAATTGATGTTCGTAGTCATCTTTCGACAGAATTATCGTTTTATAGCATGTCTTCTAAAGGAAAAAGTAAATCCAAATCCATAAAAAAGGATGAAAGTGCGCCAAAACCAAAGGTGTGCGTGTGTTTATAATAGATATACGTGATATGACGGGTAAAAATTTATTTATATTACTAATTATACTGTTCTAGGAAGAAAACAATGTCATATCGTTAGACAAGTCAAATAATATTATTGTTCAAATATTAGCCAAGCCTGGTGCAAAGCAAAATGGAATCACTGGTGAGTATTTAATCTTCAATTTGACAAGGATTGGTTGCAAATAGTTTGAGTCAGTAGCTGATTTTCTTTGTTTGAGCAAGGGTAAGGCTGTAATATCCATTGTTGGGTAGAAAAGCTTGACAATATTGACCTGTCAGCCTTTCCTGCCCCTGAGTCATTTTGGTAATCGTAATGCTTGCAACATTTCTTTGTGGTGGGTAGAATTGCCTTAAGTTTTCATACTAATGGTGTGAGTAATTCATTCGGCGTCATACATATATATTTGTTCCTCTGTATATTGTATATGTACAGTCGAGAAAGTTGAAACCTACTATTGGTTCTTTAGACCTGTTTTTGTAAACCCATACCTTGTTAAGTATCATTTTCCTCAGTATCGGTTAAACATCAATCAATTTGCCATTGCTTACGTTTGTCAAACTTTTTGTAAACTCTTTCATACTCTCTTTAAGTAGCTGCCAAAACAAGCATATTCTGTGAGGAAATGTGCAAGATAGTAATCTGTCCACACCACTTTCTTGTTAATTCCAATATATTTATATCTAGATTCCAGAATCAGGTTTCCAATCCATGCACCATAACCAGTTGCATCCCATCTCTCCTGCCACCTAACAAAAAGTACCCCTCTTTCAAAGTCTCTAGCTTCAACAGCCTTTTTAATTTAGTATGAGATTGCAATTTATTTTTATAACTTATCGATATTGGGTGGTTACATTCACTAACTCTCAGCAGGTGAAACAATGATGACAATGATGTATGAAGTAGGCATGTTACAAATGTTAATTTTTAAACAATTTCCTTCTCTATACACCACATGAGAACATAGTTGAATGAGATAAGACTGCAAAGCTTTTACTTTTGAGTTTGATATTACTCTGGTTCAGCTTCATTATTGAACTGCTGTTTGAAAAAATAATAAAGAAGCAAATAACTACCGAGTTTGTAAAAATTTCTTTTCCACAAGTTTAAGGAAATAATTGTCTCAATTTGTATTTTTTTGTACATTTATAATCAAAGGCTGATAAAAGTGAAATTCAAAGCAGTTACTCCATAATTACAGCTGCATTCAATTTACACACATTCTCACTTTAGTTTGATAGGTTTATTACAGGGTCCTTTCATCAAGACTCAGTTGGACTTACCTCAGCCAAGTGAAATTTGTCCTCACTTGCAACTTTTGTTTTCGTGCAAAATCCACCAAAATGAAATTGTGAGATGATTTTCCACTTTGCTTATAATTATATTTCTGCAGTAATCTATGTCAGCAGGCTGCCAAAATGCTTTAGTCTGGAGTGTAGTTCCATGATAAAAAAATTCATTTTTTAATAATAATAATAGCATTTATTAAACCTGGCAGGTGTCAGCTAACAGCTGCTTTTTTACCAACCAGGGCCAAACAAAATTATAATACAAAGTTCATGCATTTGGGAAAAATATAAACAATGATGATGATATAAACCTATTAAGAATAACTTACAACTAACATCAAGTGGTTAAAAATTATGTGTGGAGAATGAGAACAAATATTCAGTTGGGTTAAAAAAAAGGAAGCGGAATAAAAAGGGGGAAAATGTTAATTTTGACCGAAACATAAGATATAGTTACAGTTAACAGAGATACCATTATACAAGTTAAAAACTAGACATTATAAAGAATTATGACAGGTTTTTAAAAACATAGTTTTTTACTTTCTACGTAAAATGTGGCACTGATAAAACTTCAAAGCTGGCGGGGAGCTTATTTTCTGATTAGGATTAGCTCAGCTGTTCTTTTTGAACTCTGAGGGCTCGAGCAGACAGAAGGCGGTCAGGCGTTCAGAGTTCTGCGTTCTTTGTAATATGTACTTCCTTAAGTAACAACACGCACTACCGTAGTCAGACCGCAGCGGTCATTTAAAGGATAGATACTTATTACAAAGAACGCAGAACTGAACACCTGGCCGTTTTTGTCTGCGTGGCCTCTGAAGTGAGCCAGACATTCACTGATTTGACAGCATCATTGCTGTTTAGGATGTCCCACTTCACTAACAAAACAAACGAAACGCACGTTTTCTAATGAGAAATAACAAGACAAAACAATTATGTGAAGAATTATTTGTTGTATGTTACATGATTTTCTGTCAAAAAAATTAAAATATTTTCTGTTTTATTCAAGTACGTAATATCCTTATCACATTCTCTTTTTATGAGATTTATATTCGCATGAATTTCGCGAATGCGGATATAAAGATCTATGCGAATGTGAGTGTTTGTTCAATCACTGGCATGAAGTATGCTTCAGTTTGGGTGGTATCAAACATATCTTGCTAAATGGTGCTCGGAATAGAGCTTTGCTTCAGCATAGTCCCATTGCTGATAGTGAAATATACATATCGAAGCACCCCACTGCATCGCAAAGGTACCATCTTTCTTGATTTCACTTTATCGATTACATGGTGGATATGTCATCCTCAGAAAAAGAGACAGCTTTTAATCATTGTTTAACGTTTTCTATCTGAAGATAGCCAACCTAATACTATTGTAACGCCCTCATAACTAGGACCTTGAGTATGGTGTATTTTTTAATTCACCGGTTGAGCAACCGGTGCCACCGGTGGACCAGACATCCGTCCTTTTAATTCAACCGGTTGCTGCCGTCACCATACAAAGCTGTCAACAGTGTCAACCATAAGCACCGCATCCATCAGTGGTGGAATCAACCGGCGAATTAAAGAATTCACCTATTATGATGAGACCAACTCACAGTATCGATGCTTAGGCAACCAGAATTACGCCGTCGCGTGACCCAAAAGAGCGCTATAGCTTGCAGCCAGAATACGCGGGTGTTCACGACGGCAGCGTTCGATATCCATCTGGAAGCATCTACCGCCATCGAGAAGCATCGATTGACATCTAGAGAACTTGGATAAAGCCCGGGATTACTCTAAAATTCATTGACGGAAGTTAAAAACCAGCCCAGATCGCGGAAGCGTTCGGTCACAGTCGGACCGACAACGTGGGATGAATCAGTAATGGTTCGATAGTCCAGTCGACGTGGTTGTAAATTTGTATTAAATAATTTGCAAGTGTTGTTATAAATTGGTGTAAGAGTAATAAATTAGACTTTAAACAGAGGAAACAATGTTTTCGTTACACTATATTCGCGCAACCAAGAAATTGTCTGAGATACCGTAGCATCATCTATTAGAATATATCACATTTCTCCTCAAATTAGAAATCTACGTTGAAAAAGAAAGTCAATGGATAGTTCTCCACAGCACTATCTATGAGCCTCCCTAGGCGCCCATGTTTGCCTTTTTTTCAAGAAAATGGTATATGTATATTGCAGTATCTTAGTATAAAATTACCTTGCTAGACCTGAATCGTGAGACGTGCTTTTTATTTTGTTACAAGGGAATTTGCTGTGAGATGCACTGCTTAAATGTTAAGCATACGCAGCCGTTACCCCCTCTCCAAAATTCAATCCCCCCGTCATTTTCCTAAACATGTTGCGACCATCATGCTAGGCAGATTCCTAAATCCGCCCTTGACTTATATCCCAGATAGCCGCAGTATGATCATCTGAGAAGTATAAAATCTGATTTGTCATAGGAATAACAGATGAAGGAGTAGGTGTACAGATTAATGCCCCACCATCTGAAGGGGAAGCAAATACGGAGCTTGTGAAGTATTTTGCATCGGTTTTAGGACTTAGAAAAAGTGATGTAATTTTTGACAAGGTAATCTATTCTATACATGATAGGAAGCTGTAATTACGCCATGTTCTAAACCCTATTTCACGAGTGTCCAGCACGTGTTGACGTTTACTAAGGTGAACAGCTGATCAACAAGTGACGTCTTTGTATGTCTGTAACGTTGGCTTGCATCGTTTTTTTGTTGTATGCAAATGAACTTTTTTAAATAAAATAGTTGTTAGCAAGTACAAGATGAATCTGTAGTGTACAAAAAACAAAACAATATACGGCTCTGTCTACTTGGCCTTGACGGTTTTGAAATATTACTTTGCAGGGTGTTAGGGAAATAATATTTGTAACTTTAAGAGGTGATTCCTTGCATTATTCTAACCAAAAAAGTTCATTATAACTTATGTCCGAAAATCAATCGTTTTCGAGGAAAGTGAGTCGTAAATAATTAAATTTTCTCCAACATTTGGCAACGCTGCAACGCAACCCCGATACGAGCGCACGACCACCACAACTTATTCAACGAATTGTTGACGTTTGTATATTTTTGTTGAAAATATGCCTTGATTTATTGAATACTTTTACGCAATTTTTTGTGGCTAATATTTTTTATTTAATAACGCTTTCAGTACAGTACTCGTACATTTACTTAAAAAAAAATGACACAACTTACCGGTACGTGGCGATACACACCACCAATTCCCACGATTATCAGTCACTTATTTGAAACGATGCGATGCACGAAAAAAAAGAACATCCGTAAATCACATAAAGTTACAGTTAAATGTTTTAGTAATCATAACACGCGATGATACTTGCAGTGCAGGCGGTGTACGTCGTTACCAGTTGTGTGAGGGATTTTGTTTGTCTGTTTTTTTTCGGAAAATTGTATTTAATAATCAAGAAAATTATTTTGTTAGAGTCAGTTAATTAATAAATAGATGTATTGATACATTTTACGCTATTAGGCATATTAATTTTAATTATTAAGGTGCAAAATTAATTTAGTCCATGATTAAAAAGAAATAAGTTCACCATTTTTTTGCTCCGAAACGGTTGATTTTCGGGCATAGGTTATAATGAACTTTTTTGCTTACAATAATGCAAGGAATCACCTCTTGAAGTTACGAATATTATTTTCCTAACACACCGTATAATCAGCTGTTATTCTAACGTAATGGATGCTCTTGAAAAATAATGGACTTATTCTCAATCTTTTTTTAGGGATTCAAATCAAGAAATAAGACACTCAGAATAACTGGAAGTATAACGATTGAACAGGTTAAAAACAAAATAGAAAAAGAAATTGGGAGTTGACGGCATTTCAGTATTTTTGAGGAAACACTTATAATTTGTTATTTTGTATATAGATAATAAAACGTTGATACACATGCGTTTCATGTTATAGCTATCAGTGAGCAATGCTTTCGTTTAAGTATTGCTTCAAAATGCATTGCCTTCGGTCAAACTCACGTAGCTTTGTTGTCAGCTTTCCAGCTGCTCAATTAAGAAAGTCAAACCTCATAGGTACCAATACAAAAATATGTATAGTTGTAGTGACCGTTCTGGGCGGGTCAAAGTAAGACAACCAGTATCCCTTTATACATCTCCATCTCCCTCATACATACACATGCAACCTACACCTATGTGTGAACGTTTGTTCGGTAAGCTGATAGACTTACGTTTTTTAGTTGTGTCTCCGTTTCGAAAACTTTGTCGTTACGTATGAGTCCCATTCAATCATATTTGTCAGAGTGACAACTTACTTGACATCGGCGTGTAATTGAAGTTGTCCTGTTATCAATCTTCAATATAAAATTGTGGAATGCCCGGAAATACGATCAATGGAGAAGGCCGACAGCTCGTGCTAAATTTATTGAGAGTATTTCCAGGAAGAGAATGGAAATAGCGGTCCGCTATTACTCACTTCGTGCGGAGAGAGTAGCAGATGCGCCCATGGTACGGAGACCCGATCTGTTTACTTATTTCATATGGTGTTGATGACGTAACCGCCAAGAACGGTGACTACAACTATAGCAATACGTCCCATATTTATGTTCATTTGTCATGTTTATCACGTGACACGAATATGCGAGCCTTTAGATTTTGATAGATCATAAAAGTAAAATCGTACCTACCAAAAATACAGTTTTCAAACCTACTTCCCCCGCCCTATTTATTGTTTAAGGTGTAAAGTTGGCAAGCTGAAAATTAAGGAGACAAAATAGATTGATGCATATGCTCATATACAGGGTACCCCACGTAGAACTGCAGCGATTGATTACACGAAAAGTTGACGTTAGACAATTGTTAAAATTTGAGGTTATAAATCTGTCGTTATGGTATAGACCCTATTTCACGAGTATCCATCACGCTTTGACGTCTATTGAGGTGATAAGCTGATCAGCAAGTGACATTTTTGTGATAGTCTGCAACGTTGGCAATAATGAATCTGGTATAAATCTATTAAAACTTGTTTGTGACGTATTGTTTTTTGTATGCAAATGACCTATTCTAAATAAAAGAGCTGTTAGCAGGAACAAAATGAATCTGTAGCGTACAAAAAACCAAAACAAAATATATATATATATATATATATATAGGGTATAACTGACTTGAGGAATAAAATATTTTCAAAATGGTGACACATTAGGTTGTACCGGAAGTAGGTACTAACTTGTTTCTTCTAAATGGAAGCATATAAAACGAGTATTTGCAAATACATATGTCCTAAATATAATAATAAAAGCCTATAAAAAACTATCCTTATTTTTATTGCTGAATAGGAGATTAAAAAAACAGGGGAGTCCCTTTGAAAAAATTGACTTTTGAAATAGTTTAAAATTTAATCTTCATCCAATTTTCTTGACCCTGTATTATTAATTAGCAAAATATCAAATGAACAGTTAAAGTTTAGTATAGGATGAAATGTGTTTACCATGAGGAGAGTTCAGAAATTGAGTATAGTATATGACTGTTCGATTCAAAATTAGCAAGTTTGTATTTACTCCCGGTACAACTGGAAGCGTCACCATTTTGAAAATATTTTACCCGAATTCCTCACATCAGTCATACCGCAACGCCAGGTTTTCAGAATTGCTAAGTCTAGTTATGGTTATTGTAAAAATGTGCCCAAAAAATGTGTCACACAAGATATGACATAATAATATATACAATATTTTTTAATGAATGCATATTTTCGTATTTTCTTATTGAACAATGAAAATAAGACATTGCAAGTGTACCTACAAGCAAACCCGTTATATACAGTGAGGTTAAAATTTGACTGCCGTCGTAGAGTGAGAGAGAGAGAGAGAGAGAGAGAAGCGTCCGGTATGTAAGTTAGAAAGAATGCTCCGATGGCGTCCGTGGCCTCGTCACTCGGGTTCTAGGCAACCAGATGCTTCTATCTCTTTCTAACACACGTATTGCACACTTCTCTCTCGTATACATTTCGAAATCAGTGGTATTTGGTTTTTAGTGTAGATAAAAATACAGTTAAGCCAAAGAATAGTTATATCAAGAGAAGACACTCCGTGGAATGTTTTTACAATCCGCCGATCGCTCCAATGCCGTAGGGAAGCCGATTGCAAATGCTTTATTGCATCATCGCGTACTGATGTGATACGATAAAAACTAGTCACGGTTTACGCATTTTGATGCTAAACAGCAAACTCGGCAACTCGCATCAAAGGGAATCGCCGAGTCATATTGATACTTTCCGTTCGACCAACTACCACGGACGCTCGTGTCGATGCTTGCACGATGATCGTACCTATTATGAACAATCAAAGATCATCGCCTAAAGTGAAGTGCAGGCATTATACTGAGCTGAATGAAGTTCTTTTCCTTTGGTGGTTACGTCAAAAAGTCATACGAAATACGTATAAACATAACATTTCTCATAACACGGCCCATCAAAGCCGGTGTCCCTCAGGGTTTGGTTCTTGGACCAGACCTTTATTCACTTTTTATTCATGACGTCCCTTGCCCCAGCAAATGTGAAATCTGTCTCTATGCTATAACACTGCCCTGGTGGCCCAGTCGTGCTCTGTGGATCTAGTTCACGACAGGCTGCAAAGTGCAGTGGACGAGGTATTGGAATGGGCGAATCGGTGGCTGATCAAAATTAATCATTCGAAAACGCAGGCAATCTATTGTACTAAAAAACGTAGCGGCGCCCCGTCTGAGGTTTCAGTGAATGGAGCTCTGCTAAGTATCTCGGTGTCACTCTTGACAAGGGAATGACCGGCACACTGAAGCGTTAAAAACTAAATTCTGGCAACTCTATCCTATGCTATGTAGAACATCAAAATTAAGTTTGATCAACAAAATTTGGCTATACAAGATGGATATTAGACCAGCGATCACTTACGCAAGGGCGGCTTGGTGTTTTCTCGCCAAAACGCATTTGCGTAGCCTGCAGGTTTTGCAGAACAGAACCTTGCGTACAATCACTAAAGCTCCGTGGTATGTTTCCAACGAGCCCTTCACATCCCTTACCTAAGGGACTACGTCAAACAACAAGCGCAGCTACGTTATAGTCAAGCGGAATCGCATAACAACCCTTTGTTGCGCGAGTCATTAGACTATAAAGTCGAGTAAGTTCGCAAGCACACAAGGCCGCGACTCGCACTGTGAACAAAATTAAATAGTGCGACTTTAGGTCCAACCAAAATTATAATTTTTCTTTAAGAACCAATCCCAAAATTAATTTTAGGATCAATTTACGCACTTCTTTTTTCTTTGCTCTCCCTCCTTCCTTCCTGTCTTCTTCCCTTCTTTCTCCCTGACTTTGGTATCTGGGCAACCAGACCTGACAGACTTACTGACTTACAAGACTTCAACCAAGAGCAAAGGTCCTACGGACCGCTCTGACCGACAATGACGAATAGAGAACATATCGCCTCAAACTGTCTAGATAACTGGAATTCATGTCAAGTAGACCGACGATTGGACCAATATACAAGTTAGAGGTTAGAAAACTTGTATATTGAAGCCGACGTTCAACTTTTGTTACTAAATTAAATCGTGTAATATTTCTGGTAAGGTCCCAAGAGCTAATACTCGTAGTTATGTGATAACTTCCCGCAGGTTTTGAGAATAACTTCTTTCGCGAAAAATGTGATTTATAACTTTATTGAATGGAAATTTATTTTGTGGGATGCAAAAAGGATTATCTATCTGGCAGCACCGTATTTATCTGCGACTAAAAAACTGCACGTGGTTAGGCGTCATCAACAGGTTTTGTGGAAGTCATGTTCTTGGAGTCATCTTTTATCTCTAATTTTATTCGCCTTGCCTGTCTTTTTATATAACTACTCTTTGGCCAAATTTTGTTACAGTTAGCAAAACATTGAAAGTTGGTGAAATTTCAGTCTTCTCCCCTCTTCTAATGCATACACATTTTTGTCAAAAACTAGAAGTATTGGATTAAATCATTAACTTTGTCAGATTCAAAAGGGTTTAGTTAAAATATGATGCATTTCTTTTAGCATGAAGTATAATGAATGAATTTGCAGAAACGCCTAATTGAGGTATTACAAAAAATAATGGCTTTTTACACTGACACAGCAAAACTTATATAATACTTACTAAAAACTATACAAACTTTATTCATTTTTGTAACAAAATATGCATACACCTTGAAAATTATATCTACAATCTTATTTATACAGTATCGTAGAACTATTTGGATCAATATGTTGTAAAATATCCAATAAGATTTCAGTATCTTCAAGGTCATTCAAAAATCCTGGAGATCCTAGTAAAACTGCAGGCTTATTGTTGATAACTGTTCTGTATGCATCATTATCTGCATGAAAGCTGACAGATCGCTCCAATGCTAGCTTGTTTGTGAAAATAACAGTGGTAATTTTCCCTTTCTTCACCATAACTTTAATTTTCCAAGTAGGAGATGGCAATTTCACATCCTTCACTTGTTTGACTAATTCAGTAAATTTGAAACTGTATATATCTCGTTGTGAATCTGATTCATGATAATTGTTGTTCATTTGGAGGCAATATCTGGGTTTATTCATTGTCCTATATGGGGAGGTTTTATTTTTGGGATTTAGTTTTTTCACTGAAGTTTTGCTTTTCAGCTTGGAACTCTGCTTCAATTTACTTTTTTTCATCGACTTATCCACTTTCTTATTGTGAATTTTCCCATTTTTCACATGGGTTTGTGCATTTTTAACTTTGGGAAGTGGCTTCACCTGCTTAGGCGTTTTTGACGTCAAAGGTTTAAAAGGTATTTTAACCCTAATATTTCTCTTGACTGCATTGTTTCTGGCAGATCTGTCAAGTTTAAGTTGATTCGTCCTTTGTCTTGCAGTCAACTTATCAGCAGTCAGCTTATTTGCAGTTTTTGGTGGCCTTCCTCTTTGTCTTGAAAGGGTAGATTCTTTTGACTTACCTTGCCCTTGTGAATTACTTACAGTTCTACTCTTGTTTCCCACAGATGCTTGTCGTTTCAGCCAATGTTCATATTTTGCTTTAAAATCTGCAAATAAAAAATGCATTTTCCATAATGAATAAAAAAAAGGATTGCACACTTGTTTCATTCAAGTGATTCCACTATGTCCAATACAATGTAAAAAAAATTGTTTGGTACAAAAAGTCTGAGGTATCTATACTGTGTACTATGAATCACTAAATATATGAATTAAAATGTTCCAGAATAAAGTACCTAGATAAACTTCAAGAGGTATTCTTAGATGAATTTATGGATTCAGTATAGGTCTGATAATGCTTTGTTTTAAGAAACGGGTTGTCAATTCTTTATTTACTGATTCTTTACAATTGACAATAATACTCATGACATTTCAAACAGTGATATTACTATGTATTTTTGATACAGTTATGGATTGTTTTCTTTATATGGAGCCCTAGACATGTGTACAAAGTTGAGTATAAGGCAAGGCGCAAATTGAGACAAGTATAGCACGTGTGAGGTGGCGCAGCACAGCAAGTGTTTTTGTTAACCAATAGAAACTCTTGGAACAGCATTGGCTAGAGACGTGACGAGCGCGCCACTCCACACGTGTGACGTTGTGGATGAGACACAGTTTTCGAGTGTCTTGCTTCGCACGTGCTAAACCTCTACAGACTTTTTCGTGCATTAGTTAAAAGGATGACAGAAGAGAAGATAATTGAGACAGTAAGGGAACACAAAGAGTTTTACGACACAAAGCATCTTAACAACATGAGGTTGCTTTGCTCCTGTATCAGACATTTTCAAATGTGACGCGAGATCCTGTCAAACTGCGTCTAAATATGCGGATCGTAACGCAACACGTGTGGCACGTACGGATCGTGTCTCTCATCTCACGTCACTTCACACGTGCAAAACGCGTCTCAATTTGCGCCTTGCCTAAAAGTTAAATTCCTTTACATGGACGCTTGCATGCCCTCCCCCCATTGGGAATCTGGTTGGATCTTAAAACTTGCATATTTCGCATGGTTTTGTGTACAATTTTGAGGTTTTTCAGGAATAACAGCCACTAGACCCGTCCTCCCCCTCATTTGAGAAAATTTGCTATCCCCGCGTTCTTCAAAAAGCTACACTCTGACAAAAAAAGTTTTTTGGGCAAAAGGTTGTCTTGCCGATGATCTGCCCCTGTGAGAAAAATTCCTATGGGTGCCCTTGTTGCTCTACTTACTTAGAATTTCACTAACTCTGATGTAATTAATGATCAGTAAATACTGATGGTACAAACCACAGTAAATGTTGTGACAATAAGTGTCAAAAGTTGTTGGGGGTTGCTGCTACAAAATGTAAATGAAATGCACAATGAAAATAATAAGTAATTAAGGTTAGGTTTCAGGGCGCCCTATTTCACGAGTATCCATCACGCTTTGACGTCTGCTGAGGTGTACAGCTGATCAGCAAATGGCATTTTTGTGTTACTTTGCAACATTGGCAATAATGGATCGGGTATAAATCTAGTAAAACTTGTTTCTAGCATTTTGTTTTTTGTATGCAAATGAACTTTTCTAAATAAAAGAGCTGTTAGCAAGTACAAAATGAATCTGTAATGTACAAAAAACCAAAACAAAATTCGGCTCGGCAGCGTTGCCACTAAACGATCAACGATTGCACGCATACGGAAAACATAGTAGTCAACATAATTATTTTATGCTCAGATTGGTACTTGTTACTTCAGGTATCTATGAGTAACGAATAATTACTTTTCCAACACCTCTAGTGACATGGGCTTCGCAACTAGCTATTAGGTGATCATGTAGATACCAATAACTTTGTATTTGGGGTTATTGCATGTTTAACATGAACATGACATTCTAATATATAATTCTGTTAAAAAATATTGGATCAAGTGCTTGTATATGGAAATTTGTTTCTCCAAAACACCATTTTCCAGCAATACCTTGATATGAAATAACAGCCCAGAACAAGTAAAATTTAAAAAGCGACCATAGGAGACTGCAACTGCTATAGTTTATTTGTCTATTTTTTATATTCGCTGAATCATATTTTCATTTAATTTTTTTTTATTCCTACTTAGAAAATTCAGCTTTTCTCTATTATATCATTTGTTTATCTATTGTTTCTTATGTTGTTCCAGAGAATACCGTTTAGTTTATTTAACTGCCCATTTTTTGTCAATTATTATATTTTAGTCTATCTATTTGTTGTTTTTCTTATATTATTTCTCCAGTTATCGTTTGCCAAAAAACTATTTTTACTTATTTTTTTCATCACTAGCACAAGCATCTATTGTTTTGTGCTTTTATTTCCGATCAAGGTATTGCTGAAAAATGGTAATTATGGAAAAACAAATTTCCATATAAAAAGTGCTCTGTCCAAGATTTTTTTGTTCACAATTACATATTAGACTGTCCTTTACACATTAAACATGCAATACCCCCAAATATGAAGTTATGGTATGACCTCTGTGTAATCGAAAACCAGTCTATGTATGATTAGGTATAAATAAAATTATTGTTTAGTTTTGCTTAGGTGACTAAGAAAAGCAATGAACAATCAAGTTTTCAGTAGGAGTATCCCTAACCTATATGAACCCATAGAACAATAATTCACAAATACTGAATGTACTTAGTATCTTTACAAACAAGTAATGGTGATGGTACACTTAACGTAACCATGTATTAAAGGGTTTTTGCAGGTTTAGCATATTCACACCAGTGTAATTTGGAATTTTGCCCAAAAAATCTTGGACGGAGCACTTTAAATATGGGAATTTGTTTTTACTTAATACCATTTTCCATCAACACCTTGATATCAAATACAAAACTAGTCACATTGGAGAACACACAAAGGAGTTATGATAATGAGAATAAAATAATTAAAAAGGTATATTGGTTAAAAATGAGTGAATAAATAATCTTAAACAGTATCTTGTAGAAATAATAGGGAAAAAACTACAAAATGAATAAACTAACATATAATTGTGTAAAAGCAACAAACATAGGCTAATAAATAAACTAAAACAAAATTTTCTGAAATAACATAATCAAAGACAACAAATAAAACCAGAACTTAAACAGTCTTTCTTCTAAAACAACAATGAAGATCAAATGAAGTAAAAATAGAATACAGTGATGTAGAAATTTGCATCCATCCTGAGATCGCAATTTGATAGCCTGGGGTTTATCCTTCAGCATCACTTGTTATGTGTTGCTCTTTACGTCAGGGTATTGTTGGAAAGTGCTGTTTAAAACAAATTTCGATATAAAAAGTGCTTCATCCAAGATTTTATTTGCGCAAAATGACATACTGCACTGTTGTGTACATGTTAAACCTGCAAAAAAACCTAAATATATGGTTAAGGGTACCATCACCCAAGTAAGATGGTAAGCAACTATTCTAGCTTACCATTCAAATTGTGTCTGTACAATGGTATTCTAACAACTTGGTCATCCACGGCAGCCTCAACTACTGTCGTGCGATCGGCTGTGAAGCTTCCTTGTTTACATAAAACCAAACCAGAGCCATTCGTACCTTTGTAAACTGGTCTTGTCCATTCTATTAATGAGTTCTTAGTGGGGCAATTTCTAGCACTCCAGTCATTACGCAGTTTTCGTTTCACGCCAGTCTGCAAAAAGTTTTATTAATATGTTTAGTTATTTGGGACCCGCGCAAAGTTTGTGTTGATCATAGTACTAACCATTACGAAGTTGGTCACATTTATTTTGTTTTTAGAAATTGTTTGATCCTCTACGACTTGTAGGAAACTGGGATAAGCTCATAATTATACCTTGGTTATCCTAATTTACGAAAAACTTTGAGCAAACCGACTTTCATATAACGCCAAGCAGCATCAATCATGCAAACAGAGTTAGAAGATGGCCAACATGTCAACCCAAAATTTCCCCAAATTTGAATTGTTTTTATAAAACGGATTCATGATCATTCTATTACATAAGAAATAGTCATTTCCAAGTTCAGCATTTTAATGCATGTATATTTTTCCTTAGTACTTTTCTTAGTAGTCCAAAATTAAAACTTCATACTCTATACACTCTAGATAAAGTTACTAAACTTGACACTGAAAAAATATGTTGGCAATTTGAATTGAAGCTTGACACTGACAGCAGCAAAGTGTCATATGTTGATTGGTGACGAGGTGCTGGGTTCAGAAATATTGAAATCACTGTAAAATAGTGTAAAATTGATTTTATAAATATCATTCACATGTACCTATATTCGAAAATATTGATACTAACCTATGACATATGTTCCTTGTGGCGGCATAAAATCAAAAAGAAATGCATATAGCTGAAGCTTCTGGGCACTGTGATTCACAGCTCCCTTTGTTACCGAATTCCACTTCTCCAAGCTTTGGTGTTCGAATCAATTTCTTTCACAGAGTGCTTTCTGAACGCAGCCATATTTGGTGTCATTTCTGTTATGTTCTATCAAACAGTCAAACACTTCAAGTGTAATATGTTTTGTACTTCAAACAGTCAAACTGACTTTTATAATAGGTTAGGTTGCTTGTTAAAAATTACAAAATTTCCCAAAATTTTTTCCAATGACTGAGGATACACTTTTCGAGCTCCTTCACTCTGAAGTGGTACATTATGCATTGCAAAACGATGAACGATCTAACCAGGTTAAATGTCCACCATTATCTATATTAATTTCACTAAAGTATTTATGTCCTTAGGATGAAGACCTCTCCATTATAGAATACATAGGATTTTCAGTTGGTTATAGAATAATTGAAAGGTAGTTAGATACAGAATTGGTTCTAATTTTCATTCATCAACATACATTTTGCAGACTAACAAAGGACATGTCTCGCTTCAAGGATGAACTAGATACAATGAAATTTATCTGTACAGACTTCTGGTCAGCTGTTTATAAGAAACAAATCGATAATCTGAGGACAAATCATCAAGGTGTATATGTGTTGCAGGATAACAGTTTTAGATTTTTAACTAAAATCTCAAATGGAAAACAGTATTTAGAAGCTGCCTCCAAATATGTTGCATTCACATGTGGTGTTATAAGAGGCAGTCTGTCCAATTTGAACATAAGCTGTTTAGTTACAGCTGAGGTACAGAATATGCCATCATGTAAATTCCATATACAGGTTCAGAGAACCTAACTTGTTTGTTAGATGTGTATTTTAAGTTTATTGTTTTTGTATTTCTTAATAGGTGAAAAGTAAATATATATATATATATACATTTTAACACATTTTCACCCTTTACCAGTTGATTGAACTTGTCCTAATATAACCCACATCATAAATGGTTGCAAAGAAAAATAGCAATATATACCTTACCTAAGGAAGGAAAGTATGCAAAGAACTATGTATGATGTAAAAATGTAGTGTACTTTTTAGTTCTCAATTTTTTTAAATTTAATATTCTTGTATACAATTATTTGCTGGCAGATTTCATGAAACTTTACAAAAACTTTTTATTTTGTGGGATTAGTTCAGAGATACAGTTGGTGTTCATTTCTTTTAATTTATGTACTTGGTTCACATTACACCTAATTTAATGTAATTTGAGGATCAATTGTTCCTCAATCAGTGTCCTCAAAATGTTACAGCAGGTCCATTCATTTTTGAACCCCATAAGTTTGGGCTCACACATTTTGTACTTTTTTGATATCAGAGCATACTCTTCCACGTGTTACAGAAGAGTCTGGCATAGGAAGTATAAGCTATAGCTGCTCAGGTTTTGATGGAATTTTGACATCATTCAGGTTACTAGTATAACAAAGATAAAAAAAGTTGACGCTTCCTGTGATTACTAAAATGAGCATTCAATTTTATTTCCTATGCCACTAGCAAGATGTAATAGTGAAAAAAAAAATGAAATTGAGATATATTTTTTGGATGCTACATGACATGTAGATCACGTAAAACCATGTTACGCATTTCTGTCATCTTGTTTGTATGTGCGCTAAGCCTTGACCCCTCTATAACTTGGATTTTGATGAAATTTCCACACAAGGTTACTACTATGCCAAGGACAAAAACGTTTTTAGTTTTTGAAAATCGGTTCGGCACTAAAAAGATAATAAAAAACGCTCATACTTCGTTTCTTTTTGACGTTTCAGAAGCTCCTGATCATTTTCAGATTTTTTTGTAGTGGTTAAAATGGGGGGTTGCAAGAGGTGGGGGGAGGGTAAATCCCTTTTTTTATATCAGTATAACTTTATTTTCCCAACACCAATTCTACGCACCTATTAGACCTATAGACTTTTCGGTACATTTCCCTTTATAACATAGAATGATAGGGAAAAGTTTTCGATACACGATATGGGAACGGGCAACGTTGCCAGATGGAGGGTACTACCAGTAGGGGAAAGGGTCTGGACTAATTTTATGGGCTTGTTTGACCGCGTAGGAAGCGCAGAGTCAACCTACTTGACGCCAATTTTTTAATGAGATTACTTTCAAAACCAGTATTATTTTCAACAGGTAGTAGCTTTTTATTGGAAATCAAAGGAACAAAATACCGAAGGTATACATTTAATTTCACATACTCATATGTTCTGAGCTCCTGCAGTGCCTGGACAACAATGGGGTCTTTCCACCTGAACAAAATAGCATTTTTAATAATAATAATAATTACATTGTTTACTATCCTTTTTCAAGTATGATGCAGGTTATCCTCATTTTTTGCTCGTATGTTGCAGAAAAAAGATATATAAAATCCGTGCATTGAACAAGAACTCATTTTACATTACATACCCAGGTTGAGAAGTGGGTATTATCATTAATCTAGCGCAAAGCTGTGAAGGATATAATCTGAGTGATCAATATGGCCTTCTCAAGCGAGATATACGTAGAACATTTTCCACTACTAACACTATATCACCTTCACCAAAGAACAGGTCCAGTAGGCGATCAGTGTGCTGATAGATGAGGGGGCCCTCCTAGGTACATTAACTGCCAGCTCTCTCTCTCGAGGGGCAGCCATCTTTGTCTGCGAGGACGAATCCTCTAGGGCATGGTTAGAGGCCCACATGGGGGATCTGCGGCCGTGGAAAGGTGCAAGGCTCATTACGATGAGCTTTGGCGACCTTCCTGTCTACCACCGCGTGATGACCTGGTTCCCGCGTTCCAACCAGGGAAATGAGGTCATCATAAGGACACTCAGTAGGCACAATCCTGGGACTTTTCCCAGCGTGTGGAGGCTACTGGAGAGGAAGGAGGAAAACCCAAAGGGGTCCGACTTGTTCTCTCAGTGGATTCCATAAGCTGGAAGACTATTGAGGGCAACAGGTATATACTGTTTAAGACTGATGGAGAGATTCCAGATAAATATGCTCGGAATGCTAGGCATACTAATTGGGGGTCCTCTAGGGCAGACCTTGACAGAAAGCTTGGAGGGGTCCCATACAGACTTTGTAGGGGCTCTGATATAGAAGCAGCCGTAGAGTCTCTGAGCAGCGGCTTCGTATGAGGAAAACTACCCGTTACGCAAAGTTCAAGGTAAGGGAAAGGCAACTTTCTGGTCCAAGGAGTTAGAGGATAGAAAACGAGCGGTGCACAAACTTCTGAACAGAGTTATGTACATGACAAGTTCTGCCCAATGGGAAGACTACAAGAAGGCGTTGCAGGAATACAAAAAGGGAGGTTAGAAAGGCCTCCTAAAAATCCTGGAGGAACTTCTGTCAGTCCATAAATGACATTCCTGCTTCTGCTAGAATACACAGGGTCGTATCCAAAGTCACTAAAGCAAGATTGAGATCTCTGTATGATCCCTCGGGAGGGAATACTACTTCCGAGGGAAGTACTCTGAAGCTTCTGAAGGGTACGCACTTTCCCGGTTCCACAGTAGCGCGATCAATCATAGAGTGCATGCAGTTGCGCAGAAGAGGAGTGGCGCACGGCAAGGGAGATTGACACCTTCGGAAGGATGGTATGGGCGATAGATTCGTTTGCTACAAAAGTCCAGGTCTGGACGGCATATTTCCGGCCATGTTACAGCATAGACGGAGTCCAGTTGTTTCTCACCTGTTGAAGGTGTTTCGAGCATGTTAACTAAATGCTGGCGGCAGGCTAAAGTGGTATTTATTCCTAAACCGTTCAGAGCTAAAACATGTACTGGCCCGAAGGATATCCTTTTATCTTTTGTGTTTAAGACATTGGAAAGGATAGTTGATAGAATCTTGAGAGATGGCCCGCTGGAAAAGCATGTCATTCATTCCAATCAATTTGCACACCAAGCTGGGAAATCGACTGATCTGGCCTTACACAACCGACTCTATCAGACATGCCTTGGTTGGGCCCGGGGTTGGATCAATCCTAGTAGATTATGTCCTATCTACCCTGGAGGGTCGGGTAGCAACAGCTATGCTGAATGACGTAAGCTGCAGCGTCAACGTAGCTGGAGGCTATCCTCAGCGCGGAGTTCTGTCATCCCTACTGTAGTGCCTCGTCGTGAACGAACTCCTCGTTAGGCTCAGCAGTGCGCGTTTTTGTAGAACAGTCTCTAAAATTGTACAGGGCGCTCTGTGCTCTGTGGAATCGTGGTGTAGGGAAGTCTCAACCTTTCTGTCAATACTAGAAAGACCGACTTGATCCTATTCACTAGGAGAAGGTTTGACGGGTTTGTCTTTCCGACCTTCTTTGGTACTAGATTAGTTCTATGAAAATCAGTAAGATATCTAGGAATCATCCTGGACTGTAAACTGAACTGGAGAGAGTATGTTGACTACAAGGATAACAAGGCTTGCAATTTAATGTGAGCCTGTAGACGTGTTGTCGGGGTAAGGCGGGGGCCAAAGTGGTACCTGGCTCTATACGACGATAGTATGTCTATCTTTCTTGTACGGCTGCCTGGTCTGGTGGCCTTGCATTGAAACTGAGACAACTAAGGCCAAACTCAATAAAATTCAGCGTTTGGCCTGTATTAGCATTACAAGCGTAGTGCGAACCACGCCATTGAGTGCAATGGAAGCTCTGCTGGATCTCCCAGAGTAGTCGCTCATCGACTGTGGAGTCAGGGCAGCTGGGCCTTCTACAATCATGTCAAGGGGCATATTGTCATCTTAGTCGAACTGCAAAGTCCTAAGCATAAATATCGCTTCAACCGCAACTTTAATGTGGAGTATCCAACGAGGGACGAGTGAGATGCCGGTAGCCCTAGACTCTCCGGAGTGAGTGGTTAAGTCTGGTACACGGACGGCTCGGTCACCGAAGAGGGCTCTGGCGCTGGGGTCCCTGGGCCTAGAACTAGGCTATCTCTGCCTCTTGGTGGATACAGCACTATTTTCCAGGCGGAAATCTTTGCGATTCTGGCTTGTGTATCTCGCATTCTGGAAGAGGGTGGGTCTAGGAGAAGGATAACAATCTTATCCGACAGCCAGGCTGCCATGAAGGCCTGTAAGATTACTTCGAGCCTTGTATTGCAGGGAGGCTCTGGATTGTCTCGCAGCGAGGCATCCGTTATCGTTAATGTGGGAACCGGGGCACGCTGCGATAAGGGGCAATGAGGCGGCGGACGCTCTGGCGAAGACAGGATCAGCCAGCAAGCTAGTTGGTTCTGAGCCAGCTTTAGGGGTGCCCGCGCAACGGGTTGAGAGGAAAATGGAGACGTGGATTGCAAGACAACACTCTCAGAAATGGAGAAGTGTCTCCAGACATCTCCGTCAGGCACGGGAACTCATTGTAGGGCCCAGCGCTGAGTATGGACGTTTCTGCTTATCTCTGGATAGAGCCAACCTAAGGGTGCTGGTGGGACTGTTGTCTGGCCGTAACACGTAAGGCGCCACCTGCACGTGATAGGCGAGGCTGAGGATCCCTTGTGTGAGCGCTGCGGGTTAGAGGAAGAGACCTCGGCGCACGTTCTGTGTCGCTGTTACTATAGGCAGACTATACTGGGGTCCTTTAGTTTGATTTTACTAGAACAAGTAGCAATTCTGAGATTTTTGTGCTTGTTCTGAGGAAATTCTGTCCGACTGAAATAATTTAACTCAACATTCTTACTTATATCGTGTACATCCTTGGTGTAAATAGTCGGATATCTTTTGGAAATGGTTATTGTTATTTGTGAGAACTGTTGCAAAGCCTCGCTTTGTGCGGTGATCCATTGTTTATCGAGGGGTAACAATAACATGTTCATAGCTTGGAATTACCTACTGTTATTCTCCAAAATGCTGATGAAAAACAATCTTTTATCCAAAGACCAACAAGATTTATGGATTAAGTCATTAAAGTATAACCAAAATATGCAAGATTTTGTTCCAGGTGTTTTAGAAAAGCTAAGATCTTGAGTTTGATTTATAACTATGAAAACACAAGCTTTTCGTCAAACCTATAAGTTGGCACCTACCTGGTTTTACGGTCATACGGAGGAAATTTAACGCTTTAGTTTAGTATGAAACAGTGGTACCAGCACTAATCAGTCTGAAACTTTCATAACTTCGGATACCCTACGGATGCGTGCTCAAGTTTTTGGGTCGTTTTTTTCATTCCGCCAGTTATCCTGGTAAATAGCCCCCATGATGCCAAATTTTGACACGAAATTTCACGTCAGAAATCTTGGAATACCCCATTAACCCTGAGTCGTAACTATGGTGAGATAAAAAGTAAACAAAGAACCTCACTAAATTTGTGTATATTTGTATATTGCTCCATAAAGTCGATAAAACGGGTGATTGGCTAAATAAGATAAAAACAAAATGATATTACAATATAAAATATGGCGATAGGTACAAATGATTCAATATCCAGACGATCACTTGTCACGTACCCTCGTTTAAGTTTTGTGTAGGTACACCTAGGTTATTGAAGTGAAGGAGCGCTTTCCTAGCCAAATCAGGTCTTACATTGTAGAGTGGATGTGTTTCAATCTGAAATCATAAATAAATTGTCAAGTAACGTCAAAATAAAGCGGAGCGCTACTGAAACTTTTACTGGTTCTGATGAAGTCGACCAGTGATACATCATATTCGCGATGGGTATGTGCTCAACGAGAACTTTTAGAAAAGCAATAACAAAATAATGCAAAGAAAAATAATATCCATTTCACACTCATCACTGTTTGTCCAAAAATGTTTTTGTGTGAAAGTAATGGTTACTGTGAACAAATAAATAAATGGCAATGGGGCTTAGAAGAGGATCATGAAGATTTGTTGAGGTAAAATTTATATACAATAAATGCGAATGTCTGACCAGTCTGTTAGCATCACGTCTAAAACACAAAAAAGACGAAAAATTGGTACACGTACTAATAGAAACCCGAGGAAAATTGTAGGTGTGGTTTAACCCGTGAAAATATGCAAAATATATCGAAAAACGTTTCCTAGAGAAAAATGTAGAACAAAATTGTTTGATCTGATAGGACTCATCCATTGGTGATCTTGAACATGACTTTAACTTTTATCTTCAAGGTCATTTGATTTTTAAATTAAACCCCTATTTTTGACATCAGAAATGTAAAGAGCAGGAAAATTTACGTTAAACTATATATTTGACCATGATTTTTATGGATATTTGAGGCTGTCCAAAAAAGTATGGAAAGGAATGTCTCGACAAATACGTTTCATAAAGAAAAATGGTGTGCAGTTGTAAGATTCGAAAAGATTCATCCAAGATCTAATCCCATTTGAGGTTGATATTCCTTAAATTTAAACTCCTATTTTTTCACTGGAAATACAAAGAGCAAGAAACTTTATTTTCCAGGATATCCATGAACATTAAGGTCATTTGAACCACAAATGAATTTTTAGCGGGAAATATCTATTGTTAGTTCCTGAAATGTAAATTGGCGGACAATTTCCAGTTCAAGCATATCCTCGCCAATGAATCTTCTCACCATGACATTCCATGTCATTGTAAGATCAGATAAATTTTCAAGTAAACTCATTTTTTGTCGAGGATATGAAAAAAGCGAAACATTGAAACTATTTCCTTGTTGCATTAGAATGTTGGATGAAAGAGGTTCTTGCCAAAGTAACTAGGTATTGCATTACTTTGAATATCTGCATTTCTTTACCCAAAGCCAATCTCTTTCACACTAATGCTATATCTATACTTTACACCACATCCACGGAAGCGGTAGGGGTATTGCGTAACTTGAAAAGTGACATTAAGTCGTTTCTTACATTATGTAGGTTTTTTATGACATTATGTAGGTTTTCCTACTTGTAACGGACGCAGAATAAACTATTTGCACACTACCACCTAACTAGTCAATAAGATGACATTTTATCGGATTTTTAACATTATAGAGGTAATAACCCTGCCGAGCCGCGGGTTTGGTCTAGTATGTGTATAATATAAAGCGTGTCAAATGTTGGGATAACAGTGATAGTGTAATATCTGAAACTTATCCTGTGGTTTACATGTCGATAATCCCCCATGCTTGTTTAGCTAATAAAATCACATCTACTGACAGATCTTTACTCTATTAAACGTTTCAATCACAAATGTGATCTTCTTCAGTCCAAATCATATATTTGATTCATCTGTATTCGAGATGACAGTTAGTTTGTTTTTTCTTTTAATTATCACACCCACACAGTGTTTTACTACAATAGTCTGAAAATCCCTTATCATGCTGAGATAGTCATCATCCCGAATTTTAAGATGGCACCAAGCTAAACCACCTGTCACGTGCCAAAATCACGTAACCTTTTTTTCTATTTGTCACTTATCAGTAATTTGAATTTCTCCTCATTGATAATAGAGTGGCCATTCCTAGGCCAAACCCCTTTTCAATGATTTTCTTTTTGCAAATTTAATAACCTATTGATTGTGTAATTTCACTCGTATTATATCTTTCTTTCTCAGCGATTCAGTATGGTGTTGACGATCAGCAAAAAACTCTGCAGTTTTTCTCCGTTAGTTGGCTTCCTATAAAACATATCTTCTTCAAGGCCACTCAAGATTCCTTCCTCTAGAACGTTACGTATTCTGCGATTCGCTTTTCAGCTTCCGTTGAGGTCATGGCGCAGGGGTATTTTTGTCGTTTTCCAGACTCTGAGATATTAGGCCCCAAGCACCCATTCATGGACTAGCCTCCTTTTCTTTTTGTTGCGTAACTTAAGTTTAGTTATTTTGGGTGCTACGTCTTCTATTTTTTTTATGGGATTTTGACCCTCAGCGGTAAGTTCTTTTTTTATATACCTTCGGACCGCGTACCTTAATGCGGTGTCCTGATGACGTTCATTCAATATCTGCTTTCTTTTTGTCAATAGAAACAGAAGAAAATCCTCGTCTATTCTCCCCCAGTCAGTTGCATTGTTGCAGTTTTGCAAATTGGAAGCCATCCCCTTGAAAAAACCCTGATGTGAACAGGTAAAATATTCTAATTAACAATTTCATAGATCTTTATACATTTATTATTGCTTATTGAAATTCTTAGAGACTTCTTGATTTTATTAGACATTCTACGTAGTCAAATATGGGGCCAATGCCTACATGGCACCTTCTATTACATTGATCATGATTTTGATTTTTGAGCTGTCATAACTTTTTAGAACAAGGGTACATATTTTTTTTTTTGCCTTTACTTTACTTTTCTTATACGAAAATATGTTCATGGTGTTTTGCTTCAAGTGCGATTGTTTTAAATGAGGAGTTTTATCTCAGACAGACGGCGGTATGTTGGTTATGGATTTCTTCTTGTTCGCCATCTCCCATATCAACAGCAAAATCTTCATCATTAAGGTGCTTAGCCACATTATGCAAGATAAAACAACTCATGACAAGGGAGGGCACTTTTTCTGTTTCGACGCGTATTTTGTTATGTAGAATGGGAAAACGCTGTTTTAGTTGAACGAAACATCTCTCTATTATAACTCGCTCTCTCGTAAACAGCCGATTGTATGATCTTTGTTCTGCTGTTTCTGCAATCCTAAAAGGAGTGATGAGCCAAGGAGCTATCATACCCAGAGTCTCCCAACAAAACAGCACTAGCCCTATTCCATTTCATAACGTTGTATATATCAGAATTCTCCCATATCCGAGAGTCGTGTACAGATCCTGGCCAAGAAACATCCAAACTTGTGAACTCTTCGTTTGAATTGCATGTTGCTTGTACATTTATACTAGCAAAGTTCATTCTGTTCACATATTCGTCTGCATGAATAAACGGCTTCAGAATAGGTATATGGGTGCAGTCGATAGCAACAAAAGCTGAAGGAAAATCGAACTTTTCTTGCCACTTATTCTTAGCATTGTGTAGATCTTCACATGATTTTGGGAATCTAATCCAAATATTCGACTTCTGCACAATGCGTGTTATAACGTTGGTAACGGTTCGGGATACCGTAGATTGATGCACACCAATATCTTCTCCTATGCCAATTTGAAGTCCTTGATCACCCACATATCGTAAAAAAAACCCTCATTTTTTCTATATTGCTCAAAGTACAGCCCCTATATTCTTCTGTATCTCCAAGAAAATGGTTACTTATTTAACTTACTTATTTTAACTTTACTAAACCGATATAAGGCCCGATAGTCTACTTCCCTTGATTCCCTACGATCTTTAAACACCTTCGTAGGCTGATAAATAGGCATAAATTCGTCCATTTCGTGAAGACATCCACTTCTTATAAAGCTGAGTCTACTACTAAGGTATCTCGCATTTCTTTAAGTATGTACTCAGCGGTCGGAGTGGACGCTCGCTTTTATGCATATAAAAATTAAAGTCGGCACTCAAGGAGCGAGTACAGCCTCACGGAAAGAGTAGAAACTTATGAGTGTGAGCATCTACTTACATTTTTATGCATATCAACTGGAGTGGCTACTTTAAAAATGCGAGTCAAAAGTAGCCACTCGACTTTATGCATATCACCCAGAGAGTAGAGTAGATTTTTAAACAGTCTTTCTCTCTCTAGGGTTTTTTTCCTGCGCCTAGCCGTAACTGGGAGGAGACATCCGCCCAGATAAGTGTAGTTTAGGCGTAAAACATATATGTAAAGCGTATACCATGGTAAACGCCAACTAATTTTATTTTGCGACAGTTTTTTTTTGTAATATCCTTTCTCGCACTCCAGTGGTGGAGCACATGTGCGTTTTGTTCTTTTTAATCAATATATTGTGATCCATTTGATATCTTGTGTGTACTGTTACTTAAATTTCGTCATCTCTGTTAGATTCTCCTTTTGTGTGGTAGTCAAGCAAAACAAGTTCCGACTAACATCTCGGGGAGTTGTGGCTTAATCCGTCCTAAGTCACTGGCGCTCTTAACCCTAACCTACTCTCCGCTTTATTGAGCTAGTGCCTAAATTTGCACGCCACTAGACAACTGTTTTGCTTGGACCAACCGTTAAATAGCATTTATCATTGTGTTTTATTAATTAACCGAAAAAAAGGTGTGACACCATAGCCCAGGACTGCCTGGGGTAGGTATTCCCGTTCCCCGAAAAAAAGTCGCCCGGTAATTAAAAAAGACAAGCGAGTATGATTTTATCTGTCGTTTTTTTTAATCTACCAGATACGTACTGGAAACTCGTAAACCACATGGAATATCTGTATAATGTTTTTTTCCAATTATCGCACGACATAATAATATTGTACTATTGCAGGTGACTTACTAGTTCATTTCTATAAGATCCAAGCACTCGCTTTTTATTCAGAAACCTTTGAGCTACAGACAATCCGCTCAATGTGTAACAGGTATGAAAAACATCTTTGTGCTTTCCAGGTTTATCTATGAGACCTCCAGTTGGATTCTGACAGCATATAAGGAGATATTCTTGTAATGCTCTTTCATCAAAAAGATGGTCGTTGGGGGAATTGCCAGCTGAAAATAATTTTTACCTTGGCATTAATAATTCACAGAACCGTTGAAAGTCCGATTAAGTAACATGTCATGCGGATGCTGAAAACATAGCGTTGAAAATACGCTATTGGTGGTTCCTATAGATATGACATTTAAATAATTAATAAAATAACGCTAACCGCATTAAGCTCCCCATTCAGGTTCGCCCTATCGTACCAAAGACATAACCAAATACCAAGATTGTAAGAACCCGGTATGTTCGGATCAACAGAAATAGAACTTTTTAAAAATGAAGTGACAAGACGTCAAACTGTTTGTAATGACAGTGAATGTCGGCGCTTTCTATTCTTCGCTGCTTCTCAAGGCTGTCCAGAGGACCTTAGCCTTTAGCTCGTGGTCTGTATCTGTCGTGAGCACTTCAGGTCTGGTGGCCCAGAAATCAGAAGTAGTAGGGGAAAGGGGATAAGAAGAAAGAAGGGAAGGAAGCAGAGGCGAGAAGAGAACTGTTTTTTATAAATATATGTGGTGAGATGCGTCTAGGAATTGTTACATTGTACTATATGAATTTTAAAAACTATATTTTTTAAGGTCTAAACAAGAATTTAACCTTCTTCACAGTGAGAATCGCTGTCTGGAATGTTTGCGTGTCTCGTCGATTGTATATTCTAATGATTCACGCAACCGATTCCGCTTACTGGTAGCGCCGTATGAGGTTATACCTAAGTTAGGGGATGTTAAGATCCCTATGGATGCTATCGTTTGATACATATCATGGGGTATTAGTTATTATTCTGAAAGTTCTACTTTGCAGAACATGAAGTTTATGCAGGTCTGACTTGGCTAAAAAAGCACGTAGGCAGGTCTAATGATGGTTTTAAACATCCGAATCTTATAAACCAAACATAATTTCGAAGTCCTACATAAAACAGGATCTGAAATGTAATTTAGAATTTAGTTTTCAGTTGTAGAAAATACATTGGCAATTTTGATTCTAAACTTCTTCATTCTGGAAAAATTTGTGTAGTTGCAAAAGCCAAACAGGGAAATACTTTGGAATAAGTTTATAAAGAACGCCTGCATGCCACACCGTGTCAAAGATTTTCGCGGCAACCAGAAAAATGAATCCCGTGCGCCTGTCATGGGTCAATCTTCTGGTTATGCGCTCCACCAGCCTGACTGACTGAAGCTCCGTACTATGCTCGAACCCAAAACTGAATTGTACGTTAGAAAGAACATGGTGATCTGACGAAAAATTCTGGAAGTGACCACAAATCACCTTTAGAAGGAGCTGACAGAAGGCCAATGGGGCGATAATCCTGCGGAAATATTTGAAGGTATTGAATTCTGAGCATTGCGTTGCAGCTTCAGTGCCCTGTTGTTGATCTGATCCTCCCTTGGTACGAGATGTTTATCGCGGTGATAACTTGGCGAGAACTGTTTTTTTATTACATGAGCAAAAACTTTCACTTTATCCTAAGTCCTGAAGATTATGCCTTAAGGGTCTTAGATGTGCAGGAAGAGTTGTTCCAGTTGTTCCCGTGTGCATTTTTTGAGCGATTCCGCCACTTGCCAAAGGAGAGTAAAGGTGCTGAGCATTCCTCCAAGAAAGTCGTTCCATTGCTCGTTACGTGAAGTTTCTTACTTCGTGAAGAGGATTCGTAGTTCTTCGGATGCCATCAGGATGGCAAGACCTTTTTGCCAGTTTATTGCAGCTCTTTTGGCAATTTTTTTTTGACTTGTTCGCAGGGAGGAAAGGTCTGCCGGTCGGATGCACAGGAACTATAGCTGCCCGCTGTAGTGCTTGTTGGGCGGATCTTGTCCACTCTGCTTGAGCGGTATCAATATCATTCTCATCAACTATAGTCGGGATATTACGAAACAATCTGTACAGTTCCCAAACGACTCGATTCTTAGGCCAGGCTACAGTTTCTGGATATCGCGAAGTCTATAACACCTGGCGCCTGCAGATAGTTAAACGGGTGGTATGTCAGATCCTCAGTGCTGTAAAACAGGCACGAATTTCGCATCACATACATAGTTGTACAAGCGAACACTGCAAGTAATCTTGAGCCTGCAACGACTTCATTTTGGTTGTAATTGAAATCTCCTGCTATAATCAGATCCAAGAAGATTTCCACTTGCACACGTCCTGCCTTGGTTGAGAGCACAAATGTGTTAGATGGTCCCGTGCACATTTTACACATTTTGGTGACGCTGTGTTTTTACACTGGCCAAGGAGTTTATTATTCTTTTGGACCTCAGCCTTAATTGAGCGCCCCCACTGCGTTTTAGTCTAACCAGATGGAGAGGGGTATATCCTTTCTAGTCCAGGTTGAAACCGAAAGTTGGGAAACATACCGATATAATCCAGCATGGTCCAGCCATTTCTATACCTCTTCCTCGTTGCATGATGCGGGGATACCGCGTAGGACAACATATATGTTTATATATTCAGTTCCAATGGCAGAGGAAAGGTATAATGCGAGATATTTTGCTCTTTAAAATGCCGAGTTATATTTATGTAATCGTTTTCGGTTTTGGGGACGATTCTAATATCCGCGTCAATCGAAACCGCGCGATCTACCCTAATCTCTAGACTAATATCCAATTCAAACTAGGTAGTAGGATCTAGTCAAGGATTTGTTGAATCTCCTAATTCTCGTAGTTTCTAGTGAGGATCAAAGTGCACTTTTTGACAGTTCTGTCATTGAATGCGTATTTTTGGTGTTATTTTTTAAAAGTGTTAGTGTTTGCAGATAATTATCGTGTTTATAGTGTTAGACGATTCCAGGACATGACACATCTTGCATAACTGGCAAAGAGCGCGACACAAGCCTAATGAACGTACATGTTTCTACTGATATTATTATGTTGATACAACACTTTGGCAGGTAATGATAGACAAATGAATCGAACAGTTTACACTAATACTAAGTAATTTTGGAGAAACACAATGCAATGTAAACTTATAGGCTTGACTTCCTAATCTATTTGAATTCGTTGGGTGGACCTGCTTTTCAATGATAGTTGTCAGCCTCTAGATGCTGTCATCTGCCATTGCTGGGTTTTCATCCGGCTTCTCAATTTTAGTTGCAGTTCAGTACAGTCTGCACTGCTGGTGGAGAACCGACCATCCTCCGACCCGTCCGGGTCCACGTCCATATTTTCTCTCGATTTTTATCGACAAAAATATAAATTTGGCGGGCGTAATTTTTTTACGTTTATCCATTAGAACGCCTTCATAACGCTCACAACACTCGACCAACACGGAAAGCGATGCTCAAAGCGCGACGTTCTCAGCCTTCGTATCACATGTTAATTAGAAACAAAAGTTACAAATTTTAATTCATAGCTAAATATGACATGACTCACCTTTATCAAGCAGTGAATATATCAATGGAAAAGTACCTCCTTGCCAAAACGAATAACAACCATCTACCAGCTTATTCGTTCGGCCTTGGAATCCTCCTTCTAACTTCATTTGCCTCTGAACTATCCATCTCTGCAAGGAACTTTTATGTGACTAAAAACATATGTCTCTGAGATTAAAAAGCAAGTTTATATCCCTATACATAGCCTGATCCAAGAGATTTAGTAACGCCAGACAAAATGTAAAACTTAAGTATGTGACGAAATGTTCACAATATTCCATTGTAGTGTCACAAGTGACGGCTTTACTCGCGACAGCTCGCCAACTTACCAACAGATAGCCTAAACTAAAACTGATGACGAGTATGCATAATCAGCAATGGTGTATTCTTATCAACCGAAGCGGGGATACTATTGGTTATAAAAACTAGTTGGGCTGTCACGTGAAGGCATTCCCGCTCTGAGAGCAGTCTCCCTCGGTGCGGTCTCTCTTGCCATTCTACCAAAGAGTAGTTATATGAGTGCCTTTTTAATCCGCCGGTCGGCCCCATTGACCTTGGGAGTAACACGCGTACTGATATGTTACGATAAAAACTAGTTTACAAATAAAAACAGCGATCTATGTGTGATCAATGTCTTAGCGATTCGCTCTTAGATGGCTCTGCATGTACCGAGGCGATGTTGCCAAGCTACCATAAAATATTTATAAAACGCTACATTTATACTGATCAGAATGGAGTTCATCAGCTTTTTTCACAGTTTTTGGTGGTTGGGTCATGCCAATAAATAACCACACCGTAAATATGTGACCATTCATTCCATGTTACACAGTCAATGTGAGAGGGTAAAAGTTAGTTTCATCACATCTGACGGATGCCTAACATCCATGGTATGTTATAGCTTTAGAAAATTTACATCTGAACTTTTTAGGGTGAGTTTTGCAGCTTTTCGTTCATAGGAAATGATGAAAACTCACTTTTTTCCGACAAAAAAAAATAGTAACGTCTAGTTTTTTACTTTTCGCATTATTATCTGCCGTTTTTTTATTTGTATCTTTTCTCACACCCGAGTTGAACTACTGTACGATATTATTTCACGCATAAATGGAATATTGAGAATAGGGATTCTTACCAAAAATGCTTGTTCGTCGATGAGATGTCCTTTTTGTAAAATGACTAGTGCTGACATACCACAAAATGAATAACCTCCATGTGCCTCCATGCCTGGAGCTCCAGCAAAGCCACCTTCATATGTTTGACAACTGAAAAGCAAGCAATAACAGTATGGACGGTGTCCCATTCTAATCTTGCCTTTTTAATCAATATATTGTGATCCATTTGATATCTTGTTTATTTGGCTCTCTCTGTGTGTACTGTTACTTAAATTTCGTCATCTCGGTTAGATTCTCCTTTTGTGTGGTGGTCAAGCAAAACAAGTTCCGACTAACATCTCGGGGAGTTGTGGCTTAATCCGTCCTAAGTCACTGGCGCTCTTAACCCGAACCTACTCTCCGCTTTATTGAGCTAGGGCCTAAATTTGCACGCCACTAGACAACTGTTTTGCTCGGAAAAACCGTTTGATAGTATGTATAATTGTGTTTTATTAATTAACCAAAAAAAGGCGTGGAAAATTTTGAAAATCGCGCATTCTTGAAAAAAATTCAAACAAGAGTTTGAGGATGTTGAGAGGGAAAATGACGATGAGCTTGAATGTAGCCTTTATAATCATTTCAAGGCCAATTAAATACTTTTTAACGAAAACGACAGCACAGTTGTGAAATTTATGGGGATCACCAAAAGATGGCCTTGACCATGACCTTGAAGGTCAAGTCAACATTTCCGAAGGAAACCTCTCATTTTTGTACCGGAAATGGAAAAAGCAGAAAATTTTACATCTGAATATGATCTTGATAAATGTCTTGATTTGACCTTGAAATGGCCTCGGAGGCAGTGCTCAAAGAAATAGCCAACGTGATGTTCGGACGTAAAATTTGCTCCTCTTTGCTATTTCGATGTGAAAAAGTATGATGTTGTAAGAGCAAACACAGGTGGCAGGTACAAATACATAATATAGTAGTTGTTGATTATCAATGGTGGTATATTAATTTTGAAATCAAGTTGCAACAAAATTACAATGTACAATGTCCCCAAGCTGTAATACATATTAGCCGATTTTTTTACTTTTTTGAGAGGGTATGTGAAAAACAGTATTATCGAAATTGCTCCACTGTGTTTATGGAAAAAAGTTGATGGCTACACAAGGATTACAAACTTTTCACGAACTAAATTAGATGTAATAATAACCAATAAACAGAATTTGTGAATGTGGAAATATGTTTAATGAGAGGGAATCAAGAAAAATCACAATTACTGACTTTGATACATTACTCTTACAAGGCAATATCACTGAAATTTTTAGTGATGCTGACACTTACTTCTCCAAAATCATGGATTGTATGGAAAACTGCATGAGAGAAGCACAAATTCGTAATCGTATATCAAAGAAAAAAGTCAACACTAGTTTTCACAAATATTACGCGACAAGTGATAATGACTATAAGAAGTTCATGATCACTCTTGCTGAGGAAGATTAGACACAATATAAGAAATCAAGAAACAAGTGTTATAGAAAAAGTATTATGAAAACAAAATCGATAGCAATAAAAACACCAGTAAACTTATGAGGAAGACAATAAAAAATATTGTAACTCCCAGTAAAATGAATAAATTTTCGAGAATGTGCTTCAAAGATGGTATAGTAATCAAAAAATATTCATTGCAAAACGTATGAACGCTTATTTTATAGAAAGTATAAATGAGATAGTGGAGTCAATCGAAGATGGGGATCCAAACTTATGTCACATGTAGGTTATTTATATTTCTCTTATGAGTCAATTCCAAACAATAAACATCAGCCATCTTTCAAGAGCTATTTCAAGATTAAAATCAAATGGAAATCCTAGTGAATATTTTGGTTTTAAACGAAAGTTCTAACATTATTGGAGAGAACTTATTATTGTTAGTGAATCGCTGTTTAGTGTATGGCGGATTTCCTTCGACATTAAAATATTCTAAAATTGCTCCTGTAGCAAAAGTGCAAAATTCTGAGTTATATATAAGAAGCTCTTAGGAGGAGTCATATGTGAACAAATCATTGAGGATATTGAAGGAAACAAGATATGGACAAGCAGGATTCAGAAAAATATATTCTACTGAAACAGCAATTCAAATAGTAGTAGAAGAATGGAGGCGAAATATGATTGAACAAAGGTTCACAGTAACACTATTCTTGGATTTTAAGAGGGCATTTGACGAAATTGCATTACTATGGATTTAAAGGTACATTATTCAACATATTACAAAATTATATATATATCAACAGAAGTCAAAGAATTAAAATTGGCAATAAACTATCAAACATTAAAAACATTTCAGTAGCAGGGTAGCAAATTAGGTCCATTACTATTAATTTTATATATTAACGATATTCCTGATGTTTTACAACACTACAAAATTCAAATATTTGCCGATGATACGTTAATATTTATGATCAAATAAAGACATTGAAACTGCAATAGTGCTATTAAATAATGATATGAAAAACATAATTAATTGATTGAATGTGAGAAAATTCAAATTAAATACAAACAAAACAAAATGTATGCGTTTAGGAAAATCTTTAGATGAAAATACGATAAAACTTATGATTAACCTTGAGTCAACCGAATCATTTAAATATTTGGGCACATATAAGATAAATTACTTTTATACGTAGAAGCATCTTAGAGCCGTTTTACACACAAGAGAATTACTCCGAAAATTATGGTTATAATTATGCCGAAAATGTTTGATGTCGTATTACACCTAAAAGAATTCTTGTGAAAATTTTCATGGTAAAAATATAAAACCCGTTCTATAGAATATGCGCGAGAATCGGCGCAGAGGATTATTTCCGTGCATGTCATTATCAAACAGTCAACGTCAACAACATAACCTCACTTAACATTTGTGGGTGTGGTCCTGTCCGAGTCGTACGAAGAAGCGTTTATTCGTTTATTGTTATTGTTTATTCATAATGTCGTGGAATCAGGAAGAAGTTACACTGTTGTTGGAGGAGTACCAAAAATGGCCAAACCTGTACAAGGTGAAGTCACCCAATTACAAAAACAGAAATTTGCGGCGTCAGGTGCTGGATGCGATAGTCCAAGCATTGAGAAATTTTATAGAGATCTCGATTTCAAAAATAAATTTAAATCAACGACGTCTGTTGTCTTTCCGATTATATTGGACGTCATACCCGTTAAGGTTATGTCCATTTAATAATAATAATAAAGTGTTCACACAAGTCAAAATATACTAATAGAATGCTTAGAAAAATGTACATCAAACATGAATAAAACAAGTTAAAAACAATGCAATGCTGCGTAACGCATAATTACCAAAAGCAAATTGAAAAAAAAAAAACAATACAAAAATGTCGTCATGAGATAAAAGAAGATCGCTTAGAAAAATATATGTACAATACAATTAACTATACACATACAGACAAACAAAACAATAACAACTGTACATAAGTTGGAGAGAGAAATAAATAAATAAACATTTAAGGTATATCAGTAAAGTCATTTGCCAAATATTCGTCCGTGCTAAAGAATGCGTTTTTTATTAAATAATACTTGAGTTTCCTATGAAAAACATCAATATCCAATGTTTTTATATTGTTGGACAGCAGATTAAAAAATGTAATGCCATAAAAGTTTGTTCCAGTTCTTGATTTTTCTAGACGGTAGTTATTATGACAAACGTTGTTTCTATTTCGTGTTTCATATTTGTGGTTATCACTATGAGTGGGGAAGGTACTAATGTTACTTTTGATATATAGGAGACAACTCAAAATATACGCGCATGGAAGGGTTAGTATGGCCAATTTAATGAATTCAGCCTTGCTATATTTCAAACCAGAGATGTATCGTATACAACGCCTTTGCATGCCAAACACTTTTTGCATATGTGGAGAGTGCCCCCAGACCAAAATTGCATATGTCATTTTAGAGTGGAAATATGCATGATAAGCAGTTAATAAAACTTTATCAGATACTCTATCCTTTAGACTACGTATGAGATATATAACTCTGGACAAACGATCCACCACACAGCGAGTATGCGAGTATTCGAAAATATTACTCTAATGCGCATGCGTATCATATGAATTACTCGAAAATTTTGTTTGCTTGTGTCATACAGGTTGTAGAGAAAATCTTCATATGTTTTCCATGCAAATTTTCGGCATAATTATGACCATAATTTTCGGAGTAATTCTCTTGTGTGTAAAACGGCTCTTAAATAAAAATAAATACACTAGAATACATTTTATGCTTTTTATTTTCATATTCAAGTTAAAAAATCGTCTTCTACCAAATCACTTAGAAAATTTTACTGAATTGAGCAATGAGTTAGCATAGTTATTCTACTAGAGGGAGTATAGACTTTCATTTACAAAATTGTAGTTGCAATATAACAAACAAATCAGTATTGACGGAAGGAAAAAGGATTGGTATGTATTTAGTAAATTAAGTAATGATATCAAGATGTGTGCCAGTTTGAAAATATTTAAAGGGAAATTAAAAAAATATTTCATGGAAAACCAGAATTCATAGTAGTGAAATTTTGTATAAAAATATGTAGTCTTAAAGTCATAACATTTCATGTGATTTACTGATTACATTGAATTTATCATTAATGCTAAATAAAACTACGACAAACAAAATTACCGTCCATCTGGCAACGTTGCCCCTTCCCATATCGTCAGACGCGGCCGCGCCCAGCGACAGCTGCAGTACGAGCAGAACAATCAAGCACATCTGAGCCCAGTAGCATGAGACGCATATCAAAAACATTTCTTTATCATTCAAGTTTTAACAACAAATGGATGTTTGTAATATGACTGCTAATAGGTGCGCAAAATTACCGGGGCTACGAGCGTATAAATATACTAACATCAAAAAACAGATATATCCCCTTCCCTATTTTTTTTCAGGATCCTCTGAAACGTCATAAAGTGAAGTTTGAGCGATTTTACCTATTTCACTTTTTGCCTTTCCCTCCGCCACCACTGAACCGATTTTCAGAAAATCTCCTTCATGATTGGCATAGTAGTAATCTTGTGTAAAAATTTGATCCAAATTCGAGCAGTACCTTACAAGTTATAGAGGGTCCAAGGATTAGCGGACAGACTGACAGACAGGCCCACAGAAATTAGTGATGTGGTTTTTAGTGATGTACGAGTATGTCATATGAAATCCAAAAAAACCTCATTTTCGTAATTACGCGATTACAATACTTCCTCGCCGAGTGGCAAAGGAGGTAAAATAGACATTTACCTGACAATCCATTCTGCAGTGCCTTCAAACAGTTCAGGTGTGAGAATCCCTGTGATGCTAGCGACTGTCGCAGCACAGTAAGCTCCTCTGATGTCAATTTCTCCTCCTATGTGCATTGCAAATGAACCGTCTGGTTGTTTCATACTCCGCATAAACTCTTTCAACTTCTGTCTACAAAGCTAAAAGTCAGTAAAAGTAAATGAATGGAGCTACACTCATATTTTTATCACAAAAAAATGGTAGATATACACCTCATTGGACATTGATGGAGCAGCACAGTCAGGTATCCTTATACCTCGCTCTTGAAAAGGAAGGATGAGCAACTATTTTGAAACGAACTCATCCAGGATGAAAACGACACATCAGAGGACAGCTATCAATGATCATTAAATGTTCCACTTGTAACACGATATCTACAGTTCAGTATTTAAGCAGAATCGTCAATTCATTATAGATTCACCTATTTAAGAAAGTTCATGCCACCACAGATCGCACTGCCTGGCAACAGCGACATGTCTGTAAAAGTGGTTCATGTGTTGTTGCCAAATCGTACTTTGGATGTTTCTCTAGATCAGCAGTGAATCAAGGCTTATGTAATTCAAACATTAGTATTACAGAGGTGGTTCAATTTGTCTCATAGTTGAATAAAAACATTACTTTTGAATATAAAACCTAGTAAATTGTAAACTATTTTTTCATTATTCAGATATGTTATTATCAAAATGTAGCTCCTTTACAAATCGCAGTATACCTGTTGATTATGTTAAGTGATTCTTCTGTTCCCAGAATAGCTAAGGCTAGGATGGCAGCATAGGTTGATGCTAAATGAGGGTACTGCCCTGGACCACCTGCAAATCCCCCATCTGGACTCTGACATCTGAGAAATGATTTTATATCAAATACTTAATACCTTATAATAGAATGTTTCAGAATAGTATAGCAATATCTAGAACATAAAGGATAATGTTACAAATTCTTACAAGTAAACTGTGCTATGGGGAAGGTTATTGTAAATTTAATTTAATATTCAATTTAAAAAATAAGTGTTGACAACACTGTGGATGCCTAAATTCTGAACACTTGACACAGGTGGTGATCGTTAGATTTCCATATGCTTGCACACAACTCTACAGAATATTTCACTACCATGTTTCTCACTTTTCTATATTATTTTTAAAAAAACTTACATGCTGTTCATATTGATGATGGATGTATTTACTGGCATAATGTTTCTTACAATTTCAAGGGATGAGTGGAAGAGCACTAGATAGTGAACTCCCCATTGTGGTTTTCAGACAGTCAACATTTGTTTTATTTTTTCTTTTCCTTTTTTTTTGTTAATACTCATGTTTCTCTTTCTGATATTTTTTGTTTGGAAATTTATTATTATTATCCATTACATTTTGACATCTACTGAGGTGAACAGCTGATCACCAAGTGACATGTCTGTATTAGTCTATACCATTGGTTGTTTATTCAGCCATCCATTGATAACACAATATTTTTTAATTATTACATAAATGAGGAATATTTTTGTTACTTACTTGTTGATAAACTTAGCAATGGAACTCTTTCTACGATCATCTATCCTAACTCCTAATAAAGAAAGTGGGTGTAGTATCCAATAACACAGCCAAGGTCGACTTGAATCCAAACACTAAAAAATGGTCAAAAATTGTACTGTATATTATGATGATAATACCAAAGAAGGAATATAGTGAGACAACACAGTTAAATATTGGTGGGTGCCATGGTGCTATAAATGGGATGCAAGAAGGGGGGAGGGAGGCATCACATGGTCTCCAGTGGGGTAACATTTATTGATGTACACTGCTCACAGGGTTGCTATTCTGTAATAATGATTTTGTTAAAATGATATATTTTGCCTTAGAGATCTTTATGTGGTTTTGTGGTCTATTGCCCCCTCCCCCTGCTCATCAATTACTTCCAACAGAATTTCTGTCAATAACAGCAAACAACACCAGTACCCCCACTCCTCCCCTGCAGTCAAAGGCTCCACCCCATTTCAAGTTCTATATAGGATACTGTGTATGAGAGTGTGGCATCTGTCAACCCTGCATCAACATCTTCTAGTCGTAATTCAAGATCCTCTGTGGTACCTTCAAGCTTGCCAATCTGCAGCCATGTATCACCATTGGATACTCACAAAATTTGAATTCAGTTATTTTGAATATAATCAATTTTCCCAGGAAACCAAAAAACACAAGAATTCAACTAGCATCCTGCTAAAGCCTACTGAAGGTTACTTAAAAATCTGTGTTTATCAGTGGAATTGATTTCAAATGTTTTAGTGGTTATGCCAATTCTTCAACTTTTTCCTTAACTATATCCCATATCTTATTTTATTATACTGTTTTACTGTTTACATATATATATATATATATATAAAATGTTTTCTATAATATTTCTATATATATAAAATGTAGCCGCATATTGAATAAAAAATACCTCATAGACAGATGGCAAGTAAAAAAGTGTTTCACACAAGTACTTCTTGTGTTGCTCCTTTAATAGTTCTGGCAAATGGATGCTCATTTTAAGTTTCCTGTGCAAATCTTCATACTTTCTTAAAACATCTTCCTCTACTTTGATCTGGAACAAAGCAATTCATTATGTTTATTCAAGGGATCATAAAGGTTTACAAACTTGCTCTTCAGACGATTTTGTAGGCCAGTCTTCTTCATTGAACCTGCTGTTTCGTATCATTTCTATACTACGTAAGTTGACACTTTTATTCATTTTTCCGAAAAATCACACTAATTCCAGAAAATACTATTTTAAATCGTGCTTGAATAAAATCAAATCAGCGAAAAGTTATAAGACATAACCTACAAACACAAAACATATACAACCTACCAGGACAGTTGTCAACAAGCCTATTGACAGAACAATGAATGGGTATATTTGGGCGTATTTTTTAATTCACCGGTTGAGCCACCGGTGCAACCAAAATTTCCGTCTGAGCGACCGGTTGTACACCAAACTTGCCTATAAACTATATAGACAAGTTTGGTATACAAGCGGTCGATCAGACGGACATTAAAAGAAGAAAAATTGGTTAATTGCTTGCACCGGTGAATTAAAGAATACGCCATTTATGTATATGTTTAAAACTGCTCCCACACGATGTGGCAAATGCCTTACAATGTTCGACACATAGCCATTCTGCCCACTGAATACCTACTGTTAATGCCTTTACAGCATCGCGGTGTTTTAGTTTAGCAACAAAACTCTCATCGTCCGTGTCTAAAGATTCGTTGTTTTCCGCAAACTTCTTTTTTGCCTAATGTCCATTCAGTTCTGGATCTATAATGCGCAAGAAATCTGTAATGGTTCTCAAATCTTCCTTGTTTAATGGTACAAGGTTCCCGTTGAAGTTCTGTGAGTGAAATGTTTTCTTCATCAGACTCGTCTTCATCTGCATCCCTTCTTTGTTTCGCCCATAATGCTCCCCAACTTTTTTGGATATTTTTTGGGATATGAACTTCCAAGCAATATCTAGATTAAAAACTGCATCTTTTAAATTAAACTGCTTCAAATCTGTCACTAAATTGTCACCCTCATTATCAGCGAAAATATGATTTAAAACCGTTTCCTGTAGGTTACTTTATGTTTTGGATTAAATTTTGATCCATTGGCTGTAAAACCTCTGTGCAGTTGGGCGACAAAAATATAACTCTCAAAGTTAGAATCAAAATTTATTTCTGTTTCAGGCGGAAGGGAAGGAGCGTTATCTATTAGTAACAAAGCTTTATGGGGTCTATTGACCTCGGATAAAATTTTTTGACGTCGGGTATAAAACACATCTTAAACCATTCTAAAAAAATGTTCTTTCTGGTCATCCATCCTTTGCTTTGACCGGTAACGTAGCATTCTTAAAGGCCCTTGGATATTTGAGGCTTTTCCAAGAACCAAAAAGGCTAACTTATGAGTTCCAGCTGCATTGTAACAAGGCATGAATGTTACACGATCTTTAGAAATTTTTCAACCAGGTGCTGATTTTTCTTGACTATGAACCCATGTAGTATCAGACAAAGCTCTCCAAAACGCTGCCGATTCATCAGCATTATAAACTTGTTCAGCATTTAAATTCATTTCATCAACCACAGCCCGAAATTTTTCTTGAAATGGTATTATGGCATTTATATCGCTGGAAAGTTTTTCGCCACACACTTTAAGAAATCGTATTCCGTGCTTTTTTTGAATTTGTCAAGACAGACTGAACTTCCCAAAAAAATATTTTTTTCCGGTTATTCTTTGATAAAACTGCATAGCTTTAATTCGCAGAATCTCTGATGAAACAGGCACATGAGCACTGCGCCGCTGTCGAAAAAAACTTATACAAAGCAACTTCAACTTCGGGATGTTCCCCCTTTCGTACAATCTGCCTATTACCTAAGAACATTAAAAAATGTTTCTTTAACACATCACAACCATCCTGACCCACAGAGTGACTCCGACACGAATCTTCTTATTTTTGCTTTGTTTTTCTTTATATCACTTACGGTGGATTTCGGAACATTTTAGTTTAGTGGTTTAGTAGGTGCCATTTTTCATATATCGATGAACATGATACACGGTTCTTCACGGACTTTTGAACGTAAAGTGATACATGTCGTCGAAGCCGAGGCAAAACATCCGGACACCAGGGATCGCCGGATTACTGGAGGGCCCAAACTAGTGAAGTTGTACTGTATGTATGTTTTGTAATGTTTACATTAAGAAAAATCATGCTGTTGATTTCAAGTAGTGTGGCCTCGTAATATGAGTAATTTGGGGAGCAATGTGCTTTGGAGGCGTAATCAATATCACTGTGTTTTTGGTAAGCTCCAAACGCGATTCAAGAGAAAGAGGAATAAAGCGAGAAGCTAAAACATTTTAAACCACCTCCAAACATTTAGTATTTTTCCGATTGTTGTGTTTATTGTAAAGTATTTCACAAAGACCTATAAACGTTGTCTTCGAACTCTTCTTAACACCCCGATTTCAAAATATTTTAATGTTAAGAAGCTAAACATATTGTCATCCCAACTGCCCGTGCATGTCCGCCCACATGGGGTGTCGTGGCTTCCCGATAGGACTTTAAAATTTGTATATTCAGCATAGTTTGTGAGAAAATTTCCTACACTCCACTCTTCACAAAGTTTTCGTGGCCGATATACTTTCGAAGAAGTACGGAGTCAACTTATTTAACTCGATTATTGAACAATCCTATAACGTCTCATCTGAAGCAATAAGTATAAGGCCCGTTTCGATTTTCAATGCGATGACGTACCTTATCACTGGGTTTCATAAATTATATCATCATCATCATTACCATAATCTCAGTCCTATAATGTGAATAATGCTAAAGGTTAAACGCGTACGCTGCCATTCAAAACAAATGATAAGACTGGGCATGTAGCGATAGTTTACCTCCCTGGTAGTGAAAAATGTTGTCTAAACGGTTATTCAGGAAATACAACAAGTTGGTTCGATTGATACATAATTCGGCAAATGTTATAAAATCTTGTATTGATGTTCAATCGCCTCAGTTCAAGGTAAGTTTTTTTTGCCATAGGTGTTATGTTTCATCTATACATTCTAAGTGGTTAAGACGGATGTTACAAGTCAACGCAATTGAAGAAATGTAAAGACATAACATGTTTTTTTTTTGGTAAAGTTTAAGCTTTTCTAAATAGAGGAAGCTCTGGATACTTTGTAAATCATCATAATTTGAAAATGATTTCTTCCGAAGATAAAATACAGGTTTTTTTGTCGAGTTGAATATTATACCAACCTTGTCCTTATTTGATTTAGTTTCTGTTAATAAATTTTTACAAAATAGTTAAATTGATATTATAATTTGTTTGAACGTTTTACCAAATTTTTGTGAAATACCACGCATCTATTTCGCAAATTATGTTTGTATCATTCAGTATGTTGTGTACGACAAAATTATTTTCAGTTATGTTTTGTAATAATTACGTAGCAATCAAATCACATCACAGCACATGGGCGACCGCAATAATTTTTTTCAGCGGGGGGACGATCATCGGCACGAAAATCTCAAAAATCGCTAAAATTGTACACAAAATCATGATAAATATACAAAATTTAAAGGTACCTACAACCGGGTTCTCAAGAGGGGCACGCCCCTCTCCGTGGCACCCCCCGCAGGCGTACATGTCACAGCAATGTGGGGCTTTTGTGCTAAGAAATCAGATTGGTTTCGTATCAGTATAAAATGTAGTACACAAGGTATAATATACCTTCTGAAACGTATACGGTTGTTGTTTTTCAATTACATCGTTAACCATATTGTCCTTGCCAATAAATCAAATAATGTGTTCATCACGACTTCGGCTAAGAGTAGTTATATAACGATATTATGTTGGGTGCAACATCTTTTCGTCTCTCTGAAACTACATTTTTGTTTTTCCAATATTTCGATACATTAAATTTCAAGTTCTAAAGGCTATTATTAGTTAGACCGACCAACAAAAGGGATTTGTATTGTTTTCTACCTTTACTTTGTAGGAGAATCATGGCCGAATGTCTCAATTGGTCGAAGAACTCCGAAAGAGGACTCAAACGGTACTTGAAGGGGGTGGTGAGAAAGCTATCAAAAGACAGACATCCCAGGGAAAGTTACTAGTCCGAAGCAGGATCGAGCTACTTTTGGATCATTCCTCAGCATTCCTGGAGCTGTCTACCCTAGCTGCCAATGATATGTACGATAAATCCATACATGCTGCTGGTGTTGTGACGGGTATTGGAAACATACACGGGTGAGTAGAAGTTCCAGAAGACTTGAGTTACCTTTCGTCTATTCTATACAGCAATCTTGCAATAAAGTTATTTTCCTGTACAGGTTTGCAAAGAGCAATCTTGACATCTGCTACAGACTAAGTTCCAATCTAAATTACGGCCCATCACCGATTTGTCTTGCATTTTTAATAATTTCGAGAATTCGAGATTAACCCAATAGTATAATCTTAACGTGTAACCTCGTCAAACCAAAATGCATTCTAACATTTTGCACATTTTGAAGAAATGAAGTATTTTAATACTAGTGATTGTTAAAAAATGGCATTGTCTATCGAAACAGCAGAAATAACTAGCAGGCCAGTAAATGCACACTTTTGACCAAACAAAAATTCTAATATAAATGAATGTTTAAAACTTAGATTAATGAAATATTGTGCTTTAGTATACCTAAAAGTTCCGGATCCTGAGGTGATCAGGAACTAAGACATTTTCGAAAAACTTTTTGATTTTTTGTTACGGTCCCTTAAACATATTATTTAGAAAAAAATATTGAGATAATTTGGAGCTCGAGGTATAAGCTACAAAAGTTGTATTTGCGATATTTTCGTATCTACATTCGTTTACGAGATTAAGCCAATCTTCGTGGATGTTCCATTAAGCCATGCGTAAATTCCCGTAAGCGGGATTCTCGAGCCACGTACCATCTGATTGATATATTTTTTGAGCCATCTAAAAAAACCGTTAACAGTAACACAAGATGTAAATAAAAATTGAATGTTAACGTCTGTGTATCTTGTGAAAAAAAGTTTTTAAAAGTGAGCAAATTTATTCTTTGAGGTCAAGTTCTATCTTCAAAATCGTCATAGTAGATATTTATTTTCAATTTGTTGTAGAATAATAATAGTGAAGAGCAAAAGTATCTACTTTTTAGGAAAGAGCACATGCCACAACAAAGATACTTTTTTAAGTCATTATTTACAAGCAAATTATTTAGATATTATTTAACAATATCTTGAAAGGTAGTAAATATAAAGCATTAGTGTAATAACAGCACAATGAACTGAAAATATACTTCCTTCATACATATTTTATTATTTAAATGATATTTATATTTTATACATAAGTACAAGAAATGATAGTGTGTTGATAAAGACCGTAACACTTTTTCACTTTGAACCGTTTCTTGTGATAATTTGAGAATATGCTTGATAATATTCCCGAAAAAGATTACGCCTATTCAAATGGCATGTGTGAAACAGGTGAGAATAGAAATAAATCCGCAAAAAGACAGCACAAGCATGTGGGTCCGAGTCAAAAACGATGCCCTATATAATTCTGCAATGAAAAAGAATCTCAAAAATCCAATTTTTGATCGTTCTACTATGTGGTCTCATTCACATTTTCTAATATCACATTTTAGCACCAATCTCATCGACTCAGTAAGTAACAAAAATTCAATTAATTGTGTGTCCTTGCTATTTGTTTTTAGCTCCTGATGATGACAACATAGACTGTCAAAAGCTTGAGTTGTAAGTTAAAAGAGTACACTTTGCATAATTTCTCGATTTTCCCAAAGAAGACTTCTTCCACTCAGTTGTTATGACAATGACTACGTACCACGTAGATTATATATATACCAAAGTATTTGAAATCGAATACCTTATATGCCATAGAATAGATTTTGCTTGAAAAATAGATGGTTAACTCAAGCAGTTGTATCGCTAAATTCGCAAAGAATTTATTTTTGACTTGTCAAGGAAGTTGCATTAGATAAATCCTGGAACGCTATTGGATTAACTTAGTATATACATTTACTAACTGGATACTTATGTTTTCAAAACTAAATTATTCTGATTTAATTTTTCCATTTAGACAACAATGTATGATAGTCGCAAACGATGCAACGATCAAAGGAGGCAGCTACTTTCCGATGACCGTCAAGAAACATCTGAGGGCCATGGAAATAGCCGAACAGTGCCAGCTGCCATGTATCTACCTGGTAGACAGTGCAGGTGCTAATTTACCTCACCAAGCGCAAGTCTTCCCCGACAGAGATCATTTCGGAAGAATATTTTTTAACCAAGCTAACATGTCTGCCAAAGGAATTCCCCAGGTAAAATACTGATTCAATTTCTGTACGTTGCATGAGACTTATCATATTTTCTCATAAACACTCATATATAAATAAAATAAAAAATACGCTTTAAAGAAGCTTTTGAGAGTATGGTAATGTTCAATAATGAGCGATGCGATCCTTTTTGAAGCATCTGGAATAATGTTATACATCCTGATGCATTTAAATACGTTATTCAGATTGCAGTTGTAATGGGATCGTGTACAGCTGGTGGAGCCTACATACCAGCTATGGCCGATGAATCTGTAATCGTCCGACGGACCGGAACAATCTTTTTGGCTGGACCACCACTGGTGAAGGCATCTACAGGTGAAGAGGTACGCATGTCTGGTCTATACGGTTTTGTTGACAATTGTAACGAAAACGCAGTCCTTACTATGCAAATACTAATTTTTTAATTTCACACTAATTTATAAGTGATTTTGAAAAATTTATATCCATGACTGGTCTATGTTGACGCGTCGATCGCAGCCCGTTGTAGGTCCTTCCGAAGTCGGCGCAGCATCTTTTTTGTTCAAACCCAACCTTCTAGATGACTGCAAGCGCTCACGCACGGTCGCGCAACTGGTTGCCTAAGCGTCGACGTTTCTGGACACCTTTCGTGTCTACTACACAAGGGCTCCTCGCTGATACTCAGAGTTCCAATTATACGAGGGCGCTACAGTATGTTTTTTACCTCTTGATAAAATGAAAATATACAATCTCCTTGTCATAAGCTTCTAAGCATTCTAAAAGACAGGCGGAGTATTTGAGGTAGTCACTTTGAACCATATTTGTAGATGAATCACTTGTTATAACAAGATATTTTCAACAATTGTGTGCCTTCGTTACGAAGCGGTTTTTTGAAAATCCGTGAAGGTAAAATTGAAATCTCTCTTTGAATTTTGCCCCATGTATTTGGAAGCACTATGTTGAAAACTGGTCTCTTATGTTCGTTTTATTTTTGGGGATAGGTTTCAGCTGAAGATCTAGGTGGTGCAGACCTACATTGCTCGACTTCCGGTGTGACAGATCACTATGCCGTAGACGATCGCCATGCCATCTACCTAGCCAGACTAATTGTAAAGAATCTCAACCGAAAATTACCTGTAAGCTTCAACGAAGCTATCGAATCTCCAGTATACGACAGTGAAGAACTGTATGGTAATCTCTCTTATCGTCAAGTACCTAAAATGGAAGGCAGCATTATAATGCATCGTACGCTCTCTACGAGTACAATAAGAGAGCAAAGTCACACTGCGTTAGCAGTGGCGTACGATGAGTTATGCTACTCTCTTCCTTTATGACTATTATCATTCCAACACGATCTGTCAGATGCAAAGCAAAATAATTGTTGGCACTGTTTTACTTTTCGCAAGCTAGTTGATGTGCTAATAATACGTTTCTATTCTGCATTCTGACTGATTATTCACGTAAACGTGAAACCAAATAACATCTGACCATTTAGTGACATTCAAAACAGTCATTATCGTCAAGTGACAGAAGCCTCATATTATTTCGTACTGCCTAGCGACGCTCAGGTTTTTGTGGAGTTGTTTTGAATTAGCATTGTTTGTCGCCAAAATTGCGTAGTTTTACTGCATACTTTTGACACATTTGTCTACCAATGCCTACTAAAGTGCCAGCATTGTATCAACATAATAATTATAGTTACTGATGAAAACATCTACCTTCCTACCACTCGAACTTTTGAAAAAATTGACTTATGTCAAGTGCAGTTTGATTCTCACTAGAGACTATTAGAGACAAACAAATTATTGACTGGCTCCTTATAAATTAAGGTAACATAATTAAACTTGAAGCCGTACCAATAAATTGTGACCCCGCACCTTATTGTTTTAGACAACACGATATAAAAGTATCACCTTATTGGTTCTGCCATAAGTCCTATGATTTTAAAATAAGGTTTGCATGAATTCAGCATAAATCAATAGACGGCAAAAAATAGTTCTGAAACTATATGTCACCAGATTCGCTACTACTAACAGTAGAATACTAATACATGAATTTAAAAGCACGTAAGAATTAGAGTATTGACAACCCTAACATTCGTAATTAAAACCATTAGAAAAGGTTAAACAGACAGTTTAGCTTATTGTAAGGTTAGGAAATTTTAAAACTGGTCTTTTTATAAGCATCGCTACAATCGCTACATGGGATATCATGTGGTTTGTGTAACATCTGCAACTTATGCTGTGGTTAACATGATAATCCCCTATGTTTGTCAATAAAAACCAATAAAAGCACATGCATTGACAGATCTTTACTGTAGTAAACGTTTCAATCTCAAAGCTACCCTGCAGTATAATCAAATATTCTCATTGTACTGAAAATCACCTTTGTGATTGAAATGTTTAGTAAAGTAAATAAGATTCTGTCAATACATGTGGTTTTATTGGCAAGACAAGCATGGGGGATTATTATCATGTAGTTTGGATTGCTTCAGTTGATTCCACTATATTTTGCCTCATTTACTTTTTGGTTTTGCAGGTATTTTGGATTCAAACTTACAGAAACCGTTCGACATACGAGAAATCATAGCACGGATTGTAGACGGTTCCAAATTTGATGAGTTTAAGAAAAAGTATGGTGAGACTTTGGTGTGCGGTTTTGCAAGGTTATATGGCAAACTGGTCGGTATTATAGGAAACAATGGAGTATTATTCTCTGAGTGCGCGATGAAAGGGGCGCATTTCGTGCAGTTATGTTCACAGAGAAATGTTCCTATTATATTTCTTCAGAACATTACAGGTAACTGATAACTTATTGAAGTTCCAAAATGGATAGTAGTGTGATTCATTGTACATCACTGATCTAGCTCCTGTTGCTGCTTCTACACATTTTTTGCGATACTCCAACACATCAAAACGTGATAATTAATAACAGCTGATTATTTAGTAACATTCAAAATTCTACGACTATTTTGTTTTGCATAAAGTAATTGGGGAAAGTTTTGCAATCAGAACGATCCTATCTATAACTTTTAACTACATAGCGGCTAATGATCATGACATTTGATGAGAATGCTTTTAATAAGCTACGTACTGAGTGTAATATTATTTATTACCAGCAACACAAAATTCACAAAAGGGGTTCAAATAGACGTCAGAATAATGTGTTAAAGTAGCATCGAAAATAGTGCATGTACGAGTATGATATCCGCACGAAAGGTGCACAAGTGCACTCCGCGACATCACCTAGAACAATGGGATAGGATGAGTTATACATAGTATTCCAACGAAAATGGAAAATACTTTTCTAACTAAACTGGAACAGATATCAAAAATCTGTTTTCATGGCGCCCTTGATCTGTTACTAGTCTAGTGCATATTTGGATATACACAGCGTATTCCATAACTCCGTGCCATAGCAAATATTTATTTTTGTAAATAGACTATATTTTATTGCATATTTGGATAGAGCTTCTAAAACCATGAAGTCTGATATCATATAACATATGATTTCGATTTTCAATTGCTGAGCCATTTTTGAAGATATTTAGATAAATAGCTTACAAAATATTTGTTATACTATCGATTTTAACCTAATCTGAAGCAAATTCTAAAATATCTTTCTATTTATAAAGGGTATCCCAAAACGCAAAATGTACATTTTCTCATGAATTTCATACACCCTGTATATTTCTACTAAATAGCTTTCTTTGGGAGCCCTTTTTTATATAACGTTAACACTTTTTTCGAACAGTTTTTGAGTTATTGCTATTTATTCCAAGAAAAAATATATTCCACACTTAGACTTAAAATCAGATCTTCCCAGAAACTTTTTTGAACGAGTGAACTTTTTTTTTCGCACAACCAGACTGATCTTAGCCCAAGACAGTCATTCATTATGAAATTGTTGTAATACATTACAAGTAGTTCTGTCGACTCCCAGATGATTGATCTCACGACCAGTATTTTTTCACAACCTCATTGTTTCAGCAACTTGGGTAACACGATTCCCTATTACGTATAACTCGAGGGACCATATATAACTGATGTTCAATAAAACCTAGCGGATCTCAGAACCGTATCTAAGATGAGTACTAGTAACATATCAAGGTTGTCACGAAAACAGATTTTTGATATCTTTTCCAGCTTGCTCATAAAACTATTTTCCTTTCATTGGGGTGGTACCTTCCAATTTGGAACATGACCACAGATTATACAGATGGGACAGCTACTGTCGGCCCCTTTGATCTTTGTATCCCCAACTGTTGCATACCTAACTCCATGGGCGTCCGCAGAAATTATTCTCAAGGGTGATTACGCTTCATTAGCCTGACGTCACGAACTACAGAATCAAGAAACTTATCCATTACCGCTTGCATTTAGGCAAGATAATTTGTGGAGAGCTTTTTGTAATGAATATAACCACCAATAACAGTAGAAGTAAGTAAATCGAATAACCCTAAATGTCACAGTAACAGTTGACAGCAACGGAAATCCTACCAAACGCATAGGACTCAAGTTGGGGTTGATAGAACTTAATTTTTGACAGGCTGCCCCCTCTGGTAGTACTCTGTGACATGACTGAATAACAGCATTATCATGGGCGCAAGCAGGAAGTTTAGCCCAGAGGGGCCGATGAGACATTATGCATATTGTGACAGTGTTATCCACCAATGGTATCAATCCCCGAAAGTTTTTATTTTCTCCGAAAGCCAAGCGGCCAAACCTTCAATATCACAGATATTGTAGGTATACAAAAACATGCTAGATATGTAAATTTTAGAGGACAACCGGCGACTCTTGAGAACGGGAGTCACGCTACCCCCCCCTCCCCAACCCTTTTACCAAGAGTATGTTTTTAGGCATTGAATTTTAGGTTTCATGGTTGGCAGGCAAGCGGAGGCAAGTGGTATAGCAAAACACGGAGCCAAACTGGTTACTGCAGTAGCATGCACTCAAGTTCCTAAAATAACTGTGATAGTAGGTGGATCCTATGGAGCAGGGAATTATGGTAAATCAACTATTTATTTTGTAAATCCTGAATCATTTTTGCATATGCAAAGTTGGATTTAGAAAAAAGAAAAAAAATGTTTATAGCTGAATAAATGCGTAGGCGATTTTGAAAAATCTCGATTTCTGTATGGTTAGCGAGTATTTGACTTAAAACGTTCAGATTTAGACGAAGAAAATTGGCGTCAATTAGATGGACTCTATACTTCCTACGCCTTCGTTGGGCGAAATCGGATCGTGATTCGGAAGGTTCGATGAATCTTAAACCTCTTTATATCAAACTACATGATAATTCTGTTTCCATAGCAGATGTAGAAAAAATATATGCGACTTATTGTCTTAATATGTGCATAGTATCACCGAGATCGGCAGCTTCTGAATAATAGGAGGTATTTCACCGACACCAAATATGCAACAATTTACAACGATATACAGCAAACAGCTTCCAACGTTGTAACACTATGTTCGAGCGATTTTATTTTTGTTCTGGGTAGTTCTACCGCCTCTGAACCAATTCAAAATCTACGTCTACCTAAGCGGTGGAAGCAGTGGCGGCTCGTGGCAAAATAAAACAGGTGTTCTGTAAATCCGAACTTACCTATTTTTTATATGTCAGTTCGATCCTGCGCTCCTTCTTGGCATGAAATTTGTCGATCACCTTCCCGTTGAAATTTTCCATGGTCGAAATAAATTCCTTTTCAATGGACAGCATCGACAACGCTGTAAGGCAATCCTGAGTCATAGTATTTGGAAGAAAGGCCTTGATTCTATTCAATGTTGAGAAATTTCGCTCAGCCTCTAATGTTGACATAGGAGTTGTAACAATAATTTCTAATAGCTTTTTGTTTCTTTTAATGTTTCCTTCAAACTATTTTGTATCAAAAATTTCAAAAGAGACAGAGTTCCATGTAAATCTCGGCAATCATTCCGTGCATAAATAACAGACAACTCTGTCTTTAAACGACTTTTTTCTATTTCGAGATAAGCCAAGCAGGTAGTTTCAAACTTGTTATCAGGAAACTTACCAAAGTGTTCGGGGAAAAAAAGGGATGCGGCTACCAAAAGATCTTTGTCGCATACTTCTAATGCAGCAACTCGGTTATCATGACTGCTATTATTACGTCGCGTCGTCTCCTTTTGTTGCCTTGGGGTTCAGTGCAAATACTTTTGGCTTCATTTATTATGTCATCAATTTTATTTCTCACATCGTCAATACATTTTTCAAAATTATCGATAGCCGTTTTAACTTGCGCTGGCTCGGTTTTTCTCTTCTGCAACTGGTTGAAAAAGATGTCGACGTGAGGCATGACATGATGAAAAAATGTCAACCAAAACGCGAAAACAGAATCGTTTAACATACGGCGAATACCGCAAGCTGCCTTGCAAACGGTTTCATTAGTGACATTTTCTTCTATTTCTTCCATGCAGTCAATGAGTGATTCTCTGTTCTCAAACACTACATTTATTGTTCGAATATTAAAATTCCAACGAGTTGTTGCTCCTTGGGGATTTTTTCCCCACAATTCTGTTTAGTATCTCTACGCGTTGAGGGAATTATTAAAAAAATCCCGGAATATCTTTCAAATCCACAAAGAACACCCGAACTTGAGCATTTGCGGAAGCAGCTTGGGACATAATCAGGTTTAACTGATGCGCATAGCAATGCACATAGTGAGCAGGGATATCTTTGTTTAATTTTTGCCTGTATTCCAGCATTATGTCCGCTCATTACCGCGGCTTCATCATAGCTTTGTGAAATCAGTTTGTTAGGGAAATTTCCTATTAATGGATCTACGACGCTCAAAATATGTCTTGTGAGAGGATCAGCGTCACATTTTTCGGGATTCATATAATTCCAAAAACGTTCTACTGGTTCGCCGTTAAATACGTATCTGAAAATTGTTACCAGTTGGGATTTCCCCGAAATGTCCGTTGTTTCATCTGCTATTATCGCCAAATACGAGGCTCTGTTAATCTGTTTTATTATTTCTTCAAAACAAACTTCAAGAATACAATCCAGTAGATCGTTTTGTATTTCTTTCGAAGTTCCTTTAAATATTGAAGCATTTTTTATGTGTTCGTTTAAGGTTGTATCAAGCTCACCAGAAAAATTAAGTTATTTTATGCATATTTACCCTTTCGAACTAGAGACTCGGCAGGTTTTTTTTACAATGCAAAATTTGGTTATGCGTTACTTTTTAAATTTTGGTTATTTTAACAATGTTAAGCATACGACGTAGCAGGTAACAACTATTAAGTAGGTTTATATATTATACATAAATCATTTATACAATAGTTAACCAATTGTAGGTATGTGCGGTAGAGCATATTCCCCAAGATTTTTGTATATGTGGCCAAACTCAAAGATATCTGTGATGGGCGGACCCCAAGCAGCTGGAGTGTTATCTCAGATAGCCAGCAGAGGAAAAGAACTGACAAAAGAGCAGAAAAGCAAGATAGAAAGACCTATTATTGAACAGTTTGAGAGGGAAGCCTCAGCATATTACAGTACTGCGAGGTAAAAACATTTGTCAAGTTAAATATTACGAGAGCTCAATTGTTTTTTTATTATAATAAAGGAGAGTGGTCAATGTTAAAATGTTGAAATTAGTTGTGACTGAGGGATTCACTGGCTTAAGAAAATAGGGTTGCAGGACGGACAAATTTCTATAGACCCCCAACTGGAAGACGCTCCCGGCTTGAGAGGGCCGGAAACTAAAAAACTGGAAGGCCCTAGCATTTATTACAATAGTTTGTACATCATCCACCAATTTTGTTTTTGAAAGATTAAGGATCGATAATGCCGTTGGGCTAAAATCCTCAACTTTTTGTGGGTGTCAAATCGTCATCCATGGACCTTTGAATTAAAAAAGGTTTAGGTTAATATTAATATAATTTTTATCATTAACCAAATTAAATTCTACTTTTTATGGGTGATTTATTATATTTTCCATGCAATCTGCAACTTTTTAAAGAAGTTGTGATAAAATCTATCACTTATTTTCAGATTATGGGATGATGGTGTTATTGACCCAAAAGACACAAGAAAAGTGTTGGGTTTAAGCCTTGCTGCAGCAACAAACAACCCTGGCGGACCAACTTCCTTTGGAGTATTCAGGATGTAATAATGAAAATTATTAATAAAAGATATTAAAAGATTCGAAACTGATTTGGCGTCACCAGACACAATGGATATAGAAAAATACTGAATTAAAAAATGGAAAAATAACCTTATATTGAGGCAGGGCTAGGGTGACAATCTTAGATAAATATTCCGTAAATCATCCTATACATTGCACTAATGTTTTAACACTTCTCAAGTTCAATATGCTGTGTTTTTAAGATATTTCTATATCAGCGTGTTATAATAAAATGAAATACTATGAGCATGAATGGTGGAAACTATGAATTCATATGAGCATGACTGCCCATATAGCAAAATCCGGGGTGGGGCATGTTTGGTTTACAGGTTGTGCAGGATCAAAAATGCTGAGAACTAGCCAACCTGTTGATGACAATTTGACAATTAAAAATGTATATCTGCTATGTTGGGATGTTCCACTGCTTACCCAAAAATTGGGTATCTTATTAAGAATTTAAGAATACTTCACTTTCGAAGCAGAAATAATGTGAGAAATATTCACGTCTCTCTTAAAAGCCAATGTGAACGTTTCTTGAACTAAAAAAATTCTCCCCTAAATTATCAAATATACAAGTCAAATGATATAAAAGGAAGATTTTCTACAACTCCAGACCAATATTAAAAAAATGAAAAAAGCACAAGAGATAAAAATGGTGTCAAGTAGGTTGACTCTGCACTTCCTATACAACCCTGTCATCACTTCATAAAGGGTTATGTTTTGCACAAATTAGTCCCTCTGAGAAAAAGGTCAGCTAGAAACATGTATAACTGATTTTTATGGATATGGATCAAGTCAGCTAAAACAGGCCCATACAATAAGTGCTTTAGATAATGCTAGAAATTTCCACCAGCAGTCAGAGCTATGTTATGCACTGATGGTGAGCAGTCATATGCAGACAGGACTTGTGCACAGGGGTTGGCGAGCAACCGCAACGCGAAAATATTTCTCCAAGATTCAAGGGCAAATGTATGAGGAAATTTATAATGTGCAGAATATTTACTAATGGGTGTGTAGAATTGTTGGGGTTGGACGCATAAAAATAAACTAATGCTGCAGAAGATTTCTCCTAAAGGTCGAATTAGTTCATAGGCTTATTGTACTTATTACTGTAGCTCTACTTTGCTAAGTAGTCTTTTTCCAAAATAAAAACATTGAATCTTTAAAAACATATAATAATTTAGCCCTGCTAGCCCTCAGCTAGGTCTGTGTTTGTGTATTATGGGAGCAGGATTAGACAAGTTTTCAGCATGCCTCAAATACCTAACCCAAAACTGTGTATCCTGCAACTATCACAAATCATTACTCAATATACAAACAACCTCCCACTTTTCTATGTCTTCGCTGATATTGATAAACTGATGTACCTTTGAGTTATTTCAAATACTATTGAATTTTAAAGACAGTAAAATCCATTGTTCCACTTTATTAAACATCATTATTTCAGAAACTTAACAGAATTATCAACTTACTTTGCTACAACAGTGGTATCTCTTTTCTCAATCATTCGAAGTTGTTTCTTTTTCATTTTTTTCAGTTTCTTTGTGTTGGTGATCACTTGCACAATCTCAGATTTTTTTTGATTCTCCTGCTGCCTCTTCAAATTCTCTCTTCGTCTTTGCTTTTTCATTTCTTTCTCAGCTTGCTTTGTAGCCTTAATAGAATCTGATAGTTCCTTAACATGTTTCAATTTGGCCTTTAATTCCTGTTTCTGATTAAAAGATCTACGTATTCCTTTAGTTTTGATAATGGATGAAAATTTCTTCTTTTCACTTTTCCAAATTTTGCCAGATTTCGGTTTACCCCTTGGAGTAACATCAAGATGCTTAGATATACTCTCACTGAAAAATATATTTACTGATATTATAAGGATTTTAATAAACCAAAAAACATACGTATTTTTGGATATCTTGTCAATATTTTTAGTTTTCTGTACTTCCAAAATATCTTCCATTTTCTGAACACCAGCTGGGTCAACCATGTTTTCCAAAGGACCTTATTCCGTTGCAATAATACTATCTTTAAAAAGTTCACATTAAATAATATTTACTGATCTTAGCCAGAGGGCGTGAACGTAAAAAAAATACTTTGATCTGTTAAAAACGCAAAACGTTTTGTCTTTTGTGCACGTTTTGTGGTTATGTTTTTGGAGGATTAAAAGTTCTGTTCAGTGTTGCCAAGCCGCAAAAGACGAAATCGGTAGGAAGTATTGTTGAAATTACTATAGTCAGAATCCGAAAGATGACTATTACGTAATACCATAAATTGTACTGAAGTAATCAATGGACGTACGTCGATGATAAAATCACGATGTCAGGAAAATAATGACACATTTATATTATGATTTTGCGAAGTTAGGTTATTTCACTGATTATTTTTATTTTCATTTTATTTCATGGTTTTGAGTAACACCTTAATAATAATTTTAGTGGGGAGTTTTTGTTATGAAAAAAAACAGTTATGAGTAGAATACCTTGACAGGAGCACCAAATAAAAAAGTATTATTCGAAAACAACCTAACCTGCTTTAACATAACCTAACTATTCATCTTCCAAATATGATCGATCATGTAACATGAAAATATCTATCTTTATCGGATACATGTAAATTAGCAATACAGCTTGTTTAGACAATAAAATTCTGTTTGTCTCTGTCTAACGTATCTGAAACTTCATTAAAAATATTCACAAATCGCTGACGTTTGTGTTTACTACAGACTAAAATGATGACGTAATCGTCATCTTTCGTGATTTCGACTATACGTGGATTCAACGATAAAATCGGTATGAGGAAAACATCAGGGCCATCTCAAGATCAGCAGCAGATCAAGAACCTTTGCGTTAAGCAGCGCAATCTTGGAAAGTAGTATATTTATTTAATTTCTTTTTACATCTTGTACAATGAGCATTCTGATCGCAATTCAATCTCCTTCGCAACCATCCTGGTAACTCCTTTACCTATTCTTGTTTATAAGAATGCGAATAGTTTATGTTCGAGCTTGAAGCCTTATCACCTGTCATTTTAATTTAATATTCAATTAAAAACAGGCGAGCTCCGTTTTTGTATTGTTTGTCTGGTGACACAGTAATGGCAGGGATCCACCAATCTGTACTTATTGTAATTGTACGTGAAAGTTAATACAGGAAAAGCATAGTGAGGGAGTGAATTGAATTGGGCGATAAAACTACATAGACTATATATTATAATTTTTCTTAGCTTTATTTTTGGTAGCAGCTCTTTTTCGGTAAAATATCGGGAAATAGTCCAATTTGATAGCAATACCGTAAAAGCAGTAGGTTCGGCAATACTGGTTCTGTCACAGGAAACATCTGTTCTGTCTTTTTTTAGAAAGAGACATACTTATCACGCTTATGTAACAAAGATAAAGATAATAGATTGTGGACTTCTCACAGCGCGGCGCTGCCACTTCTTAAAATATTTATCAGAAATGCTGCTTACGCAATCGGCACTGTAGGACTCGCACAGCAAATAGCTTTTGGTTATTTTCAAAAAATATGCTGAGAGGTCGATCTCAACACGTAGAATAAAAGTATCCCTCAGCCTAAAATAATTACAAGGGTATTTTTATAGTTTTTTATACAAGTATCCTAAGTTGAACTTTCCTAACCCATACTGCATTATGCTGCAATATTGGAGCATTGGAAATATTGGGGGGCGGTAGTGCACATCATGATGTGTTTATTTTGGCTGATCAATTGTACGTTGGAGTTACTCATAACCATTTTGTTTATGTCAAACCCATCAGTACTTGCGTCAATTAAAATATGTCACCCCAATGTTCTTGATTCGATTTTACTTCCTACGGCACCGGGCGAGTAAGTAATAGCGAAAAATAGCGGAAATGAGATGTTATTCTGTTTGGATGTTATCTGAAATGTACATCACGAAGAACAGTCTCACTCATTTCCGTCGGTCTGTCTGTCCACTAATCCTTAGCCCGTCTATAATTTCGAAAGTACTGCTCGGATTTGGATGAAATTTTTACACAAGGTTACTACTACGCCAATGACGAAAAAGCTTTGTAATTTTTGAAAATCGTCCAGTGGCGGCGAAGAAAAAGAAAAAACAGAAATTAAAGATCGCTCAAACTCATAGGTTTCTCCATACATTTGTCGTTAAAGCTTAGAATGATAGGGACATATTTTCGATATGCGTCTGCTTCTGCTATCTAGGCTCAGCGCCCGGCGTAATCATCTGCTTGATTGTTCTGCTCGTACCGCAGCGATCGCGATATTTCGTTATTGGACGCTGCCACGCCAAATGGACGGTAACTATCAGTAGATCAGGAAAAATGTATACACTAATTGTACGGGTCTGTTTGACTGACTTGATCGGTTTAAATTTTATATTATACAAGTTCGCAATTAATTTTTTTCTCAAAGAGTTTAACTTATGGCGAACTTAATCCTTGATGAACCGATGTCGACGTTGCGTAGCAAGTACAGAGTCACGCCATTTTTTAAAATGCCCATATACCTATACACTCGGTATAACTGTATCGATCTGTATTTACTCCACGTCAAAACTAACATGAGCACTTGATCATAGCTTAATTTCGCTTGTCGCTGCCTGCCCAGGCATTTATGGTACACTGGCAATAGGAGCGCGAATTTAAACGTCACGCGCTGGTGTTTGTTTTGACTTCGCGTAAATGAGATTTGAATACACTACACAAATCAGATAGTTCCAGTTACGAGCTCGGCTCACCTCTCACAGCCGTGAACTTTGAGTATGTATGTTCATCTGGACATCTCAAGGAATAGTTGTACGAACTTTCAAAAATTTACGCATTATTTGGTCCGATTTCCTTAACTCTATCAGGCTATGTATATTGTGAGACCAGGTGAAACCAACTTTTCTGTTGGGCCATATCCCAGAAATTACAAATCTTGTACAGAAACACAAGGTAAATGCAAATTTCAGATGTCGACTGAATTCCGAGGGGGTCCCGTATGCCGTATTTTCAAATGATTGACTTGGCGACACCGCCTCACTGCTTTTGCCATCTGGTATTCTCTTTTTTTAGTATTATGTTACTGGATTTGGTAGTGGAAGGACGTTCGTTGCCTTTCAACTTTTAGTCCGACGTTATCGCAATGGTATCAATAGAAGATACAAACGAATAAGTGCCTTTTCTGCCGACAATTTGTTGTTAGTGTACTGTGAAAGCCGTGAATATGATCGCCAACGGACACATAGTAGGCGACGGTTCGTGGGATTTGCGAGTTTTTGTCACCGATTTGCAAACCGAAAGACTGATCCGTGTCAAAGGAGATGTTCATATCGGAGGAGTCATGTTACGGTTGGTTGAGGACCTTGGTGAGTACTAAGACTACAAAGTACCCCTACTTGATGGGTACTATAAATAAGCGTGATCAGCTAGGCTGTCTAACCACATATCTTAACTAGTTGTGTGTTGGTTGTGGTCAGTTATGGTCCTAAACATCATCCCAATGAAAGACCTTGAATGTGAGAGCAAAATTCTTTCCAAAAAGCCAAAGAAAATGTTACCGTTCCACCTAACCTCAAATGGACATGTAAAAGGATCGCAGTAGGCGTACACCGCACGCAATTAGCATGACGTATCGCACATGGTCATAATTATTGCATCCCAACAACAAATATTTTGATACAGGAGTTATCCCCGGATAGCCAGGCCTCTGACCCAACTGTAGTGGCCGCTAAAACGTTGAATACGCTTGTTTATCAATTGTTTTTGTGGCTTTATTTATATTCAAGTGCACCCACGTACAATTACCCTACTTTCACATGACATGACGTCATACTGTAATTTGTTTTTCACCTGTTTTTTGACACACCGGAATCCCCTGTTTTAATGTCAATGTGCGGCTTAGCTGCTCTCTATAGGATTTTCTGAGTTACAATAATAATTGAAATAACGGAATGAATCTAAGAAATTGTGAAAAAGCGTTGATAGAACTTGATAGAAATGATATGAGGCAAGTGTAATAATTAGGTACATATCGTCGGTCTCCGCACGTACCGGCGTAACTAACATTTTACAAATTTTACAGGAGAGCTAGAAAACGAAAATCAGCAATAAATGAGATTGAAAATTAAATACTGATTTTTTAGTCTGTACGTTGCGGTTTTTTTTGTTAGACTAAAATGATGTAGAACCTTTTTTAATGCAGAGGCGTAAATCTATTTAAGCCGGTACGTGAAAATTGTTTTCGGAATTTTATAACTTGGCAATTTTCTGAAAATTTTAATTCTTAGCAGTGAACTGATATACGGCTACGTCACTTCGTGAAGTAAGAGACTACAAAAAAATCTGTGAAATTATGGCGTAACTCGATTTTAGATTATTTGTCATTTACGCCTGTACGTGCGGAGACCGACGATATACTATTCCCTCCCTTTATAATAATGTAGAGGTAGGGATTCAATTGTTTAATTATATCTGACAGTCCAACTGATCAGTGCTTCCACTAGCATTTTGGCGAATTATAATTGATTTTATTTAATTTGATTAACAAGTTTTTAAAGGCTCCTTTGAGCATGTATCAAGGGGAGAGTTATCACCTTCATTAGAATGAAGACCACTCTACAAAATCTACATACAATCATTTCTTTGAGTTAGTTATTACTACTACAGTAGCAGCACTGTCAGTTGAGATTCATTAAGATATGCGATTATAAGCACATAATGTTTAATTTAGTTTACTTTTGATGATTGTTTTCTGCATTTTTTTATCGATTCATTATTAAACGCTGTAATTAGGGACATGCTATTGGATAATATTTAGTTAATTTGAAGTGCTTAGAAAGCTATTCCACAACTGCTGCTAATCCGCATAAAAGCATAAAAATGCTGGACTGCTTTACGTTGGCTGAATGCTCCCAATGTTATCAAGCTGGCTGTTGAAAAAAATCCTATTTCCAGATTTCAATCAGCCATCAACTATTTCATCATAGCTATTTTTGAGGGTATTCTGGTCCGTAAGGTATGTTGGGATAGAGGTTGATATTATTATAAATAGAGTCAAGCACTAATTTTCAGCTAAGTTTAGATTCTCATTAAAATATCTTATTTAAATGTCAACCAGTCAGTAGCTATAGTTAACTGTTTTTACTGTTTTGATTGTGATTTCTAATTATGTCACAACCAGTCTGCCAGAAGATGTTCATGTTAAAGATGAATCTATCTATTGTTATAGTTATTATAGTTTGAGCAAAGAGCAGTTATACCAAGAGAGGATACCGTGTGGAATATCTTTGAAATCCGCTTGTCG